TTGATATATTATATTTATTGAAATATATGCTGATATATCAGCGATATAACTAAAATACAGCAGTCTTTATATTCAACAATTCGAATCAGATCTAATTATTAAAATTTAAATATGTAAGCAAATATAATAAAGTAGCAGTTGGCAAAGTAAAGCAATTTGTTGGTCTAAATATTAAGCTAAAATGCTCTGACAATGGGAAATGCTTAACCATCCCATTTGCTAGTCACGAATCAGCATTAGGTCAGTTCGGACGAACTGTTATATTTATATATATATATCAATTTGTTACATAACTTTATATTTATATTTCTATTCACCAAAAATATTTCAAATAATCAGCTTATAGACATAAAAAATATAAATAAAACGAAATCAACCACAGGAAATGTTGCGTTTTTGAACTAGCTGCTTTGCAGACGTGTAAGAAAAATCTATAAATATCGACAACTGGCTTGGAATCCTTGAGGCGAACCATGTCAGGAGCCCGGCATCATTTCATGCTCAATTCAAATGTTGTTCAATCTCATTCAAACAATTTGTATTGTAGTTTTATTACCACAATAAAACGGATTAAACAGCCCGTCTACAAAAGGGATACAATGAACCCCGCTAGCAAAGTGGGCGTGCCAAAAGGCGACGCCCTCATTCTGGTGCTGTAATGTTCCGTATGTGTGTGTGCGTGTGTGTGAGTGTGTGTGTGTGTGTGTGTATGGAGCGCCTTTTAAATTGACTGAATTTCCGCACGAATTAAATTTTCTGCCTAACCAAAAAAAAAAGGAAAAAGTGAGGAATATTTCACGCATCAACTGTCAGGACAAGAAGACGCTGGGCAAGGGGCGTGTTGTTATAGAGTCCTTGAGACCCATTGCCGGTATTTTTCACACTTTGCTGCTGCTGCTGTTCTTGTTGTTATTGTTGTTGTTGTTGTTGCACAATCAACGACACGTGGCAAGTGCCATATAATTTTTATCAACGTCTTTACTTTATATTTTTGAATTATATTTTTCAGTCTGTGCAAGTGTCAAATTTGATATGCTTTAAATTGTTCAGATTTTTAAAGGCATTTGAGCTTAAGCTTGAATTGAATTCCATATCAATTTTGTTGGCTTTTTCGTTTTACAAAAATTCATTTAGCTTAAGTCTTGTTCTTTTTTCATTATGAAAAGAAATTAATTTTCTTCAGCAAAATATTTCTTTTCAACTTTTGACAATAATTTGTATTCCCTAAGCTGCTTGTCCAAAAACGCTTTCAAAGTTATCTCTTCTATTTTCATTTTTTATTTATCAATTTTGTTAGATTTTACGGTGCGGCTGTTCCTTTCACAGTTTTGGCTCTGATCCCTATCTAAATCTATTACAATTCATATTCATATGCCGCACACACGTCTTCCCTGCCCCTTGCCAGCCTGCAACCCCGGCTCTGCTGTAATACGACATAGTCAGAAAGTGAAATCAAGTGTTAAAGAGTTTTGAGAAGGAAGTTTTGAAAATCTTGAACCCTTAACAATGTCGCATTTCTCTTCTTTACATTTTTTTTCTTAGCCCTTTTACGAGCCTTGCCGTTTGCTGCTTAGCCTAATATCGAAATAAACATACTTTATCCGTTATTGCCGTCAAATTTATGGTTTCTTAAATGCTGGCAACCCCACACCCCCCGACCCGGAAATATGAGACGCACATGCTACGCATTATGCCAGCCAAATTGAATGGATTTTGAAAAGGGTCGCGACTACTATGTGGCCAGTGTTTTTTTTTTAGAGATGTAGCCAGCATCCGATTGGTTGAAACTTCAGAAAGTTGGCCAAGTTTATGACAAGATGAAAAAGTGTTGGACTGTTTAAATATTGTCCGCTGCTTGTTTTCAATTGCAGCTTCAAACGTAGCGCCTCCAATAAATGCGCATTCACAATCGCAATTAAAACCAAGTTACAAGGTCACAATTTTTGCACAGACAAGGGAAAAATGCTAAAAGTGACAACACTAACAAAATTGCAATTTTGCACATGAGAAACAAATGTGCAAGTGCTTAAGTATGTGTGTGTGTGTGTGTGTGTGTAGTCTTTCCATGGAATGCAATTGAAATCTGTGACAACATAATGCCAGGCAGCGGTGCAGTAGGGAGGGGGCGGGGCAGGGCGACACCACCTCAGTAGACACCACCTACCCCAATGTAGCCGACAAAAAAAAAAAACACAAAAATACAAAGTTTTCCCAGCATGGCTTTTGCGCAGGCCCGAGACTGGAAAATGAATTACAAGTGTTTGTGGTTGTGATTGTGTTTGTAGAGGGGCAAAAGCAACAGCAGTCAACTCCCTACAACAGCAACAACAACTGTGCAAAGCAATCATGGCGGACACTGCTGCTACTGCTGCTGTTCAGGTAGGAGAGATTATACGCACAAGAGAGTCGTACAAATTAACGAAAGAAAAGAACAACTACATATATATTGTATTGGAGCAAGCGCATAATTCATATTTTACAAAAACAGCAACGCCTTCTCTTCTCTCTCACTCTCTCTCTCTCTCTCCATCTCTTTTACTCTCATGTTGCATACATTCAAGCTTTCCTACATGCAGCTGTATGTGTTAAGGATTTCCATTGCATGATGTTTGCATGCCAAAACGGCAACACCTGTCCATTGTTTTCGAACACTGTTGTGTTTGTTGACACTGCATGCGAGACGTGAATTAAATTTGCATTTGGGCATTGCCAAACTCTCTGTAAGCACTGCCAACTGTATTGTATATCGATGGAGGTGATAACGATGACATCAATTTGATCTTTCAACAGTTACTGGCGGCTGCAAAGAAAGTAAATCTAAAAGCCACCAAAATAAAGAAATCATTAGAAAATCGTGTAGCACATTAGTCTATACCAACTGTCGGCAGCCACCCACAATTTCCCATAATGTTGAACACGCAAGTCAATTGATGCAATTTGTTCGACAAGCTGCCGGCAATTGGGTCCTTGGTCCTTGTTCCTTTGCCCATGTTCATGTTTGGGTCCCCAGTGACAATTTGACATGAGAGTTGAAAATGCCGTAACAGGTTCACGGTCTGCTGGGTGGGTGTGTGTGTGAGTGTGTGTGTTGTTGATGGTGTGTGTGCGGTACTCATCAACAGTTTGCAGCTGCTGATTTAAGGGTTGGCCGCCCTTAAATGAATTGCGGCGATTTATTGCGGTAATACTCATTTAGTCGCCCGCAAGAAAAAAAAACAAAAAACAGTGGGAGTTGTGTGTGCTCAAGTCGAGTGCAAACAATGCACACAATAAAAATAAATCTCCAACTGGTAGCAGCAGGAGGGGGTGGGATGGGTAGGGCGTAGTGGGAGGTGTCTTTGGATTTAGGTACAAGTGTTATACCGTTAGTTTAGTTATACCCGTGGGAAGTCGTCTGTGGTGGCGTTTTTAATGGCTGTCAATGCTCGTTTGGAGTTGCCAATTACTTTGAACCTGATGTCGCATTGATTACCGACAGTTTTTGGTATTCATGTCACTTGCAGCACTGACTACACTACATTCTGTATGTACATGTGTGTGTGTGTGTGTTTGCAAGTCTGCCTATTACAATAATCACTATAATTGGGCTTTGGTTTGACAAAGGCAGAAAAATGTACGTGATATGCATTTTTGGCTTTTGGCTATGTCCATGTTCTGGGCAATTAATAAGCCAATTTCTTGGCACCACACTTACCGGTGGACCACGTAAATCAGCATTATGTTGAAAACGGAAATGAAAATGAGCTCAAAATTCAATTATAGTCAGTAAGGGAAGGGGGCGGAGGATGGGGATGGGGGTGTCTCTCAAGACGCCTGCATAAATCAAGAAACCTGTCGTTGTGGCATACATAATTTTGCCAAGCCAGGCGTACGTCTTATTACAATTTAAGCGGATTTGGAGCAAAGCAAGCAGCTCGAAACAGCTCATAACTCATTGCTTTGCTTGGCTGCTCGACGTTTGTCGCATATTTTAATTTATTTTGTAATTTATGAGCAGCTTTGCCACCTACTTAACAGGTGGCGCTGCCAACTAAACGGAATAGTGTTGCGCAATGATAATTGCTTGATAATAATGGTGACTTCCTGTGAACATAATAGCATAATTAATCGATATTAAATGAACACACAGCACAACAATAAACGCCGGAAAACCCACAAAAGGTTAAATTAAACGAAGTAATTGTTACCGACACAGCAGACAACAGCCAACCCCTCAAGCACAAGCTCAAGTTCACTCTTGAGGGTTGGGCACACTGGCGAACAATGCACAACAAACAGTTGCCCAGACACGCACCAGTCAAGGGAGGAGATGAGAGTTTTTGATTTTTAAACGCGCCCGTCAGATGGATAAGGGGAAGGGGGTGGGGGCAGATTGCAGACTGTAAAGCGCACAAAGTCACACGGCAGGTGGCGGCACTGAGCCGGGCGGGGGTTGGACCGCAAAGTGATTTAAATGCATTCTTAATGGGATGAAATTATGTGCTCGGTCTGATTTGCGGTTTCACTGGTGGCTTCAGCCCCCAGCTCAAGGGCAGCGACATACTCGTTGAATATATATATTTGCTATGCAGCTATGAATATGCATAGACTTGCGCTTTTGATGTGCGTACTTCGGCACATACTTGGGAAATTGTTCCTCGATCTAAAGTTAACTTATGTTTGTCTTAAACTAGGTTTTTTTTAATTAAAAACCTTGCCTATAAAATTCTTATTAAAGTTAATAATTTGATGAGCGCTGCGCAACCCACGAAAATCCGCTTAAAATAATAATAACAAAATAACAATTTGTTGCGGCTCCCGTTTATGGGTCACATTAAGAATTCTTATCTATGCTAAGCAGCGGTCACATTTTCATTGGACCCCAATGACCCCAGGAATAGCAGCTTAACTTATTGGGGGACTGGGATAGAAAACTGCTGAGGTAAAGGGATAAATAGATAGCTTACTTAATACATTTATAAAGCTAAAAGCTGGAAAAGAATATTTATTGATAAATAGTATTCGCACAGAAAAGATTTATTGCATATATCGACTTGAATATTGTTGAAGACGAAACCAAGTATAATTTATAATGGCAGATAGATAACTTTCAAATTATTAAATTGCAGAAATATGATTGTAAAATTTATTTTTAACAACATTTAACAAATAATTGTAATATTTATATAATTCTGACTAGCCTCGCTCAGATCCGTAACCCAAAATTTAATTTCTAATCCCTTTTTTATCAATGAACAAAGTTGAAGATAATATGTATAGTCAAATATAATAGCAATCAAATTTCATTGCAAAATTTGTCACCATTTAGCTGTTAGATGCTTAAAGCTTGTGCAGCTGGACTGGCAAACTTTTTGGTGGCAAGTGACCATTTAAAGCAGGGAAATTCAAGAGTACTTTATAAAAAGAATCCTGTGAGGTAATCTCGTAACGATGGACGCATTTGGAGAGGTCTCGAAGCTCTGCTACGGTGTCCGCAAGCTCAATGACCTTTGTGGATAATTGTGGCTCAGGCACATAGAGATCGTCACCTGATATGGGAAGAGATGTTAAAATTATAGCATAGTCCAAATGAAAGACAATTAAAAAGAATACGAGCCTGGCAAAACAAAAATGAGGCCATCGCTGCAGCTGTAACAAACTGGCAGAAACATGGTGGTGCCCAATTTGCTGCGATCTGCAGCAAATTCAAGTAACTTGTGGTAATCCTTGATGCACAACAGTCGCAACAGCTCATAGACTTGTGGTGGCATGAACCAAAGTTCCCCATGCAGATACAGACGCAGCAGTTCCAAGGGAGAGCGCCACTGTAAGTAGGTTAAATGTGTTAAGGTTTGCAAAAGAGAGTGTTATACACCAACTAACCAGACACTCCTTGACCTCAGTTGGCTCCACCAGCAGACTGGGTTGTGTGTCCACAAAGACCATGTAAAATACGGTTTCATAGCTGCAAAAAATTAGATGAGATAAAATTCAACTAAAAAAGAATAAACATAGCTGGTCACAATAGCCATCTATGAGCTAGGCCTTACAGCTTATAATGAAATATTTAATAATAATAAGAGAAAATAGTTTGATGCTGTTCAATATTACGAACATGTTGAGGGCTTAGCATTATTTATAATAATTATATTTAATCGAAATATCTTTAAAATATTATATAATTTATACCAGAACTTATTTGTGCAACAATTATTCCAATGGTTTTTAAATCAATTATAGGAAACATTATAACATTTTTATTTACATATATATCTTTAAAAACGATTGTTGTTATATTTGACCGATTTAACAAAGTTGTGCAAACAAAGATTCGTGAAGAAATCTTAAAGAAAAAAGTTGAGATAGATTTTAGGATCTATATGATATAGCCGTGCCCGCCTAACACCAACCTAGGCAAGAGGTATTTCATTTATATAAACAGACGGACTCTGGTCAAGAATATAAATAATACATGCTCATAAATATGTATTATCTATTGCATATGTATTTTTTATTAAGACTTTTCCTTGTCCCCAGCTCACCCTTTTTTTATAATCGCTGGACTGGCCCACGCGGACCACTCGTGCAACGCCCATAGATCCGGAACGACTTGCAACTCGCGGCACAGATGCAGGAATTCACTTGGCTTGTTGTGCACTCGTCGCTGCCAGGACTCACGATCAAAGTTGGGATGCTGCTGCTGAAACTGTGCCGTCAGAGCAACTGCGTCCAACTGTTCCAGCTGCTCGCGGCTGCGACAGAGCAGAATGCCTACCTCCTCAAAGCACTCACGCAGAGCCGTCAACCGTAGTGTTATCTCACTAAATATATACATAAATATGTATCACAATGATTAGACGTAATGTGTAATCTTTTTCATGTACTCTGAACTCACCGTGCCCAAATTTTGGATCGCTTGAAGAAGCGATCATAGCAACCGTTGCCCTGTGGCGCCAATATTGCCGGTCTGTGCTCATCGATCAGTACCAGGCGTCGCAGTGCCGCCTGAGAAACACCAAACTGCTCAAAGTAATCCAACCAAGCGACGTTTTCATCTGCCTCTGTATCTAGCAGGCCGCCGGGAAACACACTATGATTGGAGGTAATGGCGGTGGCTTCGCTGCGCTTTAGCATGAGTAGCTGCAAGAGATGAAGATACTTTTTTTTTAAATAACCTGTTGAATCAAAACGATTATTCTGCTTACATTGTAATCCTCGCCAGCTGCTGCAGTTGATACTAAAATGATACTCGCCGATGTGCGCCATCTAATGTTTGGATTTATTGCACTTTGTGTCATAATATGAATTACTATTTATTTGTCGTATGCTTTTATTGCCAATTTCCAGTTGATTGCGCTTTTAATAGGCCATCATATCGATAACAGCGATTATTCTTGCAATCGATTTCAAAAAGATAAGCGCAGCTATAATCAGGTGTTTTTGGTAGGTGGAAGAGGTGACTGGGTACAGGCGCACGTGAAACACTTTGCTTTTTCACTATAATAACAAATTATTGCACACAATGTTTTCCCAGTTATACATTTATATATATATATATATTTAATCAGCTTTTGACATTTTAGGTATTTGTGGTATTAGTGATAGATCCCGTACAATTTGTATTTTTTTTATGATAGTTAAGCATAGTTTTAGTGCACAGTTTTTGATAAACCAATAGTTTGTTTATTTTTTGGTTTTAAAAACATACATATAAATCTTATAAATAGACTATTCCATTAATTGCTAAATGTTTTTACAGCTTGCCTGGGCCAGTGTGTGTGCTGGGTGTATTGTGTGTGGTGTGCGTGTGCATGCATACGTGTGTGTGTGTGTGAATTATAACTAGATCGCAATAACTGAACCAGTCTGAATGAATTCTGGTGTTTTGGTCTTTTCTTGCTAATCATCGTTATAAAACGAAAAAGATTTCCATGTGTACACTTCCCTCGTCTACTCGTCTTTTTTGTTGTTGTCATCCTCATCGTTGCTATCGTTATCATAGATCGTCGGCACCTCACCATTACGCAGCAATTTGCCAACATACTCGTATTTCTCCTTGAACTGCATTTCCCAGTCGCGTATCGAGTCCATTTCCATGGCGCCCAGATCGCTTAGATCATCATATTCATCCTTATCGTTGGCAACCACACTGAATGTGGCCAGATTACGTGATGCATCACGTCCGGCGAATGTAGCATATGGTCCGCCCGGGCCATAGAATCGTTTACCCTTAGTGACGTCATAAACGTTGCCATTGACGCCAACGAGTACCCGACCATCTGGCTGATTGCCATCAAATTCACGCAGCTCCTTAATGGTAAAATCGCGGCGCATCTTCGGCAATTCTGGCTCGGCCGGTTGCAGTGCCGCATCTCGGGCGCCGGGTCCTTCGCATCGATCACGCACAATTTTGTAGATCAGAAAACAAATGATGGAGAGTAGGGCCAGGTTCATGGGGCTGTAGAAGATTTCGCGCAATGCGCCCGCCAGAAATGAGGATTCGACGGTTGCATCAGCCTCAACTGTATTTGGGGTTTCCATCTTCTCAAAAAAGTTGCGTTTTTTTTGCTTTTCGTTGCTTGTTGAACTTTGTACACGTTTTTGCTAGCAGCGCTTGCGTCGCGTTTTTATCTATTGAGTACTTATTTATGAGATGTAAATCGTAAGCTTGACGCACCGAATACAAGCAAACGAATATTGAATTTATTTATATACAGTATGCTAACTTCTTTTTCTAGAATAAATTTGCTTTTTTCACCCTATACTTATCGCTCAAACAGCTGAAAAGCGACGAGCAGACAGCTGACAGTTAGCATGAAACTGCATGGGCAATCGGTTATCGGCACTAAACACACAATGTCGGTACTTGTTGCTCCTCCCTTAAACGAATTTATCAACACTGCAAGTTAAATTAATGCACTTATTTTAAGTTTCTTTACCTTACACATATTGGCAGTCAGATATCTCATCATGTTTATGCTAAATAATGCATTTATTTGTATTCTGACAATGACTAAAAAGCTATGAACAGAAAGAGCGATCGGATATTGGTGTTACGGATATGTTATCGGTACTTGTTGCTCCTGATTTGTAACGGACGGTAAAAGCATGAAACGAATTTATCAGCACTGCCGCTTGAATTCGTGCACAACAGCAACTTGCGGACAGCGAGCAGTAGGCAAATTATTGGTGATTAACCTCGCAGGAAAAAAAACTTGACAGATAGCTAAAGATGCACTGTGACACGTGCAACTAGCCATCCAAATTTTAAACGTATTTAAGCTCAACCCACACTCAGCCAAACGTACTCGCACTTGCACTTTCAGTACCCAAGCAAGTATTTAGAAATGAGACTTTTTCTAATAACCACATTATGGCTGGCCTGCATTTTCGCAAGCTCAGCTGATGCGGATAAGAAGAGGCAGATTGAGGAGTTGCTGGAGCAGAACACCGATGAACTAAGCGAGACCAAGCAACTTCTTCAGCATCTTGACAGCACAAATGATCAAATTAAGGCCAGCTTTGATCAACAGCGCGGCTGGCTACAGGCGATTAATCGTGTGGACGGTTTGCTGGCGAATTTAAACCAAGTCGTCACTGCACAGACGGAGGCACTGGTGAACGCAATGAAGAACACAACTCTCAAGTCTAGCTTGGGTGCGGATCGAGTGGTCAAGGAATTGGGCACCCTAGCGCGCTCCCAGCTATCAACGAAACAACAGATCAACGAGCTGGAGCAAAAGTTGGATGGCTACCAGAAAAATGTGGTGCAAAATGCACGCGGCATTGACAATAGCATTCTTGAACTGACTAAATTGATAGCTCGTGCCGTCCTGCCCCAATTGAATGGACTTCAATGTTCTTTTGACAGCCTGGAGACATCACACATTAATATCGAAGTGGAGCTCAAGAATCTGCCACGCATCGAGGAAATTACCGAGGACTCCAGTCGTAAGCTAAATGTTCTAGGCGAGCAAATGGCTAGCCTAAATCATACCCAGAGCGCTCGTCTCTCTATGCTGGCGCACTCCGTCTCCAAGCTGAAGCCTCTGAATACTTGGCAGATTGAAAGTGCGTTGCGTGAACTTATTATATCGCAGAAGAGCATCGAATTAGATCTGGAGGCGTGCGAGAAACGTTCTGCGCCACATTATCCCAGGACACACAGTGTCGAAACTTATTCTTCCTATGAAATTGAGACACCGTCGCATACTCATCAGAGCAAGCAGGTGGATGTAGTACAGAGTACGTGGTGATCACTTGTATATCCTCTTACAACTGATTTCTTACTCTTCCGTATAATTACTAGGTGCACGTGCGGGTCCATATCACGCAAGTGCTTATGCCCAGGTATCTGAGCCAAGGCTAAAGTCTGTGCAGCCCGCCCGCAGTTCCGGCTCAAGTAATGCATATTCCGTCTCCTGGCGGCAGGCTCTGCCCTGGGAAACCGTTGCTGATTATCCATCCGCCTCAGCGACAGCGATTAAGCCCACAAATCCTGCACTACCTTGGCAGGTTAAGCCACACTATCCAGTGCCAGATACCAAGCTCTACAATTCTGGTTCCGGTCGCAGCATACCTGAACCAAATCAGCCGTCGTGCGCTAAGAAGCAGAATCCACCGCGCTATTCAACGCCCACTGCCTATGGGTCACCAGCACCACAACAAGAGTCATCTTCCCAACAATATCAGCAGCAGAGCTCCAAGCGCGGTCAATCCATAGCCCAGCAAGGCTAATCTCTCTGGCACGGCAACCAATCGGACAGTTACTAGGAAACATCAACTTTCCAATTTGAGATGTTTAGCAACAGTTTATTTTTACAGCAAATATGTAAAAAAATATAACAAATATATTTATATTTAGAGCCATTTTATAGACAAATTTAAAACACATAAATCAATTAAACTTTTAACAAAGTTGTCTTTTTCTATTGATATATTTTCTACAGCAAGCAAAACAACATAAAAATTCCAGATGTGGTAATTGTGCGAAAATAAGATAATCGACTTAAGAATAATATTAATATTGTGTATTACTGTTATCTTCTGTTGTTAAACACATTCGATTATTACTCTTTAAAAAATTCTATGAGATGTTTAAACGGAAATGACAATTTGAAATACATTTGATTACAATGGAAAAAATATGTATAAAATAATCAGAATCAATTTTAAATAGAAGATCCTACATTTTGAGTTTTCTTTTTCGATAAAATGACATATATAAATGTATCTATTTATAATTTTATATATCTCATTTTAACGAAAAAGATTTTATGATGACGTCCTCCATTCTCCAACCAGTTTAAATGAATCTTATATTTGTAAATTATTGAATCCGTCTAGTTTAAAAGTTTGACCTTATCTCTGTCGAAATTATAGTTCTCAATCAGTTTTTATATGAAGGTTTTTAAAAAATCAAATGAACAATCGACATATTAGGTAACTATACGAAATTTTTTTTTAATGATATTACATTTCAAACATGAAAGTAATACAAATGTGCATATCTATAAAATAAAGTCTAAATAATATGTCGTGTAAGTCTTAGTGTCAGCTCGTTTACAAATAAAGATAAATAAATAAATCATCTCGTGGGCGACATTTACTGAATGAATTTTAAAAAGCGACCTATGATAAGTATTCCCAATTTTCGGATATTCCGGAAATAATAGTAAAATTCGGCACGTTTTTTTTTTTGGCCGTGCACTTGAAAATGTTGGTCATTTTGGGATATAAACCTATGTATTTACAAACGTCAGAATGTGAAAACGTGACCCAACAAATAATATGTAGCACACTCAAAAAGTCGTTGAACCATTTTTTGCGCAGATTGCTTCATATTATCTTTTTTTTTTGACCAAAAGTGGGTAATGCATATGACATGAGATTAGGTGAAGAACTATCAAATACTATTATAATACTCGCTCTAAAAACGAAGTAGATGAATAGATTAAGCCAATTGTGCACCTGACACGTTCGAACTGGGCGCAGCTGCCCCTATTTAAGCTGCAACCCACGCCAACAGAATACAGTCCCAAGTCAACGGTCAATCATGAACACTCAACTAATCGTGCTAATTGTGTGCCTTGCTGGTTTACTAGTCTCTGCCCAGGAGGAGGTAGTCGTGCAGGTGGGCCCATAACTAAACATATAGTATATACACACATCATCTTTTACACACTTTGACCGAAATGGAATATACCCAATTGAAACTTTTTTAATTGTCTTCAAGTCGCAGGCAGAAGCCAGGCGACCAGTGGATTTAAATCACTTAAGCACCGCTCAGATACTTCGACATCTGGTGGAGAACAGTGAGACGCTTCAGCAGATCGACTCAAAGACACTTGGCGTCAGTAACTCCCAAAAGGGCATTGAGCAGAAGCTAAGTCTCTTAGGACAAGATGTTGCCGAAATTGCACGCCTGGAGGATAACCTCAAGAAACTGGTTCCGTGCATCGCGGGCAAATCTCAGTTGACGGACAACAACATCAAAACTCTCACATCCAGCCTCCACGACGCCGAGAACAGAACTGTCAGGGCTATTGACACTCTTAGTCGCGGTCAACTGGATATCAAACAAGGACTAACCAAGGCGGATCAAAATCAAAAACGACACGACCTCAATCTTGATCAGCTGGGCAAGTCAGTGCACCAGCGTCTAAACGGACTCGACAATCTGGTGAAGCAAATGGTGCTCAAGGAGCTGGTCACACTGGGGCAAGCGTCAAAGAAACTAGAACAAGGACAAAAGCTCATCGAGAGCAAGGTTGTCCATTTGGATGAGCTGGCCGCACTGAGCAGCATTACAGCGAATAAGGTGTATCAGCTTGAGCAGGGATTGCGTTCAATTAATAGCACACAACAATACCAGCTGGCAGCCATTGGCCAGAATATGCAGCAGCTGGGCGCCACCACCTGGCAGATAGACAACAAATTAGGAGTACTCCTCAGCACCCAGAAGAATATTGAACGTGCTGTGGTCGAGTGCAAGAAATGTCAGCCACAGCACATGGATCGCAATCCCCACGAGCACTGGCAGCAGCCCCAGTTCCCACAAGTTTACGAGTAGGTGTCCTGAACTAAGAAAAACTATTTATATTAATCGCATATACTCCTTCTTTCCAGACATAAGGACGCGCAGAAGACGCCAGTGAAGACCGAGTACGAGACCAGCTATGCTAATGCCGATGAGGCTTCCTATCTGTACCAGCTCTGGTATGGCAAGGATGACAAATAGATGAGCATGTGGCAAATTCAATAATTAATACGACCGAAAGTTTTTAATTGTCTTGGGGAGTGTAGTCCGGAGTGTATAGGAGTCCGTAGGGTATAGCAGTCCTATACCTTATTTTGGAAAGTCATGCAGTCTAGTCGTCTTAGATCATTAAAACGATATTTAACAATCATATCGTACAAATATAAACATAAAGACAATTTCATTGAAAATCTCTACAAGGCTTCAACAATATATTATTTTTTTATTTGTATATTGAATTCCATTTTGAGGAACTTTCAATAGACTAAAACTAACAAATGCACATAAAAGTTGATTCATTAATAGTGGAATGACAACCAATTGAATTATCTACAACGTGTTAAAACTGATAATAAATTTACTTTATGAACAATAATAACAATAGTTCATTTTGATATTAAAAATCTTTTGGATCCAAGGGATTAATTTGTCCATCGGCGAGATGATAGTTAATAAGCAGCCGCGTTTCGTACTTATCCTTATTCTCGGTACGATTAACGTTATTTTTGGCCAAAGCCCGGAAAGCCTCTGTGGACAAGCCAGTTTCGATTCTATCGGTGCTGGCATCCGGATTATCAGGATACATGTCATCACCCGGTAGTAATTGCACAATCCCATCTGTGCATTGGTAAAGAACTGGCTGTGCGATGAGCACATTGCACTTGGCTCCTCGCAGCTGAGCGAACTGACGTAGTTGTTCCAACGATTGAAAGTTGAGACAACGCGACAGCTCGTAATATTGCGGCGGTGGCAACCAGACCTGCTTTTTTATCGCAGACTTTAGATAATCCAAAGGCGAGCGCCACTATAAAAAAAAATGCTAAACTTTAGTAGGTTTTATTAAAAATCCTTATGATAAACTAACCGCATAATCTTTGACCTCATTGGGTTCACTCAGTACTTTGGGCTGCTCCTTAAGCGCCGTCAAAAAGAAGGTAGTTTCGAAACGCCTGGACTTGAACGTGGAGGGTGTGCGCCAGGCGCTCCATTCGTGCAGTGACCACAGATCCGGCAGTACATCCAGCTCCTCGCAAAGTGCGAGGAACTTGCTCGGATTATTGTGAACCTCATGTTGCCAGTGTTTGCGATCAAATTGTTCATTAAACTGTGCATAGCCGTCGGTGCTGGTCAATGTTTTGCGATCCCGGCACAGTAAAATTCCCATTTCCTCGAACGTTTCACGCAGGGCACTCAGACGCAACGATATCGCACTAAAACAACACACAAAATTGAGTTAGCGATTATGGAATATGTTAAATACTTTACGAATTGAGAGTCTCTTTGCTGGAGTCCGTCAGTGAAGATGCAATCGGACATAGTTCACGCAATTTGGCAGCACCAATATCGTAACGCTGAAAGTGTTTTAACCAAGCGGGCGAGCTATCTTCTGCATCACAAACGCCACCGGGAAAGACGGAAGAGTCTGGCATAAAACTAGATTTGGAGTTACGTGTTAAAAGCAGCGCCTGTAAAATACCAATAACAATTATTTAGGCCTCACTAAACGATATGCCAAATACAAACATTGTAATCAAAGATCGATGGCGCAATGCTGTTGTCCTTAGCCAAGAGTATTAAGCTGGCGGACGGACGCACTTTTACCAACACTTGCTTCGCCATAGCTTAGATAACACAAATATATCGACAGTAATATGCGCATGCACGTATCGATCTTACAGAGTAGAGATATGCATGAGCACAACTATCGTTATACTGAATTTGCAATAGCCGATAAAAAAAAAAGAATAAATTTAGCGCACCTATCGATCTTGCTGACAAAACTGGGAGTTCTTGCAGGAAAACTATCGGCTTTAACATTTGAATCAGCTGTTAAACTCTATGTTCACGGTACAAAGGTGATACCAAAAATGATTAGAATTAATTTGACGGCTGGAGGGATTACCCACAACTACCAGATCCTAGCATGACTGCCGTCAACAATACCCAGACGGCTTATAGACCCTCGGCTAGCTTAATACTAGCAGGCAGACAGCCGTCCACAGCCAAGGAGCAGTTTGATTACAAAGTAAGCGTAAGAAGCAGTTAAGATAATGGAGTCATAATATCATCCACGTATATTCTCAGCTCTTACTGATCAAGCGTACGGAACGCACAGCTTTTGCTCTAAATCACTGCGTCTTTCCCGGTGGCGTTCTTGACCCCAAGGCAGATGAATCCCTCGATTGGCTGACATATTTCCACGATTGTGGCGTTAGCCAGGCACAATTGGATCTTTTGAGCAGTCGCCAAGCCACTGACAGACCAGATCTATTCAGCCGCGGCGAGCATTTCACTCGAGACATCTCGCTGCGCCTAACTGCGCTGCGGGAGACCTTTGAGGAAGTAGGAATTCTACTGTGCCGGAACAGTCCGAAGGATCTGGAGATTGGTCAACCGGCAGAGGTATTGGTGCAACCGTTCGAGCGCCAGTTTTGGCAACAGCAAGTCCACAACAATGCCCAACAGTTTTTGGAGCTCTGTCGCCATTTGGCTGTGATACCCGATCTGTGGTCACTCAGTGAGTGGTCCGTTTGGCGCACCCCAGCTTCGGCATCGAGTAAAAAGTACGATACAGTCTATTACTTTGCCGCCTTGAAATCGAACAGTGTCGATTTGCTGCTCGAACCAAGCGAGGTGGACACGGCTCACTGGCTGGATCCGGGCGACTGCTGGCGCGCTTCACAAGAGGGTGTCATCTGGTTGCCTTATTTACTGCTCTACGAGACGGCGCGTCTGATGAACCTGGAGCGCTGGCACCATCTCTTACAGTTTGCCCATCGTCGCAGCTCTCGTGGCAGCCTGCTGATGCAACCGATCTATTATCGAACCATTGACTGCCTAATTGGCGTACTGCCTGGGGATGAGCTCTACGTGGCCGAGCCGCACAATTACACCGAGTCCATCATACTCTCGACTTCCTTAAATGAACTTAATGCCCAGGCCAAGCGCTACAATCGCTATATGATCTATGGTTTCCAGCGTGTCGACTTTGCCTGCAATGTTGCGCCCCAGGATGGACATCTCCAGCTGCAACCGATTGTCAATACCCGATTATCTAAGTTATAATATGGTTTTTTGTTAATATATGCATTAATATATAGTATATATATGATTTCCAAAAGTGAACTACTGAAAAGATATTGAGCTTTTCCCATGATGTTATAATATAATAAAGTGATTTTTGAACTGTACAACATTAACTCAAATAAGAACAAATAAGTAACCCATAGTTTCTAGTAATCAATCAGCACATGCTTCTTTGTTTTATAATTATTTTTAGAGTCAGTGAAGACTTTGATCTTTGTATAATTTTATGGACTTATACCCTTCTAGAGGGTATTATAATTTTGTAAGGTCTGTGTAAGATCACTATCCGCAGTTAAATTTAGATCTCAGATCAAAAAAAACTGATTACAAGTGATTATGGTATGTTACCACTAGTTAACTCGGCTTGTATATTTCTACAGGCGTGACACAAATCTTGTGCTGCTGTCAAGCGCTGCCTCGCGCGCTGCTCCAAGGCCTCCATATTATCATGCTGCTGCAGTGCCACGCCCATTTCTGAGACGGCACGTGAGTATTCAATTGCCAGCAGGGTGTCTGAGAGTTGATGATCCAAAACGGAATGGCACAGCGTACAAGTTGTGGTCGGATCTACGTTGGTCTGTTGCTTGGCTGCAATTTTATCGCCGGTGCGAAAAATTGTGGACACGGTGGATGCATAATTGATTTGTAAATTGGCCACAAAGGCACTGGTCAGATTTTGGAGGCTGGCTGCGGAGGACTGGTCAAGTTCATTCTCGGAGGTGAACGGTTGCAGTTGCTGGGCGTGCACATAGAACTGAACTTCCTGTTCGTTGAGGTCTTTCAAGGGTCGCAGCAGCTTAATGTCGTCCTGCAGGCGATCGTCCAGTAGCGCCACATCCAAAGCAACGCTGCCGCCACGTCCTAAAGCCACAGACGTCAACAGCTGTGTGGCCAGCGTGCTGCTTATGCTAGACTCAAAGACATGGCTGCACTGCAGATGGGCGGCTACGGCTCCAATCAGCCGCTTGCGCTGCTGCAGTCCATAATCCTGGCGAGCTGTCAAGCTGCGCAGCTCCTGTTGCGTTGCGTTTACTATTGACGCACTATATTCCTTCAATGACTGCAAACTTTTGGGCTCTGCATTCAGTTGTATGACATAGAATTCAAATGGCGCATAACGCTCATGCAGCTTGTGCAGAGACGACAGTGAATCATTGCCACAAGCATCTATGTAGAGCACTCGCGCATTGCAATGCAGTCGCTTGAACGTGTTTTGGGTCTGTGCAAAGTGGAGCATGTCCAGCAGCACCAGGGAAGCGCCGCTGCCATCAACCAGGAGTAGAACTTCAGCACTGCGTGGCAAAGCCTTGGCAGCGCCAAGGGCGGCGCGGAACTTGTGCCTGGCGTAGCTGAGGAAACATAGCTGGCATTCAGCGGCACGAAAGTTCAATTTGTAGAGCTCATCTGAAGCAAGGTTACACTTACTACAGCTGCCAGCACTGAGCACAGTACCGGTGGCCGATGAACCAGGCAGCATGGCATGCGTGGCACCCTCATCGCCAAAATCATCTTCTCCAATACTGCACATTTGAGCTTGTATTTCACCAATAAATGAAATTAAATAAACTTGTACCAAAAAAAATAAGCGCGTGTACGTATAGAGATGGGATTCTAATGGCATACGAAATATCATCACTAGTAGAGCTGCATTTAGGGCTGATTTTGATTTCAATATCATCGACTATCGGGTAAATGCGATATACAGCCAACACGTCTAGCAAGCAACCTTGCGCCCAACAATTAAGTGCAGTGAAAAATATAAAATAAACTATTTAAAACTGTTATTTGCTGTGAAAAACAATTGCATACGATTAATTTAGTGCTTAAGGTATGTGGAAAATGTGTTAACTAGCAAGAAAAACTAATTTAAGTGAGTGAAAATTGAGCGCAAAATTGTAGGTGCTCCCTGTAGATGTGTGTGTGTATGTCTGCTTGTGAATGTGTGCGTGTGTGTGTTTGTGTAGCCAGTCTCGTACGCAAGCAAAAGTATCGGGTAGCAAAATCGAGAAACTTTCTTATTGGAACATATACAAACGAGTGGCTGTCATAGGTGGTGAAGGCTCTGTGTACGTACAAAAAACATTACATCAATATTTTGGAAAGCACACGACTCTACTGAAACAAAATGAAACAAATATGTATTTGCTCACTGCCTTCTCAAATGTCTGCCTGTTTGCATTGCTGTCCTTGTATTGACAGTAGCAATAACCAATAACAACAGCCACAAATCGCTGCCAGCGTGCGTGCGTATGTGTTGTGTGTGATAAGCACTATAATAGCAGAAGAAGAAGAAGAAGCACATTCGTTGCTTTGTTGTTTGTGTGTTAAGCCGAAATTTGTAATTTTAAATAGGCAGCAACTCTGCTGCATAGAAACAGTGTTGTTAGCTAATTCATTGAGTTTTGTTTGTGGTTGCCTATTTTCAGCATTTTAGCTAATATTGTACATATATAGTATAAACGAGTGCAGTTAACTCGCAGCAGGCGCCCCGGACACTCTACGTGTTGGGTAGACAGAGACAGCGAGTGACAAAAAAAAAACCTGAGAGCGGCAGAGGTCATCTTAAAAATAAGTATATTTTTGGCCCCCTACACTACAAAAAAAAAGCAACAAAAAACACCAAGGAGAGCAGAGCAACGTAGACCAACGCAAGCAAAAGCAAACATCATTTGGGGTCATCCAACAAAATGATATTAGAAAACTGGGATAAGCTGAAGGATTGGCTGAGCGTTGTGCTCGAGCCACTGTAAGTATTGAAAAATCTCAACTCAAACTCAATACTCGTTACTGAGTAGAAAGTATCGATAGCATAGCGTCTATTGCTGCTTGGGTGGGAATCGAGTAATCCATCAAATATTAATTAAAAATCATACAAATTTTCTTTTAATAGCTGTGATGCTGACTCCTCGGCATTGGCTCGCTACGTAATTGCGCTGCTGAAAAAAGACAAATCGGATAAGGATCTCAAGCGCATAATGATCGAGCAATTGGATGTGTTTCTATCCGAGGAAACGACCCGTTTCGTTGATCGTCTGTTCGATGCCATCGCCAGCGAGGAGTATCTAACAATGCCCGCTCCCACACCAGTGGCAACGTTAGCCGTTTCCGAACTGGAGCTGGACCATGACCTGGAGGTTGGTTCCGATATTGAGGCCGTTTTGGCTGCCGTCTCATCGCCACCACCACCACCCCCGCCAAAAGTAATTGTGATAAAGCTCGACGGCAATCAGCAACAGCAGCAGCAACAACAAATCAACAACGATATCATCAGTAGGGAGCCCGCATCAGAAGCGTCCAGCGCCTTCGTCAGCGGGAGCAGCAGCAGCAGTGCCTCAATTGTCACAGATGCCAATACAACAGGGACACAAAGCACCAAACCAGCCTTCGATGTATGTCCCCAGTCCTCACCCCATTTCCTAATTATGACTTTTACTATTTATAATTTGCGAGTTCATCAAGTATATATATTTTCGATCAGTTCTTCAGAACTTCTTTATGAAATAGTTACTTTATATCGTAAACAAGTTTTACACTCAGCATTTACGAACACAATTATGCTTCCCATAATCTTAGTGACAGTAGAAACAATCTTTCTGCAATAATCCTGGTATCGTTTACACTGATTAAATTATTGTTATTCTCTTCTTGCAGCACAAAACCAAAGACTCCCACAAAGACCCGCAGCAGCAGCAACTAATGCATCACAGCAGCGGAAGCAGCGGCGTCACTGGCATTGTGCGCAGCGCTAGTCCTCCACTGCGCAGCAGTGGTGGCCCAATTGCTGGCGCCAATGCCGCCGACAAGGAGAATCAGCCACGCGATAGTCGCCGGCGCCGCGCGTCCCTGCGTTCCCGTTCTCGTTCCCGCTCGCGATCCAATGAGCGCTCGTTTAGGCGTTCGCGTTCCCGGGATCGTCGCATCAATGAGCGCGAGAAGAGCCAGCGACAGTTTCGCAACAAATCGCCGCCTTGTGGCGCCAGTGATCAGCGTCACCGGCGCAACAACAACAATAACAATAACAACAACAGCAGTTTCGACAGGCGTCGCATCGGCAACAACAACAATAACAGCAACAGCAATAACAACAATATGGATGATCGTGGCCAGCGCTTTGGTGGCAGCAAAGGACGCCACTCGTCGCGCAGTCGCTCCATTTCACCCGAGTCGCGGAATGCGCGTCGTGGCATGGAACTCGCTGCCTGCTCGTCGGCGTCGGCCGCATCTGCAGTGCCAGTACCGCCTGCCGTGATGCATCCAGTGCCGGTGATGCCGCGTCAGCGTTGCCGCGACTTTGACGAGAAGGGCTATTGTGTGCGGGGCGAGACATGCCCCTGGGATCATGGCATTAATCCTGTTGTCTTTGAGGGCATTAATAATTCCGCCCTGATGATGTCCATGCGCGAGTACAATCCGGATGCACCAGAGATTTGGGCACGCGGTGGTCCACCAGGCGTGCCGGGAGTAGTGCCAGCTGGCGGTGGGAATCCACAGCAATTGCCTGTGCCGCCGCAGCCCGGACAGACGAGCATAAATCCGTTCAGTGGCAATGTGCGTGCCTGTGCTCCATTGGGTGCGCCCAATCCCGCTGACTATGCCCGTCAGCCGGGTCAAGCGCCGCCGGTGAATGCACCGCCGCCAATGATGCCATTCCCTTTCAACCCGACGGCGGTGACAACGCCGCTGCAACGCCAGCTCATCCCCATACCCGTGATGGATGGTGGTGCCGCCGGTGGCGGTGGCATTGCTGCTGAAATGGGTAAACGACGCTTCGAGCTGGAGGATAGTGTGGCCATAGCCGATGTGCCCAGCAAGATGCGCAAGGTGCCGATCAATAGTCGGCTGGGACCGCGTGTCAATCCCAATATGCAGCAGCACAATAGCTCCCTGGAGCTGCGCAAGGTACCGCGCGGCCTGAACACCATTGCGCATCTGAACAATCATTTCGCCAAGTTTGGCAAAATCGTCAATATTCAAGTGTCATACGAGGGAGATCCCGAGGCGGCCATTGTGACGTTCTCCACGCATGCGGAGGCGAATGTGGCATATCGCAGCACCGAGGCGGTGCTCAACAATCGCTTCATCAAGGTCTTCTGGCACAACGACAACAACAGCAATAGCAGCAGCAACAACAGCAGCAGCAATAACATCAACAACAACGAGTCTGCAGCGGGCAGCATTGGAAATGTGAATCGCAAGAGTCAGTATCATTTGCATAATGTACCTGCGGTGCCCACGCCAAATGCGGATAGCGCCAAGATTATTAACAACAACAACAGCAACAACAATAGCAGTAGTAGCAGCAGCAATAATGCCAGTCAAACAACACCGCTCACCGAAGCAGGCAATGCGCTCAGCTCAGCGCCCAGCTCAGATCAGGCGTTGGCGAGCACAGCGGCGCCTTCGTCGATGCGGCTAAAGCTCAACACAAATGCCGCAGCGAATGCAACAGCGAATGGGGCGACACGTGCTCTGATGCCGGCGGCGAATGTGGCGAGCATACGCAAGAAACAGGAGGAGCAACAGAAGGCGATGCATCAGCTGGCGAACGGACTGCGTAAGCGCAAACAGGAGCTGCTCCAGAGCTATGTGAAACAAATGAAGACGGCGCTGGAGCTGGTCGAGCGCATGGATCAGCAGGATGTGCAGCGAGCGCCGACGCTTGAGACGATCAAAGTGCTGCAGGCGACCATAGATCGATTGCGCAAGGATGTGCACGCCGATCAGGATCAGCTGCAGGCGCAAATCCAGCAACAGCAGCAGCAGCAACAACAACAGCAAACGCTGCCCGTCAAGAAAACCAAAGAGCAACAGAAGAGGGAACTGCTCGATATGGAACTGGAGCTATTTGCCCAGCAGCAGGAGGGCAACGATACGACGGCCATACAGAAGCGACTTGAGGAGCTGCAGCGCACGCTCTCCGCCACAATAGGCGGGGGCAATATATCTGGTGGCGCCAAGCTGCCCGGTGGCGGCGCCCGGAAGCGTTCCACATATCCCGAGGGCTCCACGCGCGTCGATCGCCGACCAAAGGCGATTGTTGTCACCGGCTTTGCCGCCGAGGAAGCTGATTTTGTGCTGGGTCACTTTAAGGTAGAGTACACTTTAATACTATCCTCTTAAAATATACTAAACTGTTGTTGTTCGCTCCTCCAGCATTTCGGTGAGATATCCAAACATGATGTGGACCGTGAGATTCCCCAACTAATACTCTCTTATGCAACGCGCTTGAATGCCGAGCAAGCGGTGCTCCGCGGTAAAATGTTCAAGGACAAGCGCCTCCAGGTGAGTGATGATATTGCAAACTTATTGTTATCGTGACAATATTTTAACTCTTGCTATCTGTAGATATCCTGGGCACCTGTGGTGACGGCACCTGCACCTGCAGTGCCCATGGGCGCACCGATGACCGATAAGACGCCGGCTGTTGTTGCGGCGCTGGCTGGCGATAAGATGGACAACCCGAAGCACCTGATGCAATCTGTCAGCGAGAGCGAATCTCTGCTGGGCAGCGATACACTGCCAGAGCTGCGTTTGGAGGATGAGGAGGAGGACGAGGAGTCCGAGGATCGTTCCTGGCGTCGTTGATGTAACGCCCCGCACCGCTACTCCTAGTGGCTGGCTAGCTCCATGTGGCTGATAATCGTTAGGAAGCGTTGATTGTATTTCTATTTGTTGTTATATTCTATATCTAAAACACTGCACAGATCCAATATATGTAGACATCGCATATATGTGTATGTATGCATGCAAGGGAAACGCCGTTATTTGTATACAAAAGAGCAAACGCATGCTAATGTTATGTACAATATTTTATTCTAAAAGGCAAATGTCCTAACACACACACCACACACACACACAAGTGCACGTACATACACAACACACACGCAAAAACAGAGAAAACTGGACATTTAAAACTGTTGGTAGCTCTTCTGCTAAATCCTAGAGGAAAACAAATAATAATCTTTACACGTCTTAAATTATACAAAACGCTCTTAATATTACTAATATTTACGGAATATATAAGTTATGTATGTATATGTACATCGCATTCGATCTACGAATGTATTTAGCTTAGCGCCTCTTTATAGTCCACAATTAACAAGAGCAGTAATAATAACAACAACAAAAATATCGGAACAGAAACAACAACCACTAAACAACTATACGTTAAAAATGCAACTAAAATGCATTGATTAAGCATCTTATATTAGGTACTACTCTTTGTATTTACATATTTTTCCCACTATCCTTATGTTCAGTTAAAACAAAACAAAACAAAGCAAAACAAGAAAAAACGTAAAAATCACTAAACAAAAAAATGGTAAAACAAAATCAAAGTTAAACAAAAAACATGGAAACGTGAATACAAAAGCAAAGTTACATAGAGAGAGAATATAATAAATAAAATAAATAGTTTCGTATTTGCTATTAATTTCACATAAAAACTTCAATTGTTTCATTTATATAGTTGTGTAATGTTGAGCGATTTATTTTCAAAAAGTTATGGAATATCCAAATTAATTTACAGTTTTCCAGTCATTTGAAGGGTAAACATACATAAATGCTTCCTGTCGATTAGCTGAGACCAGAAACGCTTTTCTTAATGCATTCCACATTCCAAAATAAGAAATCGAAATTTTTCTTCACAGCAAATTTTCAAAATACGATAAGTGCACCGATAAATAAATTCGGTGTCGTCAGCTGCAGTTTATCGATAACATTCACATTAAACAAAAAAAGGCTCATCTCCATAAATAAAGATTAGCGATAGTGGCGGGAATAAATGGATTTCCCTATTGAATTGTGACTAATGTTATTTAGTCGTATAACATATTTGCGCTTAGCGAAATATGTGCACTATTCCGCTAAGCAACCCACTGACATGAAGTTTCTAAATGTGGCCGAGAAGAATGATGCTGCGAAGACCATCGCCGGCCTCCTATCCGGTGGCTCAGCGAATCGTGTAAGCAACAAGAGTTTGTTATTATCTTTTTAAATTGTGTAAAAACTTTAGCTAAAACCGATTTGCAGCGTGAAGGCTACTCAGTGTACAATAAGGTTTACGATTTCGAGGCGCAGGTGCGTGGTCAGAATGCCAAAATGGTGATGACCTCTGTCTCGGGCCATCTGATGCAGGTTGACTTTCTCGCCTCATATCGCAACTGGCTCAATGTGGATCCACGATCGCTGTTCGATGCGCCCATACGCAAAACCGTGGGCGAGAACTATGAGCCCATTAAACGGACGCTGGAGCGCGAGGTGCGCGGCTGTCAAGGCCTGATCATCTGGACGGATTGCGATCGCGAGGGCGAGAACATTGGCTATGAAATTATCAACGTCTGCCGCGCCATTAAGCCAAGTTTGACTGTGTATCGCGCCAGTTTCTCAGAGATTACGACGGCCTCAGTGCGTCGCGCCCTGCAGCAGCTTGGGCAGCCTGACAAACGACAGAGCGATGCAGTGGATGTGCGTACAGAGCTGGATTTGCGCACAGGTGCAGCCATAACGCGTTTTCAAACAATGCGCCTGCAGCGCCTATTCCCCGAGAAGATTGCCAGAAATCTCATCTCGTATGGCAGTTGCCAAATACCAACATTGGGATTTGTCGCGGAGCGCTACAAGGAGATCGAAGCATTTGTCTCCGAGCCCTTCTGGAAGATCAGAGGTGTGTGATGATTATAAGCAGCTTGGAGATTCTATCAGTTTTGCATGAAATTAAGGTTTATTATTATTATTTTGTAGTGCTGCACACCATTGAGGATTTGACGGTGGAGTTTAATTGGGCACGCAACCGCTTGTTTGATAAGGAGGCTTGTGAGAATTATCTGCTCCTGTGCATGTCTGAGCCAGAACCACGTGCCACTGTGGAGAGTGTGACAGTGAAGCCAAAGCACAAATGGCGACCCACACCGCTGGATACCGTGGAAATGGAAAAGCTGGGCTCTCGCAAACTGAAGCTCTCCGCCAAGGAGACAATGACCATTGCCGAGAAGCTCTACAGCCAGGGTATTATCAGTTATCCGCGCACAGAGACCAATCAGTTCTCCAAGGAATTCGAGCTAGCTCCGATCGTAGCGCAGCAGACGAGCCACGAAGCATGGGGCGCATTCGCGCAGCGTGTGCTCGAATGGGGACCAAATCCACGCAATGGCACCAAATCCGATCAGGCGCATCCCCCCATACATCCCATCAAGCTGGTAACTGGTTAGTTGAAAGTTGAATATTCGAAAATTGAAATAATTTAGCAGCTGTTAATGCATTAACATGATATAAGTTTATATATCAAAAGAGGATTATAAGCTAATTTTATATGTTAAGCAATACATTTGAATTCTTTTGTAATTTTAGGTCTCCAAGGCAACGAGGCACGCGTCTATGAGCTAGTCGTGCGTCACTTTCTCGCCTGTGTTAGCAAGGATGCAGTTGGATCAGAGACGATTGTTAATATCGACATTGCCGGTGAGAAGTTCAGCGCCAATGGACTGGTCATACACGAGCGTAACTATTTGGATGTGTATGTGTATGAAAACTGGAGCGCCAAGCAGATACACAACTATGAGCGGGGCCAGCGGTTCGAGCCCACAGAGATAATGCTGCACGAGGGCGCAACAACGGCTCCACCGCTGCTGACCGAAGCGGATTTGATAGCGCTAATGGAGAAGCATGGCATTGGCACAGATGCAACGCATGCGGAGCATATAAATACTGTCAAGAAGCGTGGCTACATTGGCGTTGTGGACAAGGGGGCTCTCGTGCCGGGCATCATTGGCATGGGCCTTTATGAGGGCTATGACGCCATGGAGCTGGCCTTAGCCAAGCCGCTTCTGCGCGCTGAATTCGAAGCGGATCTGAAACGCATTTGTCTGGGTGAAAAGGATCCCAGGCTAGTGCTGAGCGAGCAAATTGTTAAGTATAAACAGGCCTATCAACAGATTATGGATAAGATTACAGCCATGGATGCCAAAATATCGCAGCGCCTCAATGAAACCCCAGCGGTGCCGAGTGCGACTGATAATCCATCGGGGCAGACCAGTGGAATGGTGCGTGAGCTCTTTCCATGCCCCCAGTGCGACCAAGCGCAACTCGCTCTCAAACCGAAGAAGAATCAGACGAGCTTCTTCATTGGATGCCTTAATTTCCCAGACTGCAAGAACGTCGTGTGGCTGCCCGAAGAGTGCAAGGAGTATAGTGTGCTGGATGAGTGCTGTCCCAACTGCGGTGATGGTTATCACATGCTTAAGTTCCGTCTGAGCAGCGCCTATTATCGGGGTCTATTCAATGCACCGAATGGCTGGTACAAGAACTGTCTGCGCTGTGATGAGCTTTTCCGTAGCACGTTCAACATCAATCTGGATCAGGTGAAACGGGTCGGTGGTATTGTGGGACAGGCGGCGGGGCCGGGAGGCGGTGCTGGCCTAGGTCCGGGACCTGGAGGAGGCGGAGGTGGAGGCGGCGGATCAGGAGGAGGCGGTGGCCCTCCCAGTGGCGGTGGACCTCCCAGAGGTGGCGGCAGTAGCGGCGGTAGCGGTCCCATCAGTGGTTGGGGTACACATGGTAGTGCATCTGGCTCCCAAAAAACAGTCAAACCACAACCGAAAAAACCAAAGGCAACAACAGCTGCTGGAACAGCAACAGGCGCCAAGAAGGCAACGAGAACCAAGCGCACTCAATCAACAGAGAGCATTAGGAGCTATTTTACGGGCCGGAGGCAGGATACGGCGAGCCTGGATGGCTTCTTCGACAGCAACGATGGCTTCGAGGAACAACTGCTCGCTGCAGCAACCATGGTAGAGTCAATAGCTCCTCCCGAATTCGATGCAGACATTGCTTCCGCATTTGCTGACGACGATGATGCGGACTTTGAGGCGCTTGTAAATGGGGACAGCAACAGCAGGCCGCCAGCAGCAGCTGCTGTTGGTTTGGACACCAGTTTAACGCAGTGGATTCGCAATGCCTACGAGTCCGAAGAGCAGCCTATGCTGTGGGGCAGGCAAGCGCGTGTTGCTGCCGACGTACAACCCGCTGCAAAGCGACCACGTTTGAATGTCAACGATTCAGTTGCTCTTCCTGCAGGAGCTGTTGCCACCACTACAGAGGTAGTGCTTTGCAGTGGCTGTCATCAACCGGCGCGTCAGCAAACTGTTCGCCGCGATGGACCCAATCAGGGACGACAGTTCTACAAGTGTCCCAAGCCAAAAGAGTGCAAGTTCTTCCAGTGGGCAGATGAGCAGCCGTCAGCAACAACATCGACAGCAAGCAATTGGAACAGCGCCAGCAGTAGCAGTAATTCCTCAAGCTGGGGTACAAGAACTGATAATCAGCGAGTTGCAGGCAACTCTAAGGAAGTCGGCAACTCAGATTGGGGTTCCCGAGGAGCAGGAAATACGTCTTCACGCAACTCTCCGGACACAGATTCATGGGGCAGTGGCAACAACTCCTTACGTACCACAAGCGGAACTGTTCAGCAAACCACAAGCGCCCCTCAAGCTGCCAATTCATGGGGTAGTAAAAGCTCTACGGCCGCTACCTCATGGGGTAGTAAACCCCCCACAGCTGCCACCAGCAGCAGCATCGGCAGCAGCATCGGTAGCACCTTCATGCGCTCAAATTCCAGCAGCACGGTCACCATCACCCAACCTTTGAAATCAAGCGATATTAAATGCAACTGCGGCAAACCCGCCAGCAGCCTCACCGTGCGCAAGAATGGACCCAATCAGGGTCGCCCCTTCTATGCGTGTCCGACGCGCGAGAAGACCTGCGGTTTCTTTCAATGGGGCGATACGGATAAGAATCAAGGTAAGGATTACATCTATCAAAAGGAGTGCTTCATTTCATATAAAATTCCAATTAAATTTAAAACGAATCATTCCTTAACAGTTTCTTTAACCACTAATTACTTTTTATCTTGTAGCAGAAATATCCAATGCAGCCGGGGGCTCTAAGGGCGCCTCCAAATCTAGCTGGGGTTCCGGCAATCAACGCTCTCAGCAGCAAAGTGAGGCAAGCGGGAGCCGGACAGGGCGACGCTGTGGTCTGTGCCGCGGGGAAGGACACACGCGCATCAAGTGCCCTCGGAAAGCGGAATTTGATTACTGAAAGTTGCACAAGTAATCAAAAAGAAGCAGACATGTGCATTAATTTCGTTAATTATAGTTTTAAACATTTATTGGAGCGAGCAACATATATCGGTTATATAGTCCAACCCATCCGTGGGTTGGGGTTACTAAGCTTTACTTTATAGCTTGTATAGCGCGAAAATAAGAGGGATATGTAAAATACACACGCACAGTTAAGGTACACGTTCTGTATATACGATGTATATATCGTAATTTAAAAAATATAAATATATATATATATATAATGGGCGCGTTGTTGAAGATCATTTATAAGTGAAAATAGGCTAAATGTAAACTTGCCATATACTGTTTAATACTCACAGAACATGCCTTTGAAATTGTATACAAACTATTCGATTGTTAGAATTAAACATTTTTAAATACAGCTTAAATTTTGTTAAGCTAATACTGCAAAACTGAGCGTAAAATTCAATTTTGTATGTATCTAAAAATTATTCTGAAATAAAAAGTATTTCAAATTAAGATCCTAAATTGGGCAGACTTGATTTTGTAAATACTAAACAGTATATAGCTCTTTGAAGTACAGTTACTTAACAATATGTTATGTTATATAGATTTTGTATATATATATATCTTCAATATATAGGCTTATAAAAGTCAATTTTATATAGAGTCGCGCGCATAAATTCAACATTAATTTTTTTACAGTTATCGTTAATCGCTTTCAATTCTAAAATCTAGTTTTTTTGTTTGTTTTTGTTTTTAATACATTAAATTGCATTTGGAAGTTTGTTAAAAGTCAGGAAACATTGTAAAATAATTATAAATATTAAGTTGAGAAAATAAATAATTGCGTTTATGTTAAGAACAATAAAGTTTAAGCTAATAGTGTGATTATTGAATATGCAATAAGACATACACAGATTGAAAATGTTAACACAGAAACGAAAGAAGGGCAGTTCATAATTATAAATAGTTATAAAAGCATTGGAACACATTCAAAAAAAAAAAAGAGTTAGACAAGCTTATGGAAGTCCCCACAAAACGGATTTCGAAGTCTAACATTTATAGGTAATTTATAATAACGTTTTAGGGCCCGCACATAAGCAAGCATTTGAGATGCTGAGAAATGAAATTGGAACGCTTTAAGTACATATTATTGATAAACACAGACTTGGGATTACTTAAGTTAATGGACGAGCACTCAACAAACCGAGTAGACTGCGCGCTTTGAGATGTTTGGATTGTGGTAAAATTTGTCCAAGTTTACAACGGATATCTAAAAAAAAAATTTGTATATCAATTTATTTCAGGCATGTTTCGTTTTTCATAATCCAAAATTTCTATAAATTGCGGTCCACTTATAAAACTTGAAATAGAATTTATCTTTTCACGAAGATAATACACAAGTTTAGAAGTTTATTTTGAGACAGAACTACGTATTTTAGATGGCAAGGGAATCTTAACAAAAGTCAAATACTTTTAGGAATATCTATGCAAATCTCCCTGGCAGTCTTATGTGTAATGCTTTAGTTAAGGATCGTTAGGACAAAGAGAGAACTACCAAATCAAATAGGTAGCAAAGGAATTAAAGAAGCAGTCAAATGAAGGCGACAAAATGGTAAAAGTTAAGCTACTAAATAGGAATTATTCAAGCAATTAAGCTTTAAATCGTTATTTCTAACGATAATCAAACGCTATGATAGACTCGCATGGAATGCAGGAATGGAACGGGGAACGATGAGAATCGAAACAGCCTTAAATGTCATGCGAAATTTGTGAAAAATACGAGGTAAACTCGATTGTAGAACCTAGGCAAATGATACCACATATTATTGAGCTGCGATTGGAATGTTTTTTTATGGTTTTTTTTTTTAAATTTCGACCTCTGGCGTGAATTTGCGTCAGAAGTAGATCTCCTCCTCCTCGGCTTTGGCACGTGGCGCCTGGCCCGGAGCAGCTGCTGTCCGCACACTCGGACGACTGCTGGTGGGCGTCTGCACCAGACGCTGCTGCTGTTGTGGCTGCTGTTGCTGTCCAGCATATCCGGCGTAGTGCACATCCTGTCGCGCCACATTTGGCGTTGAATTGGCAGCTGCTGTTGTTGTTGTTGCTGTTGCAGGCGTTGTCGTTTGCTGTATAATGGCCGGCGAGCTGCCGGTGCGTGAATGCTGCGGCGTTGGAGCCGGTGTGGGCGTGGCCATTTGCCGCTGCTTGTCGGCCAATTTGAGTGGGAACATCTGCTGCATGCCACCGCCGGCTATGTTGGCTGGAGAGGAGCTAGTAGTGAAGCTGGCGGATTTGTCGACGCGTGCTCCGGATGACAGCGAGGAGAGTTTCATGGGCAGCTTTTGTTTGACGAGCGTCGAGTTCGCCTTGGGTGCATTGTTGGCGCTGAGCAGATTAACTGGTGGCGTTTTGCAATTGGAGTTGCCGCTGAGCCATTTATCCTTGCGTCGATCAATCGTCGAGGAGGAGGTAGTCGATGTTGTCGTCACACCCGTTGGCGTGTCCAGTTCGTGTGCCTCCTCAGGCAGGGCGACAGGTGCCAGTGTCGGCAGCGGTGTGCTCGGCGACAGCAGCAATCCCTGACTGGACAGCAGCTCCATTTTGCGATAGAGCTGCTCGCGCTGCTGACGCACATCCTCCTGCTCGGCCTTGATCTGCTGTTGGAGCTGCAGCTGCTGAGCCCGCATCTCGGCCAGCTCGTCCTGCTGCTGCTGCTTCTGACGCAACCAGGCGGTCTTCTCCTCCTGCAGTTTGTCCTGCAAATTGCGTAACTCCTCCAGCTGATCTTTGTGCGTGTATGCACCAGTGCCGCCGCCGCCGCCACTGCTGCTATTCCGTGGCGACTCCCTGTACAGGGCCAACTGCAGCTGCAGACTCTGGATGCAGGTCATCTGCTGCGAAATGATGCAGAGCAGCGTGTGCAGATGATGGGACACCTGCAGCACGGCATAATGCTGTTCCTTGCTGTTCGTGGGCAGCGTGCTCGCATGCAGCTGCAGTGTGGGATCTGCGGATGGGATTGCTGGTTGCGTTTGTGTTTGGGTTTTCAGCTCACGCTTCTCCTCCAACTCCTGCAGACGGGGCGTCAATGCCTGCAGCGTGTTGAGCTTGGCATCGCGTCCCACCTTGCCACGCTTCTCATCGAAGCCGGCAAAGGTCTCCGCTCGCTTGGGCAGCGTGGGCGAGGCATAGAGTACGCTCTGCTTCTCGCCAACGCTGCTAACCGTGCGGGAGACGGGCAGCCCGGTGGCGGCGCTGTAAATGCTCGCCGCCAGCTGGCTAATGTCCTGCACGGTGTTAAGAACGCGACGCCACAGCTCTGCTGTATCGCAGTCCGTGTTAACCAGTTCCTTGTAGGAGCCAAAGGCAGCCAGAAAATTGGCAGCGCTGCCATTCGAATTGGCATTGGTATTGAGATCCCCGAAGGGCTGCTGCTGCTTGAGCAGATTGAATTGCAGCAGCAGCTTCTCCTCCAGCAGAAGCGCCTGTTCGATATCCTTTTGCCGCATCTTCTCGATGGTTTCGCGCTTGTTGACGCCAATGCGCAGCTTCTCCTCGGCAGTCAGCGCCTCCGCCTCAATTACATCCGTTGCGGGACAATCGAGCACCGCCTGTCTAATGCTCTGTATCCAGGTTTGCTTATCCTTGGGCGTCTGCACCTTCAGCTCGTACATCTCGGGGAAATCTGGATTAGAGCTAATGATATAAATGCCTCGGGATTCGGTGCCAGCTTTCTCGCGAATCAACAGCTTCTGCAGTGGCACAACGCCCGCCTTGTGCTCCGGCGTGAAGAAGGCGTATTTATTATGCGCCGAATTCTCGCTGAGGAAACACAGGCAATCCGTGAGCACCACGACCAACACCAGTTGGGTCTTAGCCCTGCCCTGCATCAGCGTTGCCAGGCCATCAAATTTGAGGCGACGTCGCGACTCGACGCCCAGCTCCGTCTTGCGGAATGGTTTATTTTTGTATATAGCAAATGATTTGGCATCGACACGCGCATAGATCTCCAGCTGGCGTTCGCGCAGCTCCTTCTCCGCCACACAGGCATCAACGTCGACCAGCAGCGATTTAACCAGAATCAAGGCATGCTGCAGCTTATCCGTTTCCAGCTTATTGTCCCGGGCACTCTTCAGCAGCGGTTCGATCAGCAGCGGATATTTGGTCAGCCTCTGCGTCACAAACAATATGCACTCGGGTATGCCCTTCTTTTTGAGCAGGGGATTCTGCAGGCAGTGCTTGTACCACTCGGCAAAGCTCGGCTCCGCCAGACACTGCTTGAACTGCTCCAATGCGCTGCGATGGTTGGCACAGAATTCGCCGTAGGCCAAACGCAAACATTGCGCCTGCTCCAGCGAGAAGAACTCGAGCAATATGTCCGCAATGCTGTCCACCAGGAGATGTTCGCGCTGCTTCTGGCGCAGCTGGCGCAGGAAGCAGGTGTGCAGCTCCGTCAGCTGCTGGAGGCGCGGAAACATGCTGTGCGTGTTGAGCGCTGGGAAATGCCGCTCCAGACTTTCCACGAACACCTTGCGCATAACGATCAAAGTCTGGCAGTGATGCTTCTCGGTCATGATGAACTCGTAGATGTGCTCCTGCCGCTTGATCTGCAGCTCCTTGAGCGTTTTCAGCTGCTCCTTGGGCACATTCGGGGTCCACGAATCGGGCTCGAGCAGCACAATTCCAAGTACCGGGTCCGCGCCCAAATCCTGCGCCTCAATCGGTGGCTCATTAAGAAACTGCAGCTCGGCGGCGCGTATCAGCGGCTGTTGGTCCTCCTGCTCCATTTGCAGCTGCAACGCTGCCGCCGCTTCGGAGCCATCGCAATAGTCCTGGCCCGCCGATAGCTTCTTGCGCTCGAGATGCGCCTCCATTTCGCTGGCGTTGAGCTGAACACCGCCCACGAGCGACTTCGTCTTGGCCTTGGGCTTCTTCTTGCGAAAGAAGAGGGAGCCACGCTTGGGTCGCTTCTCTACGTGATCGTACACCTCGATCTTGGCATGCGAACGCAACAGACTCTGATTCTCATCCTCGCTATCCGTGAGATGACGGGCAATCGCCTTGATGTCCTCCTTGGCAATTATCGACGATGTCGAGATGCTCTTCTGCAACGGTATCCGACTGATTATCTCCGTTGCCAGACTCCTCTTTGCCGCTATTCGCTCGAAATCTCGCGCCAGTTCCGCCTCATTCAGTGAGTGCGTCGAAATGCCTGCAAAAATAATGAGCAACCGCAAATTAAATTAGTAACTTTGCCTAATAGTCCGACCGACTCCGTAACTTGGCAGCGCTGATAACATGCGGCGGCGCTGGCTCTTGTGGAATTTCTTATCGTAATCGAAGAAACTGACTTCGACATTCGACTCCCTACCCAAACTTGTCCCAGCTGTGGCATATCAGTGCCCATCAAGCGTTTGCTGAGCCCATAATCTATGGAACCCATGCATTTCATTTCTACAGGTAAGCTGCATAAATACTTTAGTACATTTCCTAATCTTAGATATCCAAAGTAGTTTCGTCATACAGTTTGAGTCTGATTATTTTTCAATCACAAGCGTAATCAATATTTACACAAAACTAAATAGAGACAGAGACAGAAGAATTGTTAAAGTGTTGACAAATAGCAGTAATTTTAAATGCACATTTTGCAGCTTTTAAACTCAGTTCTCCTACACATTAAGGCATCATTTTCGAGTAAGTCAATAGAGTCACTAGCAACCTTCAATAGATATAATCTATATAATATATATTTCCATTATGATCATTCGCTACACTCGCAGCGCATTCTTGTCTCTCTCCCTCTATCTCTATATAGAGTGCATGCATCTATAAATTGTGTTCAGTTTTTATGGCACCATAAAACCAACCCACTCAATACAAATTTCAATTATAGAATTATGCAACTACCCCATAACCGATCCCCACTCACCGCCGGTGCTGTTGCGTGCTGAGCGACGTCGCTGCTCGGTGACGCGTATGGTTTCCTGCTCCTCGCTGTCGAGACTGGAGAGGCTGACGCTCTTGTTGGTGCAATCGCCGCCCGCACTGGCATCGTCCACCGCTGTCCACGACTTGCGGCGATCTGTGTGCAGCAGCAGGCATTGCTGTGGCGCCGCTGACCACATGACGCCCACGTTGCCATTGCCCGCATTGCTAAGATCGGGCAGCGATGCGCTGAGTATGGCTGCACTCAACAGACCATAATTGTTGGCCAACCCATCCGTATGATGTTGGCTGGAGGAGTTCTTCATTTGCTGCACCGTTTCGCGTATGTTTTGCAGCTGGCTGAGCGTATCCTCGAAGATGTTGTTATACTTGCTGGCCGAGGCGGGGCTGTGGGGCGTCACATTGATGATGGGTATCATATTGTGGTTGTTATTTATGTTGTTGTTGTTGTTGCTGCTGCTGTTGTTGTGCAGAACGCTGTTGTGCTGCTGATTACTGTTGTTGTTGTTATTGGTGGGAAGCACAGCGACAGCAGGTGCATTAATAACGGGTATACAATAATTTTGGCTTTCCACGGTGACGCGCGGCGTTGTTGTTGTTAAAACTTTAGCCGTGGCGCCATTGGTGAGGTGAGGTGCAATCGCTGTGGGATTTGGCTCAACAGCAGACACGTCATTGGAGTTGGAGTTTAGGAAATCGGTGACCACATCATTATCGCTATCATTGTCATCAGTGGCGGCAGCGGCGGCGGAGGCAGCAGATGCATTGTGCGTACTTTCCATATTATTTTAGACTACGTTTTGGTATTTTAATTATTTGGTATTTTCTCGTCTGCTGTGTGTCTGTTCATAGAAAAAGAAAGTTTAGTACAAAAGCCACCTACAACTGCACACATTCAAACATAAACACACTCACACACACATACATAAAGTCGACGCTGCTTTTGTATGCAGTTTTTTCGTTCATTTTTTTTTTTTGATTATTGATTTTCCCACGCACACACACACACAAAACTCACCCGCCTTGATGCGCGTTCTAATTGTTGCGCCTTGGCCAAGCGAGGACGAGGTTAACGTCAACAGCGTCCCAGCGCAAAACGTCCTTGCACGAAATACCCAAAAACAAAAAAACAAGTGGAACAGCAACAACAACAACAACAGGGTTTTGGAATGCAGAGGAGCAAGCAAGGAATATTTTGATTGGCACGCAAACAGCAAAATGAGAGAAACGTTTTGTGTTTTTTTTTGATATTTGAAAACTAAAAGAAGCTAAAGTTAATGCGATTTGCAACAATTAAACACTATTTGAGACACATATTTCTGCTTCAATCGAATCGTTTGGAATAACTTCGCTGAAGCGACTCGCTAAACTTCGTGAACCAATCAAATGAACGAACCAGTGCGGAAAAGAGCTCAACTCGTTGGCTATGTTATACGTTGTCACTGTTTTTTTTTGTTGCCTATATATAATTAAACATAGAAATGAGACATACATCAGAGCGCTCGCACACCATTTTAACTATTATTCAGATTTAATTGCTCATATTGTAATGTAAGTTTTGGTAGCAGCGTTTGGCGTTCGCATTTGAATTTTACAGCTGCTTGAAATGTTAACAGAAAAATACCAAGGTTATGTTAGTACACATGACAGTACATTTGAGAGCTGCCCAACACTGAGCGGGAGACGACTGCGAGCGAAAAGAAGCAAAAAGAAGGAAGAATATTTTTTTTAGCTAGTTTATAAATTGGCAAATTTTTAGTTATATATACATTAAGTGCATATCATTTAGGCTTCAAACCCGCATCCAACCATGCAGGTAAGTCCGAGACATTTTCAACATTTCCGACCCATTAGCTTGCGGCTGCAGACTGCTGAGCTGCCGACAGCGAAACGAAACGTTGACAAAAGAGACACGCAATCAATCGGCGTTTGCTGCTTTATACGCATTTTGTTTATATTTATTCAATTCTTATTGATTTTTTTTTTGTTGCAGTGGCTGGTGATGTTGGCGCTGCTTGCCAGCAGCAGCCTCGTCATTGTCGTCGATTGCTTCTATGTGCCCGGCGTGGCGCCCGTTGAGTTTGTGCGCGGTCAAAAAATCGATGTGAAGGCGGTGAAAATGACCAGCAGCCGGACACAATTGCCATATCAGTATTATTCGCTACGCTTCTGCTATCCGAAGAATGGCACACTCATCTTCAAGTCGGAGAATCTCGGTGAGGTGCTGCGCGGCGATCGTATTGTAAATACGCCGTATGAGGTCCAAATGGCCGAGGATGTCAATTGCAAGCTGCTGTGCAATAAGAAGGACTTGCCCATGACCTGGAGCAAGGAGGACTCGGCAATGGTTGCTGAGCGCATACAGCACGAGTATTTTGTGCATCTTCTTGTCGATAATTTACCGGTGGCAACACGCATTGCCAGTGTGAATAATCCCTCTGAGGTCACCTATGAGCACGGGTATCGTTTGGGCCAAGTGGAAGGCGATAATATCTACATCAACAACCATTTGAAGTTTATACTGTCGTATCACATGTACACCACGGATAAATACCGTGTGGTTGGCTTTGAGGTCATCACAGGCTCCGTTAGCCACAAGGAGCTCAAGTTTGAGGGCGAAAGCTGTAATTTCCCAGATAACCCGCGGCCACAGCTTGTGAATCCGTCGGGCGAGACGCAGCTATATTTCACCTATTCTGTCATGTGGAAGGAGTCCAAGGTCAGCTGGGCCTCACGCTGGGACATCTATCTGGGCATGCGGGATGTGCAGATTCACTGGTTCAGCATCATCAATTCGCTGGTTGTGGTTTTCTTCCTCTCAGGCATACTCACCATGATCATGATACGCACCTTGAGGCGTGACATTGCTCGCTATAACACGGATGACAACATTGAGGATACGCTGGAGGAGACTGGCTGGAAATTGGTGCACGGCGACGTCTTTCGACCGCCCAAAAATACGCGTCTCTTCTCTGCAATTATTGGCAGCGGCATTCAAATCTTTTTCATGGCCATGATTACCATCTTCTTTGCCATGCTGGGCATGCTGTCGCCCTCGTCGCGAGGCGCCCTGATGACCTCCGGCATCTTTATGTATGTGTTTGCGGGCAATTTTGCCGGCTACTGTGCTGCGCGACTCTATAAGACTATGAAGGGACGCGAATGGAAGCGTGCTGCCTTCCTCACAGCCACCCTCTATCCGGGTATTGTCTTTGGGTGAGTTAAAAATTCAATTCCTAACTTATCATCGGTGTACACGAATTAAATATAATTTGACTTTATTCAATTGATCCACAGCACCGGCTTCATATTGAACTTTTTTATCTGGGATAAATCGTCGAGCGGCGCTGTGCCGTTTACTACAATGATTTCGCTGCTGTTGCTCTGGTTTGGCATATCTGTGCCGCTGGTCTACCTGGGCTTCTATTTGGGCTATCGCAAGCAGCCGTATCAGCATCCGGTGCGCACCAACATGATTCCACGTCAGGTGCCCACCCAGCACTGGTATATGAATGCTGCACTGAGGTGGGTTTGATCCGTGATTCCAGCTTAATCTATACTCAACTCGCTCTAATCTTTCTGTCCACAGCACTCTGATGGCTGGCATTTTGCCCTTTGGCGCCGTTTTTATAGAGCTCTTCTTTGTCTTTACGGCCATTTGGCAGAATCAGTTTTATTATTTGTTTGGTTTTCTGTTCTTGGTCTTTTGTATTCTGGTCGTCAGCTGTGGTCAAATCTCAATTGTCATGACTTACTTTCAGCTGTGCGGCGAGGTAAAATAATTCGCCAATTTGCCATTATAACCTTTGATAACTAAATTCAATTTTTTGTACAGGATTATCGCTGGTGGTGGCGCAGTTTTATCGTCTCTGGCGGCTCGGCTGTGTATGTGCTTTTCTATAGCATATTTTACTTCTTTACCAAGCTGGAGATTACAGAATTTATACCCACATTACTTTATTTGGGATATACAGGTGCGTATCGTATATTAAGCACAGTAGTCACTCAAAAAAGATGACGCTTTTGTTATTAAATGTTTCAGGTCTGATGGTGCTAACGTTTTGGCTGTTAACCGGTGCAATTGGCTTCTTTGCTGCCTATGTTTTCATACTAAAAATCTATGGTGCCGTGAAAATTGATTAAATCTTCGGACGTGGAAGGCACACACAACGCTGTACACCAAACTATCCCTGCAATATCATTTGACCATAATACTTATTGCCTATATAATATAAATATTTATATATGAAAGCATAGCATTGTAAAAGCATCCCGGCACTTGCAACAGTCCCCGGACGCCATGTGTAAAATCTTGTTTAAGCAGCTGCTCTCAACTCTTAACTAGTGTGCAATAAGTTTCCTTTTGCCTACTGCTGCGCTTCAACTATTGACAACAAAACAAAAAAAACAAAACACACACCGACAGCCGATTGAGAAACTTAATTACTACATCAATACGAGAATAGTAAGTCGTCCCTGTGGGGTCGCTCAATTTGCGAGAGCGTTAGGGTACATTCTAGAAACGCCTAATTTATATATGTATGTAAAAACAAAAAAAAAAACAACGTAATCTAAGCTAAAACATAAACAAGAAATCTAATAAATCTAAGCTAAGTATAGTTGGCGACCAAGTGATTCAAGTAAAGCGGTTTAACTCGGAGTTGGTTAATTATGGAGTTTATCAGCAGACAATGTGAAAACATTTTATTTGATAATTAAGTTTTACAGCTGTTTTACCAGTTGGCAGTGATATCTAGGAATTGGATAACTATACCTTTTGCAAAATTATAGCATTGCAGTTGCATTGAGAAAATCGCTCAGGCTGGAAGTAAAAAAAACTTGAGTTTTATCTAAAAATTTCTATAAGCAAAGTGCACACAATGCTAAAGCGAATTATGTTGATTTTCTTGGTGTGTATCAGCCTTCAATTTGTATCAGTCCACAGATTATTTAGTGGGCATTATGAAGTGAGTGGTGTTGAGCTCGATCGACTCACAGTGAACCTTAAGAATAATGGATATATTTCAGGAACGTCAACGCACCGACAAACAGAAGGTTATTGGGAATGTCACCTACTCAATGTTTGTGTTTTGGAATACAGTATTGCCATTTTGGGCGCCCCCCATTGATAAAAATTGATACATGGACGCATTGTGGCATATGTATTTAGTTTATTCATTTTTTATTTTGTTATTAATCGACTATATGTATGTATGAATAATTTACATAGCACAAAATAATTGTTAATTAATTTATTTTGATTTTGTTGTATTTAGTATTGTACACAGAGAGATGTTTTAAACTAAGTTGTAAAATATCTTTAAATCGAATCGTATACACATTGCCATATTACCTGCAGCCTAAAAATACTACCTATTCGAGCCTAGCGCTCATTTAGTTTAGTTAATGCACATTTAATATGTATTTTAGGTGTTTTTTTTGTTTTGTTTTGTTTTATCATTTAATTGGCATGAACACGACACGAACCCATTCCATGTGAGCGATTAATTTTAACATATATATATGTAGATCAGCATGTAGCACTAGGTTTACAAACCGTTACAACTTTTGGGCTCAATATTACTAGTTGAAAGTTACTTAAAATTTACACTAATTGCTAAATCCAAACGTCTTGCAACTGGATGCGGCTTCCCTCAAAACCATCCAGGATCTCAGTTTAATGTTTTCGAATCGGTTTACCTCAGCGGGTTCCGATTCCTTAAACGCTAGCGATTTCGTTTGGTCTTGCGACTCACATTGCCTTCAATGATGATCTAAAATGGGCAGAAATTCCAATATAGTTTAATCAAAGTTTACAGAAAACATCTAACGAACATATGCCGGAGGCTTTTCTTGAACAATTTTCGTTGGTGCATAAGCGAAATTATAGGGACACTTGAATTGCTGTGTGCATGGGAAGGGCTTAGTTTAAATCCAAATGCTGCTTGAACAACTAGGCACATACCTGTAGAATCTGACTGGCCTCGAAACAGGTGCCAGGCAGCAGGATGACTGGTGCGCTGACATTGCCCGCCTCCACGCACAACATGTTGGGGAATTCGTCGTCACCAAAGTCACTCATCTCGCGCGATCGATCAATCCACGGATTCCAAATTACTAAAAACAATCAAGGGTACAAATGTAAAAGATGTGTAATATGTGATATGGAAAGAGCTGAACCTTGAAGAATAACTGCGTGGACTTTTCATATGAACAGAATTGAGCCTTGCTAAACTCACCCGTATCTGGAAAATTGTATTTGTGCAGCCTCATCTTGCGGCCGGAAACCACATTGGTAATAACATGCTCCTGCGGCGTATGCTGATAGATTCGATCGGTCCACTCATTCACAGTGACCACCTCGCGTCCCTCCTGTTTCGTGATCAAAAGTGCGAAATCAAACTTAAGTATAATATGATTTTAGGTATTATATACAAACATGCCTGGTACAAAGCGCCTTCGCGTGTCTTGTCTATAAAATGACAGCCCTGCAGGCCAGTTATCTGGCATCGTCGCACATCTGGCACCTTGAGATACGTGTGGAGCAACATGTTGAATGTGAAGCTCAGATCCTTGCTGGGATTATAGACGCCAATGTGAAAGTGCAATTCCTTCTCACGCAATATCAGCCGATAGGTGATGCGAAATCTAATTTGCATTTGAGTAGTTTAAGTTTAAGTTTTAGTTGAGCAATATTGATGGACTCTTGGTACACCCACTGATAGTTCCATATGGAGCGCGTGAACTCGTTGTCCATTAGCGAGAATATGGCCTCCACATCGCCATTGTGCAGCCGCTCCGGTGCCCGATCCAGATGCCAGCGTGTTATACGCGCAAAACCATGCTGTGGACCAAAGGACCACGGTCCAAATTGAGCTGCGTTTAGAAAAGATTTGTGCTTATAATATTAATTTGGCATGTATTTAATCAAACTATAATTTAAAAATTATACAAAAATAAAGCAATTTTAAAGAAATGTGGGTAAATGTAGATTATAATTTCTTTGCAGAAAAAGTTCAGTGATTGAGCAACCATGAAAACATAATTTAATGAAATTATTTCAAATTACAAATTGTACTAATTTGAAATATTTTCTTGAAAATCGGTTTTAGAACTCTTCTACATTTCCAACAATAGATGAATATTTGTTTTTTATAATTCACTCACGAAAGACAAAGGGTATGCCACCACGTATCGCCTTCTTGCCATCAAAGGAGGCCAGCTTGCTGAAAGAGGAAATTGTGATAAAGATTTAAAAAGAGTTTCCGTGGATGAGGGCAATGTCAATCAGAGTTAAATTTGAGAAGCTAATTATAATATCAATTGGAAGGATTTCCCTTAATTTCGATTTTCAAACAGACCCGAGTAGTTTGGTGTTGGCTATCAAGCGTGCCTTAGAAACTGACAGCAACCGGCAGTCCCAAAATAATTTGAGCTGACAAAATATATTTCAAGAGACAGTCAACTATAAAAACGTAAGCAGACATTCAGAAATTTCTGGATCTTCTGCACGATGGGAGCTGGCAAAAAAGTGTCTGGCAATTGGCGTTTGGCTGGCTACTTTTTGCTCGATGATTCAGTTGAGTCAGTTGGTCTTTTAGTTTTTTGCGTACACTAATTTGCCGACGCATCCATCAACTGGCTGTCCCTTCTCCACCATCTCTCTCCCTCTCTCTATCTCTCTCCATCTCTTTAACTGTTGCTCTCGTCTGGTTTCTCTTTCTCTGGGAGCCCGGGCAATTGTGTCATTAATATTGTCAGGTTGTAGTTGGCACAACGGATCAGTTTTGAGCTGGGCATTTTGCACCGTTTTGTGGAATCCATCCAAGTGGCATTTATTGTGGCAGCTCTTAAAGCATTAGCTCTATGCTCTGATTTTTGTTTTAGTTTCAGTTTCTGTTTCTGTTTCAGCTGGTGCGGTCACAGTTGTTGCCACACGTACAGCAACTCCTTTGGCACCAAGCTGCACACACACACACACACACACATACAAAAAGTGTCCCAACTTTTTGCCTCAAAACTCAACTTCAACTTTACTAGCAGCACGGTTTTTGTGCAGCATTTGAGCATTTCTTTCTCGCTTTTGCTGGGTTTCCAAATGCCAATGAAACAAAAAAAAAATATATAAAAATAAACAAAACTAAAAAAAGGCGACGCAATGTGTAACGAACATTCGGACAAACGTTGAGAAAAACTCGAATCAAGGCAAAGAAAATTAGCAAAAAAAACGTTACGAGTAATATTGCCTGGCTGTATCATACCCTGTAAACGATTTTGATATACATATATGAAACCATTTTTTTACAATGGAATGCATTCTTATTTGACTTCAGTAATTATCATAATATTTGTCCGACTATTTTTTTTATATATTTCGTTTTTTCTGTCTTTTTCGAAAGTGAGTGCAACACTTAACGAAAATCGAAAGCACTCAGTTCGATTAATTGCCAGAGTCGCTTCTAAAGCCTATGCAAAAGAAGTTCATAATTTGTCAAGCAAACAAACCTAAATTTACAGATACGTACATACAACTAATTAACTAATCAAATTTCAATTCGCAATGCTGCTGCTGACAGGGTATACAAAGGAAAAACTTCAACAGCGCGTGGTAGGCAGCAGCAGCAGACTAAGCAGCAGCAGTTGTTGCCAACGCCAAGAAGCCGCAGTTTAGATTCGAGAAGAAATGTGACACAAAATGTAAGAACATTGGGCCACTGTGCGAGCAATGCACGGAGTACATGGCACATCATGTAGTCGTAGTCGTAGTCGGGATTTATCGATCTAGATGCCGCGCCAAAAACTCCATTCATAAAAACCAGCACATTGTTTTCCTTGTTGTTGTTGTTTTATGTTAGAGCAGGATAGCGTAGGCAGGCAAAGAGTAGAAAAACACAGTGGCCCTCAAAGCAGCCCAGTCCACACACACACACACACATACACATACGGCTTGTTTTGTGCATGTGCAGCAAGCTCTCTCTCTTAGTTCTCTCTCGCACTCGCATTCGCTCTCACTCACTTGCTCTCGCTCCCGCTCTACGTCACTTTGGCAGAGTGCGTTTTTGTGCTAGTGTGTGTGTGTTTGATTTGGCTGGTTCGACGTTGTTTGGGGTTCGGTGTTGTTTTTGTTGCTGTGTCATATAAAAACATTTTGCCGCCAAACAGAATGGTTGAGGCTGTCCGTCCCCTTGCCCCCCACTCCATCAGCGTCGATTGTTTCGTTTCTATTGCAGGGCATCCTTTGTGGCTAGCTAACGTTCAGCTGTGTGTGTGTGTGTGTGTTCGTTCGTTGAAAACTTTTGCCAAACACTTTTTTGGTTGCATGCCGTTAGTTAACGTGGACTTGCGTAAGTTACTTCAACTTCAAACGACCGCCGATGCGCTTTGGGCTTAAAGCGCGCGCTTTCAATGCGGCGTATGCGTAATATTTAAAAAACTTACGTTCAACTCGAGCGCTTACCTCACGAACAACTGCTCCTGATTATTTACACGCCAGGACACAACTGTGGCACCTGTGCAAAAAATGAAAACAAAAAAGCAAAACAGTATTAAATACAATATAAACAAGACTCAATTACGAAGTGGAAGATTGTCTAATTATGGATATTTAGATGTGCAGTTCATTGAGGACCGCTCGCCAAGGCAATGGGAGTTTTGAAAAATTACTGTGTTCAACTTAGTATATCTTTGCTTTACTTACACACTTATGTAGCATGTGACCTAAGGACAGGAATTCAGCATAATATAAATAATATTTTCATATTATTTTACTATTATTTTTGTAAGGAAATGCAGATATTCTGGGCAGAGTTTGTCCTCAACAGACTCAGACCTATTCGTTTCTTTGTTTAACATCGCTATTCACATTTACGAAATGTTGCTATATATTTGTTAGAATCAATTATATAAAATGAGGAGCCAACATTTAGCTTTTTACATTTATTAGAACCGTTTGATTTTGAAGCAAACTATTACTCAATGTAAATTACACACAGACTTTAAATGTGGCCATCAATGACGCACACACACACACACACACACATAATCGCACATTCATCTAACCCACAAATGTATGTATGTATAGCCTGCTAGCAAACTAGATGTATCTGAGGGGAGACTCTGAAAGAGAGTCTCCCAGCTTCAGAGTACAGTTAGAGCAATGGCCATTCGACTATTCAACTATTGGGTGGGTGCAACACACACTTGCGTGTGGGTGTGCGTGTGTGTGTATGTATGTTTGTGTGTGTCAGGGCCTGTCTTGGCCCCAACGTCTAAGCAGAGCTTATAATTCCGATTTTTCGCATGGGCCATATAAATTGCAAATGTTTAGTTTTAAATAATAAGAGAGCAAAAACAAAAAGTAGGAAATCAAAAGCCAGTAGGCAAAACATCAAGTTGTACTTTAGCAAAGCGCACTCAAAACTTGTCAGAGTCGGATCGCGTTTGCTTTGGCGTCTCTTTTCTGTTATTTTGTGGTGGCAAATGTGACTCTGTCTGACTGTGGCTCAAACACAGCGTCGAAATTTAACGTGGGCAGAGCGAACGAGTCGTAATTGTTGAAAGTGCGCTCAGTACATAGTAAAATACACACACACATATATATATATATATATATATATATCTATATATTGTATACATATATAACGCCTAATCGAAATCGAGTTGCGAGTAGGAGCCCCACACAGACAAAACGACATAACGATCTGTAAGACAGCTTTTGGCTAGTTGCGCATATCCCCAAAACCCCATAGACCCGTAGACAGATAGATTCATTATTGGGCCAATGCTGATAAGAAGTGCCGTTGAGCGGCTTGCGATCGATTGAAATGAGTACAGAATACAACAAACAAGGTTAACTGGGTTAACTTTATAAAAGTACGCTCTAAAAAACAAAGTCATAAGTTGTGCTGCAAAGAATGAAGATCAAAGCAATATTTGGAAATATTTGCCTATGTTAAGTACGAAATTTTGCAATTGAAGATATATATTCAAACCATAGAAAATTATCTATTGCTTATGTATTTTATTTTATTTCCTTGATTCAGACTTTTGGTCCAGAAATTTCTGCTACTACTCAAAATCTCCATTTTTCGCTGAGTGTAGTGTACCTTTTGATAACCTCTAAGTTGCATAAATTGTCGAACGTCAGCTCGATCGCAGCTCAAATCGCTTCGGAGCGAAAGTTTATAAAATGCTTAACCAATTTAGTTGGCAAAAACAGAAACAAAAACATTGCTAATCATGCGCTAAAAATAACGCCAGCAACATTTCAAAAGCTCCGAAACACCAAACTGAAGATATCAGCAGTGATTGGTGGTCGCTTCTCTCGTTTCGATGTGGTTAATTATGATTAATTATTGTTTTATTTTGGGGTGGGGGGGAGAGGTCACAAACACACACACACACTCGCACAGTGGCGCGTTCACTTACCATGCAAGTTGATTGTGCATGTCGTATTATTGCCACGATCCAATACAACAACACTGGTCGCTGCCACGGCAGCCGCAGTCGTGGCCATTTTGTTTTTGGGGCAACGGTTTTTTTAAGCTCCTCCACAAGTTCTAAGCAGCAAAAAGCGCCCCCTGTAGTAGAAGTGATCACTATTCAAGGAGTTGAACGAAGCTATTTCAGTTTGTTTGGGCTTTGTATACAGTTATATGTACATATGTGTATTTATATATATATATATATATATGTATATATATTGTGTTGTATTCTTATTTTTAAACTGTTGCTTTTTAACGCAAGACTCAAGGCAGGTTTGATTTTTTTTAAAGTGTTGCTTTTATTGTTGATTAATTAGCAATTTACATAATATTCTCAAATTTTGCGAAAAATTTATTCTGCACGCAAAGCAGCACAGAGCCGGAGCTGCACACTCACACACACACACACTAGCACAATACGCGCAAAAAGCGGCCTTACTAAAGCGCGCACTCACACACACATATAGAGCGCAGCTTGAGTTTTTGTCAATGAATAAATACGTAAGAAAAAAACTCGTGCAAAAAACGTTAAGGCTCAAAGTCGCGTAGCCCGCTTCTACGTTGCAACGTTCTCAAGCGACCGATTGAAACTAAAAGCTTATAACTCACAGCTGTCGCTGGCTGGCGCAAAGTTTACAAATTGAAACTGAAAAGCTGAAAACGACTATCAGCTGATCCCAAAGAGTTATCGTTGAAATTATCGATTACGTGGGTGGCAGTACATCGTTGCTATACATCGATATGCTACTGCATCGTTGTTTTCTTACATCACTAGAAGAAGACTTCTTCTTCCATACGTGAATTTTGGGCAAATAGATAAAAAAGGGATTTAGGATTTCGGGGCGTATAAGACAATCAACCACAACGAAAATGCCGAAGTTCTACAAACTTGACATTAACCGCACCGAGTGGGAAATACCGGAGACGTACCAGAACCTCCAACCCGTTGGACAAGGCGCCTACGGCCAGGTATGCAAGGCACTGGTCCGAGGCACCACCACAAAGGTGGCGATTAAGAAGTTAGCCCGTCCTTTTCAGTCCGCCGTGCATGCGAAGCGCACGTATCGCGAGCTGTGCCTGCTGAAGCACATGGATCACGAGAATGTCATTGGTTTGCTGGATGTATTCCATCCTGGCCAGCCAGCCGACTCCCTGGAGCAATTCCAGCAGGTTTATATGGTGACTCATCTGATGGACGCCGATCTGAATAACATAATACGCACCCAAAAACTCTCCGATGAGCATGTCCAGTTCCTTGTGTACCAGATCTTGAGAGGACTCAAGTACATACACAGCGCTGGCGTCATACATCGTGACCTGAAGCCCTCCAATCTAGCCGTCAACGAGGATTGTGAGCTGCGCATTTTGGATTTTGGTCTGGCGCGGCCAACGGAGAGCGAGATGACTGGGTATGTGGCCACACGTTGGTATCGCGCACCCGAAATCATGCTCAACTGGATGCATTACAATCAGACGGTGGATATTTGGTCGGTGGGCTGCATTATGGCCGAACTCTTAACCGGACGCACACTTTTCCCGGGCACCGATCACATACATCAACTGAACCTGATCATGGAGGTGCTGGGCACACCCAACGACGAGTTCATGAACAAGATCTCGTCGGATAGCGCTCGCACCTATATCCGTTCGCTGCCGGTGATGCCGCGTCGCAGCTTTCGTGATGTCTTCCGTGGCGCTAATCCGCTGGCCATTGATTTGCTTGAGAAGATGCTGGAGCTGGATGCAGAGAAGCGCATTACCGCCGAACAGGCGCTGGCCCATCCCTATATGGAGAAGTGGCACGATCCCAGCGATGAGGCCACTTCAACGCTCTACGATCAAAGCTTCGAGGAGACCGAGCTGCCCGTGGAGAAATGGAAGGAGTCCGTCTTTAAGGCGGTGCGCGAGTTCAAGCCGCCGCCGACTTTTGCCGAGCTCCTGTCACAGGCCAAGTAGCAGACGAGTTGGATTTCATTGACGGAGCCGCAAACGAAAAAAAAGTCAACAAATGATGCTACAAATTTAGTTGTTAGTTGAATGAAGTCCAATCGTAAACGTATTCGTTAATTGTAATTTGTTTCTAAAACGAAAGTCAGCCTTAATTAATGTCCAGTTCAACTTTTTGGTGTTGGTGTTTAACTATATGTATGTATATATATATATGTATGTGTATATATATATACTTTTCGTATTGTATAAATGTAAATGTATATGTATATTTATATACAGTCTACAAAGTCAAGCGGTTGGCCCACCAATCAATGCGGCCGTTAGCTATAGCCATAGAAGGAGCTCTCGCTCTACATAAATAAAAGTGCTCTTGTTTGTATTTACAAAAGTTCTGTCCAAACCAAAAAAAGACTACATCGATTTGTAATAGGCAACAACAGCTATTCTTAGCCTGGCAAAAATCAAAATGTAAGATATTTGCCACCAGTTGTTGCAATTAAATCTGCTGGATTTTGTCACAAGATTATCTCAGGATATGGATGTGAATTGAAAAGAAGAATTAAGAAGCGCTGTTGCAGCGTGCACGACATTCTAATATATCTATCGGTAACAGCTATTTTCTGCCAATCAAATCTGTCTCTAATTTTGCTGAGTGTATATTCTAGGTTACATGGTTTTTACAGCAACAGATCCTCCAAATAACGTTCGAATTCCTGTTCGCGTGACGGTTGATCTTTGCTAATATCCAGCTGCTTGCTCCAGATTTGGTCGTCCGTGGGATCGCTTGCTTTGTCGCCTGTGGCATCATCACTGGCCACTGGATCTGCATCTTCTTGCTGCGCCATCTCCGGCTCATTCACTTCATCAGTTTCTTGATTTGTTGCGTCCAGTTTGCGTCTTTTGTGTTTCTTTTTAGCCTTACGTTCATCCTTCTCTCTGCGCCGCTGACGCTTGTGCTCCTTTTTCTTTGTATGATAGTTTAGTTGATCCGTGTGCACGGGACAAAGACGCACCTGTAAAAAGTTTAAAATGAATTCCAATTTACATTCGTTTTCCTTTTCTTCCTTTTTTTTGCTACCTTAACGAGTGCGTTTAGTGGGGTACCGTGCTCCAGATATTTGAAGTTCACCTCCCAGCTGCGCAGACCGTCACGCTCGCCGCAATGCCGACTACCGCACTGGAACTGACCCAAACCGTCGACAACCTCCTGTTTGGTGCGCCAGCGCAAAGCGATCTTGTTCTCTTTGTAGCGGCTGAGGTCGGCGATGCAATACTCCTTGAAGAGTTTGCGATAATAGCGCAAAGCCAAGCGCTGCTCCCAGCTAAATGCGGCGAGGTCTGCATCCTCCTCATCCCAAAGGAAACGATGATTCTCTCGTATCACGTCAATGTCACGTTTGTGTTTGCGAGATTCCCCCTCGGCGGCCGTGGGCAGCACATACTGATTGAGTATATAGTTGTGACGCTCTTTGGCTGTGAGTTTGTCCAAATTTATGGGAAATAATGTTTTGCTGCTCATCTTTTTTTGATTGTTTTTTGCTTGTTGACAAACAAACAAAACTACCAAAAAAATACTAAAGTATCGAAATATTAATCGATAGCGTGAGCAAAAAGGTGACTCTCCCTCGATGAGAGTGTGCTCATTAAATTTGCAACTTGTGTTTGTACAACAAAAATAAAAGAAAGTTAAAGTGTTAAATATAATCTAGATGTCGTTGTCAAAAAAGCAACTACAATAACAACAATGGCTCGCAGCTGCAGCTCATTGTTTTATGTCTTTCTGCGTAAAAATGTCCTTTATTTAAGGTACAGCTGGTTACCTTTGTGCATTGCCTTTTTTATGTGGATTGGCGTCCTATGGGCATACTTACATTGGACAAATAAATTTAATTTAAATGATATCGAAGAATTCGAATCTAAAGACTACGTAAGTACTTTGTATCGGTAACTATGGTAACAAAGAAGCCTAATCAATAATATGATTCTGGTTGTGTGATAAACCAAACAAAATGGCAGCTGCTCAACACACGCAGCATTAATCTATTTATTGTTATACACAAAAGCCTTTATGGGGCGTAGCCCCTGTTGCGGTTGGTTGGTCTCATTTTATATAAGCAAAAAACGTTATCTCTTACTCATTCTTCAGAGCACAATCGAAGTCTCCTTAATGAGAGGGGAACGTTGTGAAAACTCTTCGCTTTGATATATGGATATGTTTGCTTTTTAATTCCTGGATTAAACTGGATTTTTACACCTTAATTAATGTTGATTTTTTCGTTTGTAGAATGCACTGAAAGCAATGTATCCCGGAAATGAGCTTGATTTGTTATACTACGCACCCAATACAGAAAATGTGAACTCGCTCATGGATCATGTCCTTGAGGAATTGCAACTAGGCAGAGAACGTAATAATATTAATTGGGTAAATACTCGTTTATAATTGTGAAAATTTTCTTTTAGTTATTCGTGAGTACAACAACAGCGTGGAGATGCAAGTGGATATGGAACAGCAGTGCAAGGGAAACTGTTTTGCTATTAATTTTCAGACGTTGTCCGATCCGAGGATGAATGGAGACTTCAAATATAGCCTAAGCTCAAATCAGTTGCGAATGTCACCGCAAAAGCGCTTTGTGAATGATGAGGAAATCAATCATCAGAAAAGTGCTTATTGCCCCCACGCATTGACTTTGTTCCTCTTTCCTTACTTACATATTGTGTTCTCTTTTTTAGGTGATGATGAATATATACGCGAGGGATTTCTCACACTGCAGTACGTTATTGACCGTCAGTATATGAGCTACCAACAACTTAATGCTGACTATGAGCTGCGCATCAACGCTATACCAAATCTGGAGGTTAACACCACCCACAGCAATATTCTGATCAATTTCGGGACATTATTTAGCATATTATTTAGCATATTGCTGCTAAGCACGTATGTGGTGCCTTTTGTCGAGGAGAAGCAGAATGGCATCAGAGAGTTTCTCAATATTGTTACGCCCATGAGTTTTTTAAACGGGCTCACCTTTTCCCTCATACGTTTTGTGTGCTACGTGGGGTTACTTTTAATTACGCTTCTTATAGCCTTGTCATATGGCGCATTGGGACTGATTGGATTTTTGTATATATTTGTTTTGTATTTGTTATACATTTTGGCAAACATGTCGTATGCCTATCTAATATCTGTCTGCTTTCACACGGGTAAGCTTTGCATACTTCTATATCTATTCAATCGATTCATTTATATGGGTGCATATGGCAGTTTTCTACGCAAAGATCGGCGGCCTCATTCTTCTCGTCATACCCTACATCTTTAGTATTGTAAGGAGCTGGCTTTCCAAACTCGCATTCTATCTCTTCTGCACGAATTCATTCCTGGAGGGCTTAGATGTGTTGCAGACGTTCTCCAATAAACGTAAGTCGATGAAATATTGTCAAAATTGCATACCAATTACAAATGCATTTATAGGTCGACACTTTGGCTTCGCGGATCTCTTGCGATTAATCAAAGATGACGCTAGCTGTATCATTTACGTTTATTCCGTGCTCCTCGGTCAGACCATTTTGTATGCCTTGCTGTACAACTACTTAGTGTGCGTGTTTCCCGGCCCTGGCGGCCTTAAGCGACCATTCCTATTCATTCTAAATGTGAGTCCTTGTTAAGGCTGCGATCCTGTAAATATAAACACCAATTTTCCCCATATGCACAGCCCAATACATATAAAAAGCGGCAGCGCAATGAGTACACAACGTCGCCCCGTGGCACCGATGCCATCATCATCAGTGATTTGTGCAAGAAATTCCAGACAAGCAAACGCGAAACCAATATTGCCGACCACTTGAGTATGAAAATTAAAAACAAGGAGATTACCGTACTACTGGGACACAACGGTGCCGGCAAGACAACCATGATGAACATGATTATGGGTAGCGTATTCCTAGCAATTTCATGTTTTCCCATTCTAAGTTGCTCGCACTCTTTCTCATTGTGGTAGGCACTGTACCAAAGGATGCTGGTAAAATTGTTGTTTGCAGTGAGCGCGATGTTGCATCATATCGTCACTTGATCGGGTTCTGTCCACAGCACAGCGTTTTCATGAGCTATATGACATGCCAGGAGCATTTGGAATTCTTTGCACAGCTGCGTGGCGCCAAAAGATCCGATGCTCGCGACTGGGCTGTGGAGAAGCTGCGCAAGCTGAATTTATACGACAAGGCCGATGAGTATGGTTGCAAGTTGTCTGGCGGCATGAAAAGACGTCTTTCCCTGGGCATTGCAATAGCTGGCAATACAAAGTAAATATATATCATATTTTCAAATGGATTATACCATGGATAATTAGCTTAGGTTTTAAAATTCCTTATCATTGATTCTGAAACGTTTATTTTCCGTTGTACTGGTCTAATCAGAATACTGTTTTGATAATCTATACTGTTCAATCACTCTTGCAATTATAGAATTATCATTTTGGACGAGCCATCGTCCGGTCTGGACATTGAATCACGTCGGGAACTATGGGACATTTTGCTGCTGCTTCGCAAAGAGAAGGCAATTTTAGTGACTACACATTATATGGAAGAGGCCGAGGTGCTGGGCGATACCATCTGTATTCTGGCCAACGGAACATTGCAGGAGAACGGCTCTCCGCTGGAGCTAAAACGCAAATCTGGATGTGGCTATCGTCTGAAGCTGGAGGCCCATGAGACAAAGTTTCTGGAAAAAGAAACCTTAGCTGACATATCGAAATTCATACCGACTGCAAAATTGCTGGTGAATTAAATAGATTTAAATTAAATTTGATTAGTAGACATTAGTTCTGAATGCTTCAATTCTCCTTACACACACAGAACATTGTAAAGCCCACGGTCAACATTTGTCTACCGTATGACGAAGTATCTCAATATCATGACATGTTACACAGCTTGGAGACGAATATGACCAAATACGGTATTGAAACGATTTCGATCACAGACACCACACTGGAGACGGTGTTTCTTAAGTGAGTAAACAGTTGTGTATCAAATGTCGGGTGCATAACAAATAATACTTTGTTTTTGCAGCTGTGCGGGCGAATGCGATCAAGTGGACACACCCGATATTGGAACACGCAACGATGCACCTCTGCTTGCGATCCAACAGAAGCACCTTCAACATGCGACCAATGCACTTAATGAGTGGACTGCAATTTTCTATAAAAAGATAACATTTTTGTTGAGCGAGTGGCGTTATACCTGTTGCATGGTAAGGCTTACACAACTGCACAGCTGATAAGCAAAAAAGAACACTAAACCACAAGATACGAATTTGTTGGAAAAACTAAAAATTGATAACATTTACACCCCGAGTCAAAAAGCTTGACTCACAAACAGTAACTCGATACATGCGATAGTTTGCTTGAAAGGCGTGCTTAAAGTGTCAGCCATTCTATCTATCTATTCCTTAATTAGTCATAACAGTAATTGGTATTACGATATGTAAAATGTGTTATATTCATTAAGATTTAAGTTGCTCAACTGGACTATTCTCTAATTGCAGTTGAGCTTACCGTTTTTTAGCGTCACCGCAGCCATTCTACTGATGCATTCCATGTCTGTTGTAAACATTGAGGCGGCCTTACCACTAAATCTGAGCCAGTTGCGCACTGGTAGTGTTTACATTTACAATACGACGGCCCTGCACGGTAACGTTGAGCAGAAGCTGCTCCAATATATTCAGCAGAGTGGACTCACTACCAAAATGTTAATGCTGCGCGGCGACAACACTGTACCGGATGGTAATATTCCCCATTTGTAAATTCGTTGCTATTGTTGCTTTAATTGAGTAACGATTTCTTTTTCTTACACAGAGCTATTGCAGTTACAGCGCGAAAATTTGGCTGATTTTTTGGAGGATACCATTGGCTTGGTAGACCTAAGTGATAAGTCCACCATTGAGATTAGCTATGCGAGCAATCGCTATCACAGTAGTGTGATGCTCGTCAATATGCTAGACACGTGCATGCTGCAGTTGGCCAGTGGACAGCCGGATGTGCGCATTGATGCCACCTACGTGCCCATCAAACGCTTCGTTAGTGACGTCAGCTCCACGCGACTAGAATACTACGCCGTCATCGTTCCAGCTGCGATCTTCTTCAGCATGTTTTACTATATCGCGCTGCCATTCCGGGAGAATGCGAACGGTTTCCGCCAACTGCAGCCAATGTCACGTTTCACTTACTGGTTTGCCACCTTAACGTTTGATTTGCTGTTGCATACACTTGTCTGTTTGTTGCTGTTACTGCTGCAGAAACTGATCATGCCACCGGAGCTGTACACGCCCGAGGATCTGAAACTGATTGTCATTAGTATATTCTTTTACGGCTGCAGCTATTTACCAATTCTGTACACTCTGAGCAGTAGCTTTAAGTCCATATCAACGATCTCCACATATCTGCTGCTCATGCTTATCGTTTCCGGTGAGTTATCATTATAACAACTTATAGCAACAGCCCGAAAAATATGTTTATTTTACTACAAAATTAACTGAACGTTCTTTTCAATCCTTTCAGAAATTGCTCCATTGATCACCTCCAACAATTTCCAGGCCATGAAGCAGCACGCAACGAAAATCGCTTTTCTCAGATTTCTACCCGATTTCAATTTGAACCATCAGCTGCGCATCATCAACGAGAATTTTATAGCGCAACGACGTAAGTCGATGAAACTTTTGGAAACCACGACACACCAATTTTTTGTTTACGCTGTGGTCGTTTCCTTACTGGTCATGGGCTTCTTTACGTTTGTGCTCGAGCACAAGTATCATCGCCAGCGACTGTGCGATTTCTTCTATGGCAAAACCTGTAAGATCCCACCAAAGAGCCGCAGTGCGTCGTGCATTACGCCACTTCAAGCGGGCGAGTGCTTTGATGAGTGCGCTAGCGAGGAGCGGCGAGTCAAGGAGCTACTGCACGCCGGTACTTCTCCGGACACGGCACAGATGTTTCCGTTGGTAGTTAGTAATCTGCGTAAGAGCTACGATGGTAAACCGGCTGTCAGCGGCATCAGTTTTGCTGCCGAACGTGGCGAATGCTTTGGATTGCTGGGCGTAAATGGTGCGGGCAAAACGAGCATCTTCCAAATGATTGCCGCCAACATGACGATGGATAGCGGCCAGATACAAATCGAGGGCACTGACATTCGCCTCAATGAGGTCGCTTATCGCAAGCAGTTCGGCTACTGTCCGCAATACGATGCACTCAACAAATTCATGACCGCCGAGCAGTGTCTGCGTTTAATGGCGATTCTGCGCGGCCTCAGTTGGAAAAGCGATGATCCAATGGGTATCGAGTGCAGCGTTATGTTCTGGTTACAGAAAATGCATTTGCTTAAGTATCGAGATGTGCCCGTGCGCAATTATTCGGGTGGCACAAAGCGCAAACTGCTCGCTGCCATGGCCATGATTGGTGCACCATCGCTGGTTCTACTGGATGAGCCGACAACTGGCGTCGATCCCATATCGAGACGCTTTCTGTGGCAATGCATTAAGGATTTCCAGAAAAGGGATCGCACGGTGGTCCTCACATCGCACAGGTGAGTCTATTGGAACAGTGCAGTACAGGAGTCGCTCCTCAACTAGCACTAGTCAGTTACCCTTCCCAGTTGTGGAGCAATCTCTTTATTCTTATTGATCGCTTGCTAATTGAACTGATCTACTTTGCAGCATGGACGAGTGTGAAGAGCTGTGCAATCGTTTGGCCATCATGGCGAAGGGCCAATTCAAATGTCTGAACAACATTTGTGCACTTAAGCGACAAAGCGGCTTTTCCATTAAATTGAAAATGAAAATTGACACCGAAACGGAGACAAATGTGGCGACAATTACCAATACGCTCAACGGACAATTTGAGGCATTGGAGCTGCGTGAGAATCATGCTGGAACTTTAACATATATTGTACAAACCGATCAGCGAATACTTTGGTCGAAGGTCTTCGACGTTTTGGAGTCCTATCTGTCTGACAAGCTCAATGACCTCGTTGAGTATTATTCGGTGAATGAGTGTACTTTGGAAGATATATTTCTAAAGTTCGAGAGACAAGCCAAATCACTGTCACTTTCCGGTTCGGAAAACTATGTCTGAGCGCACCTTGCGTCGCCGGGTGTCTCTCTCTACCTTCCTCACCAGTTATGCCCATATACCTCACCACGGTCGGTGGATCATCTCGCGATCTGGAAACTCAAGTTGTGTGCTTCTTGCAGACGGTGTGCATCTTAAATGAGATATTCTTCAAATTTATATATCCTAATAGATGTTTGTCACGGGCAGCTCAAGGGTTCGAGAGCTCGAATGATTACCTGTTTCGTTTATCCGTTTTCAAGAATTGTGCACACTTTGTGTGAATAGAGCACGGCTAGGATGACCGAGATGCGTTTTGAGGAGGCTAGCATAATTGGTAAGGAACATAGAGGCAAACCCAAGCAGGGTATACAATTCGCTCAGAGATAATGAATAAGTAATTTGGCATTAGCTTATAAAACCCATCAATCTGAAATCTTATTGTTTAAATACTATCAATGTACTAAGAGACATGTAAGTTAAGGATTAAAAAACTCTATATTTGTCTAAAATCATATGATACTTAATAAATATATTTGTATGCTTATATTTATTTTAGATCTATTTCTCAACATTTTTTGGTGAAATCAAATCACTTATTGATACATGTACATCGAATTCGTTGATCAAGTTCTTTTGGAGGTGTTTTTAATTGAATTTTATTTGATATATCCCTGTACGGTTCAATGAATCAGGGGAAGCAAAAAGAACAATAGTGCGACTCAAATGAACAATGTGAACGAACGACTAACTGAGCGACAAATAGGAACCAAGCTCAGTGGTTCAGTGGAATCGTTCGAATGAGCTTGTTCCGAAAAATTCGATACAATTGTACAATATTCAGAAATCGATGCCAAAAAACATAGACAACCAATAATGGCGCGTAGTAAAATTTGGAAATATTTTGATAAGTTAGATCTACAGACGGCACAATGTCTGCTGTGCGAAAAGATAATCAAGACATGCGGCAACACCTCCAACCTGATGAAGCACATGAAAACCCATCCACAAATGTAAGCTCAGCACCCACCCAGGCAATGAATGCCCCAATCGTTTTTCTTGCTAAACTGGCAGCGTTTTTGTTTACAGCGATGTCAACGATCATGATTCGGTTGTGGTGCGCGGCATGCTTAAGCGAGACTCGAATCGCATCCGGGTTCGTGGCAAAAAAATGCTCAAGTACGCATCCATTAAAATAAAACCGGAGGCGACGCGGGATATAGATGCAGAGACCGTTGCCGACATGGATGGCAACATAATTGAGCTGGTCGACGCAGAGGCGCATGCGGCCGTCGTAAGCGTTGTGAATGAAGAGACATATGCCAACTGGGCGGCAGCAGAGGCAGAATCGGCCACTGAAACAGTTTGTGCCGAGGATATTATTGAATTTGAGCCAAAAGAAGCACAAGAACAGGCCGAACAGGGCACCCCATTATATCATATAGAAGACGAACCGCTACCCGAAGTTGAACTATTGGTCAGGTGGGTACATATACATCTACATACAATTGGCAAAATTTCAAGGGAATATGAATGTTTAAAAAAAATCTTTTGCAGAAATTTGCAAACGCCATATAATACGACTTATCAGGATAATCTGGCCTACTTTGTGTGCCACGACAAACAGCCCTTGAAGATTATCGAGGGCGAGGGCTTTAAGCGTCTGGCACAAGTGCTTTGCCCCGTCCTGCAGATGCCCAGCGTTGATCAGCTGGGCGCACGGATTGCGCAAAAGACACAGCAACAAGTGGCACAGTTTCGCCAGCAGATAGCACAAATCCAAACGCTCTCGCTGAGTTGCGCCATAAACACAACGCCATCGACTGGCAATAAGGAGAAGCAGAACAGTTATCTGGAGGTGGCAGCGCATTATCACGAGGGTCTCCAGAGACGTTCCCGCACGCTGTCCGTGCAAATGCTGCCGGTGCAGTATAACGCCAGCAATATTGTGGAGCGCCTTGATCGCGTCTGTCAGCGCTTCGACATTGACAAATCGAAGATTGTGTGCATTGTGAGCCGTAGCAGCCGAATGCTGGAAACTGCAATTGCCACGCTGCTTGGCGCACAGCGACATATGCCATGTTTTGCCCATCTGCTTGAGACGATCTTTGAATCAGTGATGGAGCGTTCGGAGTTTAGAGCACTGTGCGATAGGGTGCGTCAATTGACAAAAACTGCTGATGTGATGAGTCGTGCGATGGGCAGCTACGAGATGCTGGAGAGTCATTTAAGGCATGCTGCACAGTTGCAAAAGACGCTGTCATCGAGCGAATTGGATCTGGCTGCAGAGTTGCTCGCCGTGCTGGCACCCTTGGCAAGTGCTGTGCGTCAGTTGTGCGGCGCGAGCGTGGATACGTATCCATGTGCCAGCCAGGCGCTGCCTATCGCTTTCACTGTTCTCAACGAGCTGAAGCATCCGGAGAATGCCGAACAGCAACAGCATCAGATCGCGTATGAGTTGCGACTGTTTGTCATCCGACTGCTGGAAGAGCGTTTCGAGGGCATGGAGAAGAATATGCAGTTGGCATTGGCCAGTCTACTCGATCCTCGCTATCGGAATATGCCCTTCCAAAATGCATCGCTGTTGGCCAAATATATGACACATCTGTACGATCTGTATATGGAGAAGGGTGAGGTCAGTACGGATGAAGTTGGTGAAGAAGCCACCACTGTTCACACCACCTATGACATTTGGACTGCCTTCAGAGCGATCTCCCACGAGAAACACAAGCATATCACAATGAACGGTGAGAGCGAGAATGAGGATGAGATATCCAGTTATTTCTGCACAAGCATAAGCAGTTTGCAGTCGGAGCCGTTGCTGCTATGGAAAGACTTGTCCCAATTTCATCCGTTCCTGCACAGTATGGCCAAGAAGTATCTGCACATTCCGGCGGCGGCTATGCCACCAGCACGAATATTTACAGCCGCTGGGGCGGAGATATTGGAGCAACATGGCAAATTGTTGGGCGATCACATGAGCAACATGCTTTTCATGGCCGATTGCAACCAGCAGGAGTGGCAGTTATAGTATATAGATATATATTTATGGCATACAAGCAAACATATTAATATTTTAGCGAATTTTATCAAATAAGATCCCATAACCAGTTTTAGCATCTACAAACACTATTTGTCTATCAAATCAAGAGATCCAAATGTGTATCATGTCCTGCAGATACCCTCTAGTACCTCTCGATAGATAGTTTATTCATAATGTTAGAGCATAACTTTTGCACACTTTTTACCTACTACTACATATATATGTACGCATCAATTATGAAAATTTTTACAAAAACACATTTTAAAGATACCCTGTGGTATCTGAAGAGATAATTTTTGCTACTTGTAAATATATTTTTGTAGTATTTAATCGAATGCAACTTGCTCAGAAATCGATAATCGATAGACATCCTAAGCGATATATGCGAAGTCTGGCAATGTTGTGCAGCACTGATGACGTTTTTTCACGCATTGTATTTTAAGCATATTTGATGTGAAAATTTGAAACATTTGCAATATGCAAACGCATAAAATATACAAATAACATACACAGCAGTTGGCGAGTGTAGCAGACGAGCTAAACAACAACACAGAGAAACGCGTACGCCCTGTTGCGGTCGTCGAAACCTGCAGCAGCGCGAAAGTTGCCGTCGCTGCGAACACACAACTGCCACTCACTACACACATAAGCACACACACAGAGACGAACACCGTAATTAGTTAAAGAGGAAGGCAATAAAGAAAAAAAAGTAACACAACTAACGAAACGACCTTGGAGTTGCATACAATATGCAAAATAACTCCACGAAAACCAAGGAAATGTTTATTGTGCGTGCTCTTGAGAAAATCCTTGCCGATAAGGACATACGGCGCTCACACCACTCGCAGCTGAAAAAGTCCTGTGACACGGCACTCGAACAGATCAAAGCGGAACTCATCAGTGCGGGTCAGATTGCCGAAGGCAATGAGCTGCCCTGCGCCGCGCTACCGCTGCCCAAAAACGATGCGGCGAGCATTATCAATGCGGAAACATATTTCCTGCCGTTCGAGTTGGCGTGCAAGAGTCGGTCGCCACGTATTGTGGTCACAGCGCTGGATTGCCTGCAGAAGCTGATCGCCTATGGTCATTTGACGGGCGCCATTCAGGACTCTGCGAATCCTGGTCACCTGCTCATCGATCGCATTGTCATCACCATCTATGGCTGTTTTAACGGTCCCCAGACGGACGAGGGTGTTCAGCTGCAGATCATTAAGGCACTGCTCACAGTGGTCACATCCCAGCATGTGGAGATACATGAGTTTACACTGCTGCAGGCGGTGCGCACCTGCTATGACATCTATCTATCCAGTAGGAATCTGGTCAATCAGACAACGGCGCGTGCCACTCTAACCCAGATGCTCAATGTGATCTTTGCTCGTATGGAGAATCAAGTTTACGAAGTCGCCCCAACGCCATCGACGACAACAGTAACGACAACGACGCTAAATGGCAGCGTCGGCAGTCCGGAGAGCAATGGAGAAGAAATCACAGCAGAAACATCGGATAGTGATGAAGTGATTGCCTCGGAACTGTTGGCTGAGATAATTACAGGTGAGTGTGAAACGCTGCAAGCTGTGGCACTATGTGGATTCCATTTGCATCGATATTACGTCATAATTATGGATATTGTTTGCTTTTGAGTGGATTTTCAGTGCACTGAGAACAGCAGTTCTTCATAGATTCATAGATCTCTTCATAGATTCATTGCTCTCAATCGATAAACGTACTTAAATCAATCAATAAGTGTGTCAATATGTTAAAGCTCATTACAGTCGAGCTTCCCTTTATTGAACCTCTTATTATTATTATTATTATTATTGATGTTTAGGGAAGTTGGGCTGTATGTGTTCAATATATATTTTTGTTCATCTATTTACACCTTTCAGCTGCATTCAATGAGGTGATGAAGGAACAGAATCAAGACCAGGAGCTACCTGAATTGGAGCCATCTGTCAATGGGAACGGCTCGGCGGATTCTTCGCACTCGGATCACGACAGCGTTGAGTTGCATAGCGAGAACGATGCAATCGTAACGGCGAAATTCACACACATTCTGCAGAAGGACGCGTTTCTGGTATTCCGAGCCCTGTGTAAATTATCGATGAAGCCACTCCCCGAGGGACATCCCGATCCGAAGTCACACGAGTTGCGCTCCAAGGTGCTGTCGTTGCACCTGCTGCTGCTTATACTGCAAAATGCTGGCCCCGTCTTCCGCTCCAACGAGATGTTCATCATGGCCATCAAACAGTATCTGTGCGTCGCCTTGTCTAACAATGGGGTGAGCCTCGTCGCTGAGGTCTTTGAGCTATCTCTGTCCATTTTTGTGGCGTTGCTCTCGAATTTTAAGGTGCATCTGAAGCGCCAAATTGAGGTCTTCTTCAAGGAGATTTTTTTGAACATTTTGGAGGCGAACTCGAGCTCATTTGAGCACAAATGGATGGTCATCCAGGCACTGACGCGCATCTGTGCGGATGCCCAGTCCGTGGTCGATATTTATGTGAACTACGATTGCGATTTCTCGGCGGCCAATCTCTTTGAGCGTCTCGTCAATGATCTCTCCAAGATTGCCCAGGGTCGGCAGGCGCTGGAGCTGGGCGCCAATCCCATGCAGGAGAAATCAATGCGCATACGCGGTCTCGAGTGTCTCGTCTCCATTTTGAAGTGTATGGTCGAGTGGAGCAAGGATCTTTACGTTAATCCCAACATGCCTGCGCCGGCTCTGCAGGTAAAAACAAATCTTTATTTAGTTATAGCAATTAGTTATTGCATATTTTATCTGCTTTTTTCGCAGTAGAGAAATATAATACTTAATAATTGAATTTTATTCTTATTGCAGGTGCAGTCGCTGCAGTCACCCAGTTCGCAGCAGGAGACACAGCTTGGGGACAATGTGGACTCGCTGTCGGCGCACAATTCTAGCCTGCGGTCGACTCTTGGCGGTTCCAGCCATAGTCTTAACTCGTATGGCAGCGTAAAGAATCAGGAGCTGTTGGATCTGCCCGAAGCGCTAGAGGAACGCAAAATGCGCAAAGAGGTGATGGAGACGGGCATTGAGCTGTTCAATCGCAAGCCGCAGAAGGGCGTGCAATTTCTGCAGGAGAAGCAACTGCTGGGCAGCAGTTGCCAGGACATTGCCCGTTGGCTGCACGATGACGAGCGCCTGGACAAGACCGTCATTGGCAATTATCTGGGCGAGAACGATGATCACTCCAAGGAGGTGATGTGCGCCTATATCGATGCCTTCGATTTTCGTCAGCTGGAAGTGGTTGCCGCCTTGCGCATCCTACTCGAGGAATTTCGTTTGCCGGGAGAGGCGCAGAAAATCGATCGACTCATGGAGAAATTTGCGAGCAGATATTGCGAATGCAATCCACAGAATCAGCTATTCCAGATGGCTGACACCGTCTATGTGCTGGCCTTTAGCATAATAATGCTGACGACCGATTTGCATTCGCCGCAGGTGAAGCACAAGATGACCAAGGAGCAATATATTAAAATGAATCGCGGCATCAGCGACAGTAAGGATGACTTGCCCGAGGAGTATCTGTCATCCATCTACGATGAGATCGCCGAGCATGAGATTAAAATGAAGAATAATACAACAATGCTGATGGTACCCAAGCCAGCTGGCAAGCAACCGTTTATCACTGAGAAGCGACGAAAATTGTTGTGGAATATGGAAATGGAGGTCATATCGCTTACGGCTACCAATCTGATGCAGTCGGTTTCCCATGTCAAGTCGCCATTTACATCGGCCAAACATTTGGAGCATGTGCGTCCCATGTTCAAAATGGCCTGGACTCCATTTCTGGCCGCCTTCTCTGTGGGCCTGCAGGTCTGTGATGACCCGGAGATTGCCACACTCTGCCTGGACGGCATCCGTTGCGCTATACGCATAGCCTGCATCTTTCACATGTCCCTGGAGCGGGATGCATATGTTCAGGCACTCGCGCGCTTCACCCTGCTAAATGCCAATTCGCCCATCAATGAGATGAAGGCCAAGAATATTGATACCATCAAGACGCTTATTATGGTCGCCCATACGGATGGCAATTATCTGGGCAGCAGCTGGCTGGACATTGTCAAGTGCATCAGTCAGCTGGAGCTGGCACAACTTATTGGCACCGGAGTGCGGCCTCAGTTCCTGTCAGGTGCGCAGACCACGCTCAAGGATACGCTCAATCCGAGCGTCAAGGAGCACATTGGCGAGACGAGCAGCCAGAGCGTTGTGGTTGCCGTCGATCGCATCTTTACCGGTTCCATTCGACTTGATGGCGATGCCATTGTGGACTTTGTCAAAGCCCTTTGCCAGGTCTCAGTGGATGAGCTGCAGCAGACGCAGCCGCGCATGTTCTCGCTGCAGAAGATCGTCGAGATTAGCTACTACAACATGGAGCGTATTCGTTTGCAATGGTCACGCATCTGGCAGGTGCTCGGCGAACATTTCAATACAGTTGGCTGCAACAGCAACGAGGAGATTGCATTCTTTGCATTGGACTCACTGCGTCAGCTCTCCATGAAGTTCATGGAGAAGGGCGAATTTAGCAACTTCCGCTTCCAGAAGGACTTTTTGCGTCCCTTCGAGCACATCATGAAGAAGAACAACTCGCCGGCCATACGCGACATGGTCGTCCGCTGCATCGCCCAGATGGTCAACTCTCAGGTACTTATCTACAGCTATAACTGTAGTATCACATAATTATCCTTATCTTTGTTGCAGGCTCATAACATACGGTCGGGTTGGAAGAACATCTTTTCCATTTTTCATCTGGCTGCTGGGGATCATGAGGAGCCGATTGTGGAGCTAGCATTCCAGACGACGGGTAAAATCATTGGCGAGCTGTATCGACGCCAGTTTGCTGTTATGGTCGACTCCTTCCAGGATGCCGTCAAGTGCCTGTCGGAGTTTGCGTGCAACGCGCGCTTTCCGGATACCAGCATGGAAGCCATACGGCTGGTCCGCAACTGTGCCCAGTGCGTTCACGATGCCCCCCAGCTGTTTGCCGAGCATGCGGGCATGGAGAACGATGCCTCCGTAGCGGAGGAGGATCGTGTTTGGGTGCGCGGCTGGTTTCCCATGCTCTTCTCGCTGTCGTGTGTCGTCAATCGCTGTAAACTGGATGTGCGCACTCGCGGCCTGACCGTGCTCTTCGAAATTGTCAAGACGCATGGGGATAGCTTCAAGCCGAACTGGTGGAAGGATCTCTTTAATGTGATCTTCCGCATCTTTGACAACATGAAGCTGCCGGAGCACGTGACCGAGAAATCCGAATGGATGACAACGACCTGTAATCATGCTCTGTATGCCATCATCGATGTCTTCACCCAGTACTTTGATGTCCTCGGCCATCTGCTGCTGGAGGAGCTGTTTGCCCAGCTGCACTGGTGTGTGCAGCAAAACAACGAACAGCTGGCACGTTCCGGTACCAATTGCCTGGAAAATCTGGTCATCTCGAATGGGTTCAAGTTCAACGAGGTGACGTGGGATAAGACCTGCCAGTGCATACTGGATATATTTAATGCGACGCTGCCAAAGGAACTGCTCACCTGGCGACCCAGTAAAGGCAACGAGCAGCAGGCGCAGCAGCAGCTGCCACGCCGTGCCTCCACAACACCACATTCCACTCAGGAGCCGCCGCCGGTCATGGCGATGGCACACAATCACTTCGAGGCGCTGCACATCAAGTGTGTGGTGCAGCTGGAGCTCATACAGACCATGGACAACATCGTCTTTTTTCCGGCCACGTCGCGCAAAGAGGATGCCGAGACGCTGGCGCAGGCAGCCGCCGATCTGAGTGGCTGTGCCCAGTCGCAACAGTTGCAGCTGGATTGTCAGCGTGAGGAGCAGGGCATGTACGGCTATTTGCGGACACGGCAGCTCTTCACGCTGGCCGAATGCCTGATGCAGTCGCATCGCTTCGCTAAGCGCTTTAATGCCGATCAGGATCAGCGCAATCTGCTGTGGCGCGCTGGCTTCAAAGGCTCCGTCAAGCCGAATCTGCTCAAGCAGGAGACCGCCTCGCTGGCCTGTGTGCTGCGCATATTTTTCAAAATGTACGGCGATGAGAATCGACGCAGCGATTGGCCCGGCATTGAGCAGGAACTGGTACAGGTGTGCAAGGAGGCACTCGGTTATTATCTCAGTCTCAGTGAGGCGCATCGTGATGCGTGGACATCCTTGCTGCTGCTCATCCTGACACGACTGCTCAAGATGTCCGATGCGAGAGTAAGCACATCACGAAATCTTTCATTTAAAAGCTCTCGTACTAAATGTTTATTATGTTTTACAGTTTGCGACGCATGTGTCCAACTATTACAGCCTGCTGTGCGAGATGATGTGCTTTGATCTGAAGCCCGAACTGAGAAGTGTCCTTAGGCGCGTCTTTATGCGCATCGGTCCAGTATTCAATATTATGAATGTCAATCAGAATGTGAATGTTAAATAGTCAAGGCGCACGCACTTAACAGCCACGCCCTCTGCGACGCGCTGCTTTCTTTGGCGTACCCCCCAATCCTAAAAATGTAATCCTAAGTTATCATATCCTGGGTTTGTTGTTATGTTGTTTCATTTTTGTCCCTTGGCCTCCTCCGAAAGCAGAATATATTATATATTTTTATTATATTTATATATACATATATATATATATATATAAATACAGGTATACATCGTGTATGCAATTGTAATGTTTATACTTAGGTTTAAACAAAGAGTTGTTGTTTTATATAATGTTTACACAAGGCTTTATTAATATGTGTGCATCAGTTTATATGCCACGAATATACGTTAAATAACCAATAGTTGATTTTCTTTCGCAAAATTCTTCGGTGTAACCATTTATTTTCGACTATTCACTATAATCTACGTATCTATTATTATTATTATTATGTAGCATAAATAATGATAGATTATATGCAAAACTTTAGCCTGTATATTGCTAGTTTAAATTTAAATCAAATTATATATTTCAAATATATCTATTATAACAATAAAAACCCTTCGTTATTTATTTAGCAAATATTTCTTCTTTGTTTCTCAGGATCGCAGCGTTTTAATGCTGCCTACTTTTACAGGCATCAAAGTATGTCTGAAGATCACTTGAAAGTATGCCACACACTTAATTAAAGTATGTAGTGCTATTTTTAATATACAAATAAAAGTAGCTGATGCTGATTCTTTTCGCCTGCTTGTTGTGATTTGATTTGATTTTCATTTTCTTCGACGACAGAAGTAAAATACAGCCAAGCAAAAATTCTGACAAATGTTGCCATTAACTTTCGAATTGTCGATTTGCTCAGTTATCAAATAATTTAAAGTTGATATATATTGGTATTCCTTTCGTAAGGAAAATCTTAGCGAAGCTATTCGTCATCCGTATCCTTGGATATTGGTTACACATGCATTGTTAAAATCACAGAAGGTTCTTTGAATAGCTGAAACAAATAATTTACTTTCAAAAAACAACCAATTCATTTGCATGATTTGTTAAATTTTATATACATTGATTGAATACTATATTTATACATTTTGAAAAATGGTTATGTTTATGTTTCACTAAGCAATTTTCTTAAGTTTTCTAAATAAATGATTATAGTTTTGTAGAAACATTCTTTTGAATCTTATCGTTTGCCACTTATTGCGAATATTGTAGACACATCCTATATCGGTTTACTCTTGATATATTTGCTGATCTTTTGATCGTTAACGATGCGACGCATTTGCTATAAAATTTAAATGAATAAATAATAAGAATGAATAATACTTGGCAAGAATATTAAAATGACTCTTTAGTCTGATATCGGCTAGAGAATACATATAATGATGCAGGGTGGAGAAAATTTCAATGAATTTGATTATAAATCAGCAGGAAAAAGCAGAACAATTTATATCACAGTCCTAAAAATTTATTTTTAAAATCTAATAAAAATAATCTGCAACATTTTTGTACATATTTATATATTCCGAATGCTGTGTCTTTTTTAATGTGTCATTGATCGTTGTATTTGTGGCTGGGAATTATTTGATATATATTAATGTGTTGCTTTTGGGACACCTTGAAAATCTGTTAGCAGCTTCAGCAAATTTCTTCGCAAAATCTTTGTTCACGTGTTAGCCACATAAATCGTTTTTGTTGTTTATTGCTTAAAATTTGAAAAACACGCACTTCTCTTTGCTAACCATTCAAACAAAAAAAAAAAAGGGGAAAAAATCAGCAGCGAGACAAGCAAATGTATGACATGAGGTGTTTAATTTTTATATTTTGGTGGGGGAAAGTTTTTGGGGGCTGTATTTTGTGTGAGCTTCGAATTCTGAGCGATATGCTAAAAAGTCTTGTTGATAAGTCAATTCCAATGGAAACCTAATAAGGCTCGCACTTGATGACGCCCATGACAAATCTTGGGTTATCGGAATCATCACATTTTGGTATGTGCTAATTGTTCGCGAATGGTTGTTTTATTAAAAAAAAGAAGAAGTTGATTTTATAACTAAATATGAACTGAATAACAAAAAATTATGTAAGTAATATAAATAAAACTGTAAATTTGCACTGAAAGGGACTAGTGTAGCTTTGAACTTGTTTTTGAAGTAAATCAACAGCTCTCATGGCTCAAATTCTCAAATGAGTAATGAATGTGTCAACCATGAGTGCACGCGACTAAAATTCATATATAAGCTCGCTTTATGAGATCTGCTATATAGAAGATATACAAGATAGTAGCAAAGACAGCATTAAACCCGAGCAAGACTGCTTATCTAAAAGTAAAATAAATACAAAAATAAAAAATAAATAAATAACATAGTAGTGCTGGAAATTGGACGGATAAATAAAGCCAGTGGATGCGTATTTTGTTGTTTATTAAAATCAAATATAAGTTGACAAAAAATGCGGCCATGAGAGAGTTCAGATAGTGTTATCTGCCTTGAACTCTGCAGGTAGACAGACTGCAAGTAAAAACATAAAGTTCTAAGCAAATTTAGAAAATTTCATAAACATTTATAAAGTTCCGTTCGTTTTAGACAGTAGAGTTCCATTTAACTGTAGTAGTTGACCTTGAGTGGACGAGATTGTTAGTGCATATAGAAATGTGTGCACATGTGAGCACACTTCCCATTTGCCGTTCCCAATTCCAATCCCAATTGTTATTTGCAACATTTGTTGTGCAATTTTGTAATTGCAATTACGGAAATCATTAAAGGCTTGCCGCGTGCGTTCATGTGGGAGCCGTGAGTCGCAGATAAAACTGTGCAAAGTGCAAATAAATGACTATGTTCTTAATTGGAAAATAAGCCGTGATAAAATTGTGACGAAAAAGAAAGCACATTGTAACATTTTCGCACGCTTAAATTAATTGCGCATACGCAACGTACAACGGTGAATTATCAGTGTGTACATAGAGAAAATTAGACAATCAGGTTACAGCAATCATATTTATAGAGATTTCGCATCTATACATGAATATGTATGCTAAAACACAAAATTCTAAATTTGGCTTAACTCGCTAAACTGGCACCGTGCAAAGCAGACGAAATTGTTCTAATGAAATAACATTGTCAGTAGCGTTGATGAAAATTGAGGCACTCAAAACACTACCCCAAGCCCGAACCTCAGCCCGAACCCTAGCAAACATCCCTATGGCAATTGAGTGATGAGCAGTATTCAATTTCCCAACAAAAACAACAAGAAAACAAAAAAAATAGTTGAGATTAACTTGTCCATTCTCGACAAATGCACAAGCCGTTAGCGATTGTGTGTGTTTTTGCATGTGAGTTGCGAGCGCGCGATGTGATCACGCTTACGGCTCGACTCGTCTGCTAATAACAACAAAAACAATCCACTAAAGTTCAACAATAAATTAAGGCGACAATTCGGTTTGTGTGAGTGTGCGTGTGCACAGTGGAACAAGGGCAGCATTTGAATGGACTGTCTACTGTATATATAACAGCATTTGGTTTCACAGCAACAGCAGCTCAATAGTTGCAAACCTTCCAATCGATAGCAGTTATCGATCGACACAGATTTAATTAGGCACTTTACAACATTACGTATAAGCAACACAGTGTGCAGCGAGCAATTAATGTTGTCGTTCGGGTGTTGGTGCTGGTAGCTATTGAACTGCGATTGGTGTTTACAATACGCAATTGCTTTGCCCAGGACCCTGCGGGAATTATCTTGCATGCTGGCTTTCCAATAAAGTGCGCTTACAATACAGTAGACAAAATGGATACATTTTATTTAAATGGTAGCATAACGAAATATAATTTTTAAGTCGAAGTTTCGAGATTGGCGTAGAAATACATATCACATCTGCAGATAATCTAAAATCTAATTAAAAACATATCTTCAAAGCCGAACTAAAATTTAAACTTATAATTAAATTTAAATTTCGACAGTTTGACTCTGGTATCCAAGATTGAATGAATGTATATAATTATATATATTTAATAACATATGTAATATAATACACTTATAATAATAATATACTAACAACAATAAATTTAATGTATACAACATGAAAAATAAATGACTGATAATGTAATAAAGTTATACCCATAACTATGGTGTTGACTGCTATTTTATACTGCTAAGCCATTACAAAAGTAAGCTGTGTGAAGGCGATTTTAACATAGAAAATTAATAAGTATTCGTGTTTTTTCCCGCTGGGTTGATTCACTTTGCGGGTACATTGCTCAATTATCACGCTCTCTTCAGTCTTTCGCTCTTCTGACGCTCGCTTGTTCTCCCTCTCTCTCTTTCTCTCTCTTGCTCTCTTTCACGCTGCTTCAGTCCGCTTAGGTGCGTGTTTTTTAATGTTTCTTGTTGCTTTTGCACTTTTTAGTTGGCGCAACGGCTTCGAAGTCAGCGGCGCTGCCTCGCATCGAACAGTCTACAGCCAGCGGACTAACTAAACAGACGCGCTCCCGTTCCCAATACCCAAATCCATAACCGTTCCCGGGTCATTATAAAACCGACAATCGCATTCTATAGGCAAATCAAACGCGTGCCAGAAACCGCGGGTGCAACAATAAACATCTCTTAAATCTCAACAGCAAACCAAAGATCAATTCTAAGATGAGCCATCACTGGGGCTACACCGAAGAGAACGGTAAGCGGCGTCAATTTCAGATCTGACTTGGTCATCTTCTCATTTTTTGCGAGTTTGTTTTGCTACGGCTACGTTTTTTGTTTACAAACGTGACGCACGCATGCGTGTAACGATTTAAATTTTGGGAAAGTTTTTGGAGCTTTTGCACAGCATCCGAAAAGTTTGATTCAACAACAACAGTACGAAAAAAAGAAGATGAAGAAGAAGAAGAAAAGCTTTCTAAGTTCAGTTTGTTGCATTGGCGGCATGCTGTAAAGTTTGTTTTGTTTAATTGAGACGACTCTTAATTGAATACATGTGTCATCTAATAGATAACAGGCAATGAGGCAGGCATCTTGCCTCAATTATTGTTTGTTGATTTGATTGCATTCGAATACGTACATTCGTCACAGACGAACATTTGTTGCTGCAGACAGACTGCTTCTAATGAAACGAAGTAAACGATAAGACTCTGTTGTGTTGTGTGTTTCTCTGTTATTGTTTTGCCACAGAAAAATAAACGTGTAAAATCAATCGCGGAAAGAGTCACTATCCGACTCAAAATAAGTGAATGCCCTGCCAATTTTGATTAATCAGCTAAGAATGTAGTTTCAATTTTTTATTTTATTTATCTGTTGCTATTTTTGGGCCCGAATGCTGTTCCCACTCAAGTTCCACATTGTTGTTAACTCAATCAAGTCCAGTTTTGCTCGCGTAATAACGCTTTGCGCCTTAATTACATGCATCATCGCATTCGCTACTCTTCAAAGCTCGCACACACACACACCTAAGCACATCTATACCCCAAAGTTCGAGAGACTTGGGCACGTTCATAGGTTCGTCGGCAGCTCATAAATATGCGCGAACAATAATTAAATCGTATGCCAAGTGTGAAACAAATGAGCTCGGCCAACAGAGGAATAGTGACAGGGAGAGAAAGAGAGAGGGAGATAGACTGTCGCCAATTTGCACGGGCTGCGTCTCGTGATCTTAACTGAGTAGGTATGACGGGTGCTTCCCATTAAACCAGTCAGAAAGTCAGTCGCCCCGTTGAATGCAAACAAGTTCCTAGTTCTCAGAATGCGTTAACCCATGATTACGTATATCATATAGTATAGATTTATTGATATTCTTGCTATGCGACCCAATTTCCCAATTCTTGAGACATACTCTTTCAGTTTGGCTCATTTGTTAAATTGAACATATTTATAGGTTTGCATTCGAATCGAATTTCAATAACAACAAATATACGGCTGAATCTATGTATTATGTAAACTTATATATTTGAGATTTAAATAGATCGACCAGTACGTCAAGCTGATTCTTTTTTCTCCATATTTGTATACATTTTGAATAGCAGAGTTCATTTGAATAGCGTTCAAACTCTCATAATAAATACTAATCTAAATATGCAGTGAGCGTATTTAATATTCAATATACAGCTGAGCCTGAGCAGACTCGTCTGCTCGAGCCGACATGTTTCTGGCTTATTGTTTGTTTCTTGTTATGTTTTCGCCTTCTCTTCGCTGTGCTTGTGCTGTGCGATTTGAAGGCAGTTCGTTTGCTTGCTCGACGCTGGTCAAGTGCATGTTCGGTTCTTAAGGACACATTAAATACCGGTTTCAGAGCTGACTAAGCTCTGCGTTATGGCTCAAATGTTCTGTCTGGCTAACAGCACTTCTGTCTGTCACTACCCCTGCCCCTGCACTCGTTCAACGTCACATGATCATCGCTTATCGTACAACAAATTGGTGTTCAGAATTTTTGCATCTTATAAATCAATTTAAAATTTTTGGCAACTTGTTTTGATTTGCTTAAGTGCCGTTGATTGAGTTGATTGATTTGACTTGTCTGCGCTGGTAACATTTCAATGCCCTCTATCTGTCTATTTTGCCTTATCACTACCAGGCCATATACACACTTATGGTCCACTTTAGACTGGAGTGGTTTTTACATTAATCATAAGTGCACAGAAGTCAAGTATTACTTCCCATTAATATATACCTCTACATTAATATATACCTCTGGCTAAAGATTATTTGATCAGTTCTTATCAAATCTGTTCTATTCGCACCTCTGCCCCTGTCAAGCCTACAGAATCGTTTATACTCGTGTTTGAGATTAAAACTCGCGTGTTTATATTTTATAAGTCAATCAAATTTCATTTATGGCATGATACGATTCTGTTAAACCTAAGAGTCGTCTATACTCGAATTTCAGATTAAAACTGATATGTTCATATATTTTGTACATCATTTAAAATGATAAAATTGTGTTGATATAGCTCGAAAATGTATAAATTTTCCGATCGCTCTTTGTCTATTAGTATCAACAACATATGACGAGCCTACATTTAATTGCCCTTATCATAATAAGGCAAATGTCTAATATCTACAAAAATTCTTCATTCATTACCCCTTTTCGCGTTACCCAATCTGTATATTTATTATCGTAATGACTCAACGTATTGCATTAAAATTATAATTAGTAATATAAACCAAAGTGTCATTGCTTCATCATTTTGTTGATTTATTTGTGTGTGTTAATGACAATTCTCTTTGATACTGTATGCAATTTAGAAAACAATCTAAAAAATATTATCTGGTACATAAAAGATTATTCTAAAGTTAATCTCATTTTATGAAATACTGTGATTTAATGATAAAAAATGTTCCATATCTTAATAATAGATTTGCGCATTTCCTATCACCTAGTAATATATATTGATTGGAATGACGTACATAATAAATACATATATTTCAAGAGTTTTATTACAAATCTGAAGCATGCTGACAACCTCAACCCATATTTGTACCATGCATATTACAAAAGAGCAGCTTCACATTTTGCCACAACCGCATAAGGCAATCCATCTTATATATATAAATATATATATATATATAACTTATTACTTATTGGCACAGCGGAGCGATAAATATTACAATAATTACTTACGATCCATGTCGATTTACTGCGAAATCATACAACAAGTGCCATCCTTTACTTAAAAGTTCATCACAAGCTTTGCTGAAAGTGTGAAAAAATTAATGATAATATATATATATATATATATTCGTATATTGTTATTATTTTTGGCTTCGGCAAGAAAATTAGCAGACGGTGCGATAAAAATTATGGCATATATATCTATATAAAATATATGTATACAGCTGGCGTATTTATAATGCTCAAGAAAAAACCATTCAAATTAAAGTGTTGGAAAACTTTTGTTCTACAGATTAAAATTCAAACACAGCCCAACAATTTCAAACTGTACGTGTCATTTGGTGCAAAATGAAGAATGTTGCATTGTTGGATTTGTATTTTGTGTTATAGTTTTGTTGTTCTGTTTGTTAGTTTTATGGTAATTCAATAATTCTATTTCTGTTGCTGTTTTAACATGCTAACAAATAATTAGCATTGAAAATTGACCGAATGCGTTTTAGCGTGTTTGTATCTCAATTGAGGTACCGTTAGCACCTTGACAGCAAGAAGCTTAGAGCAGTTGTAGGGCTTCCCTAAAGACTGAACTATATCGAATATTTTGTGAGCTGGTTTGCCGGGTCAATTTCCGAACAACTCTGTCAGATAAGTGATATATATGTATTCTGCACACGTTGACTCATACAGGAATAAGGCGAACGGAATGAATAATATTTAGAGAGTTCATTGAATAACTCGATGCCCAATTAACGTGAACTTCCTTAGCTCATAAAATCATGCAATAATCTCATAATGTTATAAAAATTTCAGAAGCCACTGAGTACTTATCAGATATGATCATGACATTTAAGTGAATAGTTACGAGTTCTACTCAATTCGTTGCATGACTTAAACGTTTGTTTTTTTTTTCTTGTTGTGTAATTTTATGATAGACATAAGTCGTAATAGTTTTTAAAGATACAACAATAAAAATCGGGCTTTAACAATTTTCCCACCTTTCTAAAGTTTAACTGAATGTATGTATTTTTCTGTATAAATTTAATAACGTAATAGGCTCATAATAATTATTAAATAATTTAATAATAATTAGCAACAAAAAAATGGTAAAAAATAAGAACTTTTGTCACATATAATTACAATACATAGGTGATTTCAATTGAGATATTTATCAGTCCATAGCTGTATATACAGGGTAACTCCCAGTCAGAAGTCCAGATAAGAAAAACCTTCAAGTTGATTTTCTTACATCGAAACACAAACGAAAGTCAATAACTGGGAAGTAAAAAATGTAACTTTTTTCATTGTTGTCTGGGGAGAACAGAGAACGAGAACCAGTTTTTGCCTGACTGTTCAGCTGTCTAATATATATATATATCTATAGTATATATATAAAGCCATGTTGGATACGTTAAAATTCATTTTAATTCAATTAAATAACCATTTCGATTTTTCCACAACTTTATTAATGATCTACCCAACTGGAAGAAGTTGTTTAATGCGATATATTTGCAAACAAAATATACAAACCTACATATATATATATGTAAAGCAAATATTATTGTGAAAATAGTTGGCGCTTTCAGCATTTCCTGAGACGTCGCCGCAACTTTGTTAATAATCGAAACTGTTAATTACAGGCACGTGCGCTTATTTAACTGGCTTTTCCACAGGTGTTTGAGTTGACCTTACGTTACAATTTATTTTGTTTTTCTTTGCATTTTGCTTAATTTAATTTTATCTCAATAAGCTAAAGCCAAATATAATTGTATATATCTCAATCAAGCGGTTGGGTTTACTTTATCTTTATTGCTTAAAATACATGTAAAATTGAAATTAACTGTTGTCTTAATGACAACTTTTACAATTTACTTAAGTATAATTTCAATACACCTAAAAGAAAAATATAATTTGTTGGTCCAAAAGGATATGTAAATGAATCATCATCATGTGAATCATAAGTGTATTTCAACTTCGGCAAACTAAGTCGCAAAATGATGATCTCTCATGATAAAAGCTCATTGTGTATCTGTATGACAAAGCTGATAAGCAGCCAGACGCAAGTTGATCTTTAGAATTCACAATCGCAATCTTGGCATATTAATCGTATTTACCAGCTGCAGGGCCAGGCGGTGAAAAGGCGCAGTAAATAAAGGCGTATGAATAAATAAGTTAATGGAAATGGTCAACAAAAGCTGACAAAAGGACAGCTTCATAAACGTGCAAAATATTTGGATAAATAATCAGCCGGAAATTAGTGCTAAATGATATAAAAAATGCAATTGCAGTGAGCTTTTCAGTAGCCATACATGACGTATACGTGATGTAAATATTTAAGTTTGCTGATTTCCCGATGTAACTCTTAATTGTTTGAATTTATTTATTTTATTGTGGTTGCTAAAACTTCCTAACATGGCGTGTACTTGTTATCGCTTGTGATTTATTTGACTAATTACTTATAAACGCTTCAAAGTTATTTGTCACACGTAAAATAAAGGATCGTTTTTCAATTATCTATTTGTACATCCCTATCAATTGATGTGTGTCACATGTGCGAATGGCAATGTCTTCAGACACGTATGTCATTTTGTAATTACATAATTTCCGCTGTCCATTTGATAAGGGAAATGCATTGACACTGGACAAACAAAATAAGTGATTTATCAGTTTTTGCTCGGCTTTGAATATCAAAGAAAATACCTTAAGACCGAAGCTTCTGGCGCTCAATGATTTATTACGTGTCAGCGCCATAAGACAGTTCGATAAGGTATATGCCAGATTAAATGCACCTTATTATATTGAGATACCTTAACTTGTTCGCTATTCTGCGGTTTATCTGGTGAGTGCGTCAGTGGGACCGATCCTATCACATGACTTTGCCACCGAGCCAAACCTCTTGAACGAGTCTCCAGCACGTGACGCTGTTTCTTACTCCCAAGTAAACATTTATTATTGTTCTTGTTGTAGACAAATAATTAAAACGCAAATGCAACATCAAACAAAAGTAGAAATAATTTATTTTGTTGTCACAGCCGTTCTAATTACAAACTCAGATAATATGCCGGCAGCCATCAACTTCTCTGTATAAAAAAAAAAAACACTTTTATGATCTTAGAATTAACACATGTTATGCAAGCAAAACTAAACCGGAATGTTCTAATTTATAACATTGACCGATGTTTATCTAGATACATTGTATTCCTGGTTTTTCCTATTCCAACTGCAATTAATGCTTGATTTAAACGGCTTGCTAATTATTTGCCTAATTGGGACTAAGTTAGTTCAAAATTACATAGCAACTGAAATCAGTTGGACAGGATATCTGTACTTTTTTTTTCGAAAAAAGTGTTAAATAAATGTAAGCAAATATTAGCACAGTTGTTAGCCGCTTCGACATTATTATTTTTGAGTTTCCAGTTGCGTGTGCATTACGCGTTATCAAGAATCCACATACCAAAATTGTTCAAAGCCTTCTAAATACCTACGTAAATTTGAAAGGTTTTTAAAGTTCTTAAGTCTTGTACAAATATGCACATTTAATCATTTAAATAAATGAGCTTATAGATACGCATATCATTAAATCCTCTGACATATACCATAAATATAATAAAGATAAAAAAAATTCCTTGCGAAAATGAACAAGTGTGGCCAGTTTTGTCTTTTAAAGTTGCTGCAAATATAATAAGCTCCAACTCACAAATAATAAGCTCAAAAGAAAAATTTAAAATATTTATTTTGATTCATTTTGAATTTTGTATGAAGAAAATTTTATACTTATTATAATATTAGGGTAATATTATAGATATAGCATAGATATCGTTTGCAACCAACCAAAACTATTTATAGCGATGAACTATTTCTCCTGTGGTTATTAATTACTATTGGATTATTTGAATTATTTTAATGATAAATCGTTTACTGATTTTTATAAATAAATCAAAGATATTATAAAGCACTCGTGTTGAGTAAACAAACAAGCAATAAAATGATTGAAATTGAGAGAGTTGCTAATAGTAGAAACTAATGAATTTTATATTTATATACTTGAAGGACCCGCACACTGGGCCAAGGACTATCCACATGCATCCGGACATCGTCAGTCACCAGTGGACATAACGCCATCCAGCGCCAAGAAGAGCAGCGATCTTAAAGTATCGCCACTGAAATGGAAGTACGTACCGGAGGATACAAAGAGTCTGGTTAATCCTGGTACGTTTATTTTCTATATTTTGATATAAGTGGTATTTTATACAGGCAGCTCATTAATCTTTAATCATTTTTCAGGCTACTGTTGGCGCGTGGATGTCAACGGCGCCAATTCGGAGCTGACCGGTGGACCGCTGGGCAAGCAGATTTTTAAGCTGGAACAGTTCCACTGCCACTGGGGCTGCACAGACTCCAAGGGCTCGGAGCATACGGTCGATGGTGTATCCTATGCCGGCGAACTGCATCTGGTACACTGGAACACCACCAAGTACAAGTCGTTCGGTGAGGCAGCCGCCGCCCCCGATGGCCTGGCCGTGCTGGGCGTCTTCCTGCAGCCTGGCGATCATCACGAGGAGCTCGACAAGGTGAGCAGCGTGCTGCAGTTTGTGTTGCATAAGGGCGATCGGGTCACATTGCCCCAGGGCTGTGATCCCGGCAAGCTGCTGCCAAATGTGCACACCTACTGGACATACGAGGGCTCGCTGACAACGCCGCCCTGCTCGGAGTGCGTCATTTGGATTGTGTTCAAGACGCCCATCCAGGTGTCCGAGGATCAACTGAACGCCATGCGCAATCTCAATGCTTACGATGTCAAGGAGGAGTGTCCCTGCAACGAATTCAATGGCAAGGTCATCAACAATTTCCGTCCCCCGCTGCCGCTCGGCAAGCGTGAATTGCGCGAAATTGGCGGACATTGAAAAATGAATGGATATTGTTGTTATTGGATCACAGTCAAAGCCATTGGATTCGAGTCGTATGTTTAGCTTTCATATAAATTAACACTGCGTGCACCGTAGGAGCGGATCGGATGCAGCGCTGAATTACCCATCAACCAACGACCCCATCGCAACGAGCAGCGGCTGAAGTTCCCATTGTTAATGTCTCGTTTTAGTCTGTACTACTTTATAGCAAACACTTGTACCTCTTTTTATGTATTTGCTTGTAGAACTGTATTTGTATCTTGTTATATGTATTCGTACGTTGTACTTGGTACGCTTCTTTGTTAAACATTTGCTAAATGACAATTAGATTAATGTGTATTACACTTTATGGTATTACAAAATAAATATATTACTTTTAGATGTTGCATATTCAAAATGAACAAAAAAAAAAACCGATTGATTTCTTTTAATCTTATAAAATATAGTTAGCTTTAAACCGATCTCTTAGCCATCAAAATGCATATTAAACCCTCTTACACCAAAGTATCAAACTTGTTTAACTTCAACTTAATTTGCATTATAATTTACACCACATCTCGAAAACCTACACAAGAAAGAAGGTTTCAGATTATTCATCGATCTGACTTGTTTTTAATATAATCTGAAGAATGACTAGTCAGATGAACAAACATAAGGTCCATTTGTAAGCTTACTACAGCAAAAGAATGTGATTATTTGAATGTCTTTAACCCTCAAACGAGCACTACATTCAAAATGGATTGATATATGGCTCAAGGCCGTTGACATTTGTTAAAGGTAAGATATTATTATAAACATACAGAATTTTTTCTAATTAAATGCAAATTCATAAAGTAAACAACTTTAGCACCAGATTGGATCACGAATTCCGTGCCACAAGAATATCATGCCGAACTGAAAGACTTCACGTTGATGGGGGAAAAGTATTACTTCATTGCACATAAGGAGGCCAACTGGTTTCCAGCTGCACAGGAGTGTCGGCAGAAGGGCGGGTATTTAATAAACTTGTCAAAAAATTATGAGAGGATACTTGTAGGTAAGCGTCTAAATAGGACTGAATACTATTGGCTGGACATCAACAGACTGGGTCAAGATGCATCTGTTTCGATTGCCACAGGAGTGGTGATTTGATATGAGAAATGAGAAACGAGCCACTAAATTGCGTACTGCTGGTGAATGACTTTGCGGAAGGCTTTGTCATGAAGAAAACACAGTGCCTGGAAGTCTTGCTATGTCAACTAAGTTGTCCGAGCACAATTTACATTGTTGTATGGGAATATTTAATACATACATTAATTTATATAAATAACGATATATCATGCATAAATAATTCTAATGATAAAATTGTAAAAAAGGCTTCGAGGCATCAATAATATACTTATATTTCAGTTGAAAAGAAATTATTATTTCAATTATTGAAAAATTATTTGTTAATCAGCTTTTAATAAGTTTATTTAACGAGCTTCCAATGCATATAATTAAATACTCATATTCATTCATATCACTTGTTCAACGTATGTAGATGAAAAAATAAATATAAAATAATCTCTGTATAAGTGTGTCAAGAACCATAAATCACTTTTCCAAGCATTGATTACATACATTCACATGGATCAAAATAGGAACTATGGCATGTTATGTTCCGTCCGTGCTACGCAGCCTGTTTGCTGAAATCCAGTAACTCCTTTGGCTTGCAAGTCCATTGTTGAAAGTAATCACATTTCAATTGCTGCCAGACCAGTTGATAATCTTTTGCGAGAGCTTTGCACTGAGCATAGCTTAAATTCTGTACATCACTTAATTGTAAGCATAGCTTTTGACGCAGCTCGGCGCAACCGTTCAGCAAGTTAAGAAAGTTGAGTAGCAGCTTATATTTACTCACATCGAGCGCTGCTTGTGGAGTGTCGAGCTTCTTTTTGGTGACGCCTTGCCGTTTGCCATTCACTGCAACCTCATAGGGTCTGCGAGTATATATAGTTTATATATTCAAAATATTGTCAAAATGCCCACAGCTCACCTAAGTGACTCGGGAAGCAGAACCCAAATCAGACTATTTGGCGCTGGGTGCCAGTCGGCCCGTTGTCTGTGCTCAAAGGTTAACGTGTTATCAATGCGTATGTGAGGCACCTGCGCTTGATATCGGCTTGCTTTGCAGCTTCTACCGTTCCAGCGTTGATAAAGTGCGCGCTGTAGACTTTTAAGGTGCGCATCGGCACAGCAAAAGTTGAAACTAGTAAAATAAATGGGCTTGTTGAGCAGCATGTCAAGCAGTGCACCCTGGACACCGAGAACATTCCAACGCGACAGCTTGTCGCTGCAGGACATGGACAGTGTGCGCTCGCCGCGTCCCGGTTTGGTGCGCAACGCTGCTGGTGTTTGCAGCATAGCATCGCATTGATCTACGTTGCTCACGTTGCTGCTTATTAATTTAGCGCCAGTGAAAACCTCTTCGCATGCATCATTATCCAATCGCTTTCGCTTAGCCGGCAGCGTGGCAAAGTCAATGTCGATATTGCTCTCGTCCAAAATGCAAGCATCTCCGCATGGTGTTTGCGTGCTAAGGAAATGGAATACCAGATTTTCGTTGAGCGTAAAGCATCTTTCCGCTGTTTGCCAGCTAAAGATCGACTCCTCTGTTTTCCCCACTAGGCACATGGCTGCTTTCATTATTTCATTGTTCAAATAGCGCAGGAAGCCGCGTCTTGCAAGCACCTCAGCATGGCAATCGTTCAATATAAAGCCTCTGGCACATAGTTTACTACTGCCAATGCATCTCGTTCTAAGTCAAAATAAATGAAATATTTAATATTTGCTTGAACAAATAATAAGTTGTTTATCACTTACCCAGTGGCAAGTGAAACTACTTTACCGCATTTTGATCGTACGTCATATTGTACTATACCGGCTAGAACTGTCCACTGATTGTTTGTGGGCTTGCCAGTTTTTGGTAAATCGCGAAATTTGCCATAGCATAGCTCCGCTATTTGCTGCACGGTTAATTCTTTATTAAATTCAGAATGCATTAATAACAATTGCGATTAAAAGCGTATTACTGTTTAGTGATAATGAAGTTATCGATTGTCGATATTTATATTATCGACAACAAACAACAGCTGCTTAACGGAATCGTTTCACAACACTTGACAAACAATACCTGGCTTTGTGGTCGGAAGCCTTTATACATTTGTAATTTTCAATAAATAAACATGCCTAAAGTCGTATCGCGCAGCATTGTTTGCTCTGATACAAAAGATCAGGAAGAATACAATGAGGAGAAGCCATTAAATATATATTACTGTCTGTGCAGCAAAATGTCACTAATTCTAGGTGCGTACAATACAAATTTATTGTAAACGCTTTAATAATAAACGTTTTAAAAATGTATATGACAGATTGCACGTTGGACCAGTTGCCGCTGCGTGAAGCGGACAATGCTCGTGTTATAGATGCCAACGATCATGCCAATAAGCTAACCTTTAACCCAGCCCCAAAAATGATCTACATACGACGCAAGGGCAAGGGAATTGAGAAGCAATACCGCTACAAGGTATGCATCGAAAGGAGAAATAATTTTAATATGGAATACTTAGTGGATATTTTACATTTGTGAGATTTCGGAGTCCATAGAATACATAACGAATGACGAGTCTTTTTTATCGTTACAAGATATCTTCACCTAACTCACTATGTATGAGTTGTACTATAATTGGAGAATGGATAATGAAGCACTACTGTGTTACTATAATCAGCGGCCACCTATACATTTATTTACGTATTCATATTTGTCTTTCAGTGCCGTAGCTGTAGTCTGCCCTTGTACTATCGACACAGTTCCGACTCGCACGTTACCTTCGTGATGAACAACGCTCTGGTGCGCAACAAGGGTGAGCAGCCGTTGGCCCAACTACTGGCAACGGAGGCGAAAACAAATGCAGCCAACGCAGCTGCTGCGGCGAATGTGCCGCCGCCAACTGGCGAGGATTCGGGCATTGTGGACGCCAGTGGTAAAAAGGTTATGGTCACTCGACATACCAAAAATATGGGCAAATTTAGCTCCGTCACTGTATCCACCATCGATGAAGAGGAGGACGAAATTGAAGCGGTAAGCTTAAAAATAATTACATACATCATTGTCTGTAGTAAATTACAACCATAAATGTTGTTATTCCCACAGCGCGAAATTGCTGATAGTTATGCTAACAACGCTCGCATTATCGAGAAGCAGCTGCAGCGTAAGGGAGGCAAGCTGGCTGATCTGGGCGCCAAGCCTAAGGTGGATGATATGCCACCGCCGCCCCAAAAAAAACAAAGAGGAACTCTACTGGAGCGATAGCTACTACTCAAATCACGCCATATTGCGAAATAACGCCTACCAATTTAATAATTTGTGAATATGATAAAAGTTCAGAGTACTCTGAAATTTTGATATCAATTTCTCAATTCGCCCTTCATTTACTTAGTTGACGTTGGAGCGAGCGTACTTTTGCAAAGCTATAAAGCTTGCAAACGAAATTAATCGGGTTTTATTTAGCAACAGGATTGAATAATATAATAAAATATTTATATAATCGAATCAAATTAAATTATATCTCAATACCTGTGACTGAACAACTTAAAATGCGATTAAATCAACCGAAGAACATTATAACATTAGTACAAGTAATATCAATTGCACTTGTGCATTGTGACCCGAGAGATATATTACCCATACACTGTAAGGGTCAATGTGTCCCCCTCGAGGACTGTCATCTTGATGATTATGAGGTGGACAGGATTGGTAAAATCACACCAGGTATTCGTTTTTGTGGGGATACAAATCTAATGTGCTGTGTGGACTTAAAAAAGCAGCCGGATACTGTCGCACAAACGAGTAAGTTTCAATTAAATGCATATGTATATGCTGATTATTAATTTACACTTTAGCGTGTATTTGAATACAACAAAACTACAAAATTCGATTGAAATATGACGATAATTCACATTTCAAAATATAATTACCAGTTTCGCCGAAAACATGTCGATATTTTAATATTCTGTTATTTATTTGAAATGCAGAATGTATGGACTATACAAACTTAAAAGAGTTTTGCCTAACGGAACCGCTCATCCATAATGGTACTAAGGCAAAACCATTAGAAATCAAATTTATGGTCGCTATAAAATATAATGGTTCAACTATTTGCGGCGGTACATTGATATCGGAAAACTTTGTTCTCACTGCCGCTCATTGTTTTGATAAATACAATATGTAAGTCCAAAATACTACTGACAATAATTCATTTTTTAATTAATTTGTCTTTAAAGAGCTGCCAGTGATATTGGTGTGATCGTAGGAGCCCATAATTTGAAAAATTCCGGCGTTCCATATAATATATCATCTATAATCGTTCATCCTGATTATAGGCCTTACTTTGCGGATATAGCCTTATTGAAACTGGACAAAGTGGCAAAGTTCCCTTCGAAAATATTTAAGCCAGCTTGCTTGCCTAGAACGAATGGCAGCGAACTTGAAGGATTTACTGTTGCTGGTTGGGGCCCTATAGCAGAGAATACGTCCCCAGATGAATTAAGAAAGGGATCCTTGGTTCCAAGCACACGATGTAAGGACTTAGCAGTTCCTTTTAATGAAGACATGGAAATCTGTGCACATCCAGTGAACGATGGCCCAGGAGAAGCTTGCAAAGGCGATTCCGGTGGTCCGCTATTTAGTAATTATACTGGTTACGATAGTTGCCTTACAGAAATATTTGGTGTTGTTGCTGGCGGTCACGAATGTCATACAGCGGCATCAAGTACACGCTATACAAGAGTTTCAGTTTTTCGCAAATGGATAGAAAGTGTGGTATGGCCAAAAGAATATGAAGAATATATAAGTAATGAAAAAGAATATATACAAAAATAAAAGATTGCCTTCCCTTGCGGATTATAAATTATAACATCGACCGATTGTTATGACGCTAATATGGTAAGAGCATAATTAAAGGCATATCTATTGCTTGTTATACAAAAAAGTTGTCATACAAGAACTATATGATCCGATCCGGCCGAATAACTCAACTCAACTGGTCATGCTGATTAAGAATATATGTATATACCCTATGAATGCCATGAACCCAAAAGCAAAATTATGACACTTTCTGCAGGGGATCGTTTTGGATTGCAAATTATATAAATATTTACTGTAAACATATATGTGTACTATATCTACTATAAAAGTCGTCTTCACAAATATTAAAAAAAAATGTAAATTTAAATAATTTGTGCGGAGCAATATGTATGTTATCGTTAATCGAATATAAAATGGCGCTTACCAGCACTGCTTTGCGAATGTGCAGCTAACTTAACGCCGTTGTAAGCAGAATTTGCAGAGAAAATATATTGAAAAAAATTGTGTGTATAGCATGTGAAAACAAGGTTTTGTTTTTGTTCGTTTTGGATTGCAAATAGATAACGCTGCGCGTAAATCAGCCAATAAACAAGGAAGAAACAAACGTTAAAAATGCTGCCCGACGACGACGTTGCTGTTGACTAATAACAAGAGCGTGTGCGTCTGTGTGCGTGTGCTTCTTGTATGCCAGTGAGTGTGTGGTGGAGTGCAGAAATGTTTTCCAGTGGTGGCAGCCATGGGATTAGCGTTGGCGTCGCCTCCACTGTGCAGGACTCGGATGGCTATGATTTTACAAAAAACGAGAACGCGGCACGTTGGCGGGGTTTATTTATACCATCGCTGCGAAAGGTGCTCGAGCAGGTGAATCCCCGTGTGACAGCCAAAGAGGATGCACTGCACTATGTGGAGAATCTGTGTGTGCGCCTATTGGCCAAATTGTGTGCGAAACCACTGCCGCATTCAGTGCAGGATGTTGAGGAGAAGGTGAACAAATCGTTTCCAGCGCCCATCGATCAGTGGGCCTTGAAGGAGGCCAACGAAGTGATCAATTCGAAGAAGCGCAAATCTCTATTGCCCACGGAACGTGTGCATACGCTGCTGCAGAAGGATGTGCTGCAGTATAAGATCGATAGCTCGGTCTCATCGTATTTGGTCGCTGTTCTCGAGTGCATCTCAGCCGATATACTCAAAATGGCTGCCGATTATGTCTGTGCAATGCGACACAGCGAGATCGCCAAAGAGGACATTGAGGTCGTTCTGAATGCGGATGGTGTGCTTCTCGACATGCTCAATCGCAGCAGCGAACAGCTCAAGTGCAATGTGCTGCCCAGTCCTCTGTCGCTGCCAGCGCAACGGGCGAGCGCCACCTACGAGGAGACGGTCAAGGAGCTGATTAACGATGAGAAACAATATCAGCGAGATCTGCATATGATCATTCGTGTCTTTCGCGAGGAGCTACTCAAAATTGCACGCGATCCAAAGGAGCTGGAGCCGATATTCTCCAATATCATTGACATTTATGAGGTAACAGTGACGCTGCTTGGCTCCCTTGAGGATGTCATCGAGATGTCTCAGGAACAGAATGCGCCCTGTGTGGCCAGCTGTTTTGAGGAGCTCGCCGAGGCCGAGGAGTTCGATGTCTATAAGAAATATGCACACGACGTCACCTCGCAGGCATCGCGCGATGCTCTAAGCAATCTGCTTGCCAAGCCCGACGCCCTGTCGCTTATGTCTGCCGGCCATGGTTTCCGTGAGGCGGTCAAGTATTATTTGCCCAAGCTGTTGCTGGTGCCCATCTGCCATGCGTTTGTCTATTTTGACTATATCAAGCATTTCATGGATCTCAGTACATCACAGGACGACATCGAGAGCTTTGCTCAAGTGCAGGGCTTGCTCCATCCGTTGCACTGCGATCTCGAGAAGGTATTGGCCAACTTGTCTAAGAAGCGACTCGTCCCAGTCAGCGGTCGTGTGCGACGCCAAATGGCTATTGAGCGGACACGGGAGCTGCAGCTGAAGGTCGAGCACTGGGATGACAAAGATGTGGGCCTTAATTGCAATGAGTTTATACGCGGTGAGTTGGCAAAAGGATATGCGATCTGTTATACATTAGCCGAAAATAGCATCAGATATTAAAATTGTCGTTTCATTCATTAATATAATATTAACAAAATCCCGTTTATAATTGCTGGACAATTCGAATATCTAAACAAATTTCCTATATACTTATTTAATCTACTTCTTATTTAATATATGTATTTATATTTGCAGAGGATTCACTCAGCAAGCTTGGCTCGGGCAAACGCATCTGGAGCGAGCGCAAGGTATTCCTTTTCGATGGTCTCATGGTTTTATGCAAGGCAAATACTAAGAAGCAGACCCCATCGGCTGGTGCCACCGCCTACGATTATCGACTGAAGGAGAAGTTCTTTATGCGTCGCGTCGAGATCAACGATCGTGCGGATACGGATGAGCTGAAGCACAGCTTTGAACTAATCACACGCATACATTCCGTCATTGTGCTCTCCGCAGAGAATGCCCAGCACAAGAGTGACTGGATGGCTGATTTGATTATGGTGAATACGAAATCAATGCTAGATCGTATACTGGACAGCATACTACAAGACATTGAGCGCAAGCATCCGTTACGCATGCCCAGCGCGGAGATCTACAAATTTGCGGTGCCCGACAGCGCTGAGAATATTGTATTAGAGGAGCGTGACAGTGGCGTAGTGCCGATGATTAAGGGTGCTACTCTATGCAAACTGATCGAGCGCCTCACCTATCACATCTATGCGGATCCGACGTTTGTGCGCACCTTTCTCACCACATATCGGTACTTCTGCTCGCCGCAGCAGCTTCTGACGCTGCTAATCGAACGCTTCGAGATACCGGAGCCAAGTCTCGTTTACCAGGAGCAGCAGTCGAACCACAATGAACATCATCACGACAAAGATGCATCAGCGACAGCGACGGTGTCAACGGCGGATAGCGAGAAAATGTTAAAGAACTCGCAGCGCGAGGATTGGAAACGTTATCGCAAGGAGTTCGTGCAGCCAGTGCAATTTCGTGTGCTGAATGTCCTGCGCCACTGGGTGGATCATCATTTCTATGATTTTGAGAAGGATCCAACGCTGCTGGACAGACTGTTGCATTTTCTCAATGACGTCAACAGCAAATCCATGCGCAAATGGGTAGACTCTGTGCGCAAGATTGTCGATCGCAAGGTAATATTAAAATTGTTCTCAAATCCCTAATTATATGCAATGTGTATTGTGGGTGTTATGGAGGCCTCAGTGCAGCATGCATGCAATGCAAATCAGATCCACGAAATATTAACATTCTCTTTCTTTTACAGAACAAGCAAAGCAATAAGAAGATCGTCTATGCCTATGGACACGATCCGCCACCCATTGAATACCATTTGAATGTGCCCGATGAGGAGATAACGCTACTGACGTTGCATCCATTAGAGGTGGCAAGACAGCTAACTCTTCTGGAGTTTGAGATGTACAAGAATGTGAAGCCATCGGAGCTGGTCGGCTCGCCGTGGACCAAAAAGGATAAGGAGTTAAAGAGTCCCAATCTGCTCAAGATTATGAAGCATACGACAAATGTGACGCGCTGGATCGAAAGGTCCATCATGGAGGCGGAGAACTTCGATGAGCGGCTGGCCATTATGCAGCGCGCCATTGAGGTGATGATGGTGATGCTGGAGCTGAACAATTTCAATGGCATCCTATCGATTGTTGCTGCCATGGGCACAGCGGCTGTGTTTCGACTGCGTTTCACGTTCAATGCGCTGCCGGAGCGGCATCGCAAATTCCTTGACGAGTGCCGTGAACTAAGCGAAGATCATCTCAAGAAATACCAGGAGCGCCTACGCTCCATTAATCCGCCCTGTGTGCCATTTTTTGGTCGCTATTTGACGAACATCCTACATCTGGAAGAGGGCAATCCGGATTTGCTGACCAACACCGAGTTGATTAACTTCTCCAAGCGACGGAAAGTATCGGAAATCATTGGCGAGATTCAACAGTATCAAAATCAACCTTATTGCCTCAACGAGGAGCCCACAATACGGCACTTCTTCGAGCAGCTCGATCCATTTAACGGACTCTCCGACAAAGAAATGTCCGACTATCTCTACAATGAAAGTATGCGCATTGAACCGCGCGCCAGCAAAACAGTACCCAAATTTGTAAGTTGTCTACAAACTGTATATCATATGATACCCTCAATATCCGACGCGTTTCCTTATGATCTATAATTAACGATGTCCAATCCCCGTTTTCAATATGCATGCATTATAATCTTATAGTGAACATCTATAAACTTTTTTAAGACTCTGAACATTTGTTTAAGTGACTTTTATGTGAACATTTTCATTTAAAAATGTGCGACTTACTTCCTGATTCTCTCAGTGTACTTGCTAACCATTTCTATCTTACTTTACAGCCACGCAAATGGCCGAACATTCCGCTCAAGTCGCCAGGCATTAAACCGCGTCGTCAAAACCAAAGCAACAATAGCAGCAAGCTGTCCAGCAATGTGCCCGTTAACGTGGAGCCACCAATGCCAGCGGCGGCAGCAACAACAACAACGACGACGGCGACAACAGCAGCAGTCACATCCAGCATCGGCGAGCAGAGTCCGCAGCATAATCCGCATGCATATTCCGTATTTGCGCCTGTCATCATTCCAGAGCGCAATGGGGGTAGCAGCTGGAGCAGCGTTGCGCCGCATCGGACACCTGACAATGGTGAGGTGGCGCCGGCGCCGCATCTGCCGCGTAAGCCGGCGGCGCACGTATGGACACACAACAGCGCGCCAGCGGATGTGTTTAGTCCAGCGCTGGCGGAGACACAGCCCTCAGCAGCAGCTGCCGCAGTTGGAGCAGCAGCCGCTGCAGCTGCCGGCGGCTGGAACAACATATCCGATTGCTATGTCATCTCGGATGCAAGTTCGGATGTGTTGCCGCCATCGCCGCTACCCAAACTGATGATAAGTCCGCGGCATGAGGCGACGCCGTTGCCACCAGCACCGCAAGGTAGCAGCAATCGTTCACCATTCCATGGACGCACTGCACACACGCAATACAGTCCGACACACAGCATTGCCAGCACAGTGACGCTCATTGGAGGCGGCGGCAGCGGCAGTGGCGGTCTTGGAGATGTGAGTCCACAATTGGGCGGCTTCTATTACAACAGCGAGCAGAGCCATGGCCAGGCGGCCGGAGTGCCCATATCGCCGCATGTCAACGTGCCCACTGCAACCACACTGGAGTACCGAGCAGTGCCGCCACCACTGCCACCGCGTCGCAAGGAACGCACGGAGAGCTGCGCGGATATGGCACAAAAGCGTCAAGCGCCCGATGCACCCACAGTAAGTGGACACGAATACATATTATATTATTTTGTCAGGGTTGCACTACTAAATGCATATGACATTTTGGATACAAACGATAGATTACAATCAAAACATAGAAACTATCCGTAAACAGCCTTAATTTACTTAAACACTGAGTTTGCAGTTCTCATTACTATGATTCTGGTGGTCAACCAGTTAATCAATAAGGAACTTTGTCCCATTTCTATTACAATTGCTGTTCGTATCATTTATAAATCTTACAATGCTTATTTTTCCACGTATTCTTGGCGGAACTTTATATTTTCTAAACATCTTTCCATATATTATGCGATCTATATTAAAAAGTGAACACGAAAACCTAAATTTCAATTTGTACTCTATTTTATAGCTACCTCCGCGCGATGGCGAGCTGAGCCCACCACCCATACCGCCCCGACTCAATCATTCCATGGCAGCGGGCTATGCACGTCAGCCAAAGGAGTTTGTTGGCAGAAGCAGCAGTTTGCTGCTACCTCACACGAGCAGTATTATGATACGCCGCAATTCGGCAAAGCAGCCATCGCTGTCCGTTAATGCGGCTGCTGTAACGGGCAGCGGATTGGGTGTCACCAATGCCGCAACAGCGGAATCAACTGGCATGGCCAGTGATGAGCAGCTGCAGCAACCGCAACTGCTGCAGCAGCCACCGCAGTCGATCTCGCCGGCGTTGAGCTCCTCGACGACCACATCTCCCATGACACCAATGACGCCCATGTCCCCGTACATTCCCAGCACCATTGACGCCAACACGTCGAGCAGCTACCAGCAGCAACAGCAGCGCCTCAGGCCACAACAGCCGCAAACACAGCAGTCAGTTGCTTATACACAGCATCAACACCAGCAGCACCAGCAGCAGCAACAACATCATCACCAGCATCATCAGCATCATACGCATACACATCCACATTCTCAACATCAGCATTCATCACAGCACCCGAACAGACGCTCGTCTCCAAAGGAATTCTTTTCGATTGCCACGAGCCACGAGGGCACACCCAAACTTCCACCAAAACCTAGTCTAAGCGCAAATTTATACAACAATCCAGGTGATGTCGAAAACTCAGTCAGCCTCCATATTTGATCGCTAACCAAATCTATCTAATCCACAGATAAAGGTACGATGTTTCTTTACCCAAGTACAAACCAAGATTAATATTTATTGCCTGGCGATGTGTGATAGGACAAACAAAACAAAAACAAAAAAAAAAAAAAAAACGAGAGAACCGCAGATAGGAGAGAAAATAACGTTAAATCGTGGCAGCAAATGCATAGGAAATGTAAAAGATAGATACAACAAAGAAAAGTGTATATGTATGTTTATTTTATGAGATATAGCATGGAACGAGTTAAATGCGACGATTTTTATTATTCCAAACTCAAAAATGAAAAACAAAACAAATACAAATTAAAAAGAAATTTATGTTATATTAATTATATTATAAACAATTGTAAATATCGAAAAGATTGTATTGATCGTAGACCGTAAAAACAATAAAGTATAACACTATTGTTAGACATTCGCATTGATCAAATCATTTATTGTATATTGCAATAATCTATACCTTTTTATAGCGAGCAACTGAATCTTTAAATCTTATATTCTTTCCATATATGAATTTGATGATAATTTAACTCTAGCGTTTACTCAAGTGTTTCAGTTAATCAAATTTAAAAAAAAGGGTTACACCAGCTACAGAGAATATGTTGAAAAAATATATATATATTTATATATATATATGAACCAACCATCAAAATTATAAAGTTCTGCTCTCTAAATAACAATCTATACAGTTTGACCTCAAGTTTGAACTGAACATACATAAAAAACTTAAATTCAAAGTGTCTAGAAGTCAAGTACTTTCGTCACTTTAAGGCTAACCATCTACAAATTAAACGCCCAAACTTGTTTCTATTCTTTGGTTGATTTGTATGTATCATTATTAAAGTTGATAGTGGTATTCTTGTTGGTTATGTGCACTGACCTTGCTGGGCCATAAAATTAAAAACAAAACTGTGTCATTAAGCAGTAACAAAGCGACAAATGACCGGAACACCTGACATCAAGTAAACCACAAAATACGAGTAGTTGAAAGGCGCATTCGTAGGCAAATTATGCCAGACACTAGATTGTTAATTACTTAAAATAGGAAAGACCCATGTCGATAGAGTTTAGATAGATAGAGTATATAGAGTGGGGGCCATAGCGAAAGAGGCCTCATTAATACCGATTGTGCTAATTGTTGACAGCGTTGCAATTCAACGATTTGGCTACAGCAACAACAATTACAGTTTCCTTTCGCTTTTCGGACACTCAACATTGTGGGCATTACGCGTCGATGACGTATCTGAAATGCTTCCTGAATTTTGGATGATTGTGCCGTAACTGGTTTTTTGTGCATTTTAAAACGTTTATTTTCGCAGCGAAACGAGAGGCAGGTTTTCGGTCTGATATTTTCATTACTACCCGAGCAGAAGGTATCTCATGCTGTGCTCGTGAAAAATGTAATACTCGTAGACATCTGTATTTACCAGCCCAATATCTCGTTTCAGAAAACAAGTAGCTTTAACTTAATGCATTAGCTAATATGCATTGCTTATATCAGAATCAGACTATCATAATATGTTCGGTATCTGAGAGTTGGGAGATTACAGATGGTATAATAAATATTTTCTATCCATAATCATTTTCTTATGATTATTGAAAAGGGTATTTTGACTTCACCTGCAAAAAATAAACGTCTCAGTTTTTATTTGGGTTTACCAACTTTTTTTTAATATTTTTATGGAAGGCACCTGCGCTTGTAAAGGGGTTTGAATTGACCGTTGAATGATGACAATATCCGAAAATAATATCAAACCAATATAAGTTCGAAACGTCATTATTTATTTTTAATTAAAATTTCGTTGAGTAATATGTGTATTTACAAAAAGTATATTTTTTTTTTTATGTAGATACGTTACATTTAAGAATTTTTGAATGTAATTTCGCCTTTATTTATAGAGAAATTGATGAAATGCGCATGGCGCAAGCGACTGACTGTCAAGGCCGTTGGCTAAGATCAGTTCTTTAACTTTTGCCTGTAGAATGAAATTCAACTTGATTGATAGAAATTTGCATACAACATATATAGTATATGACGGTGTGCATTGTATATGCATGTGAATAATTATATGAAAAGTTTCCGCATTAGAGAAAGTTGTTGAATTTTGTGAGATGCATTTTTCTGTCATGGGAAATTTTTATTTATATTTTGCTCAAGGTCATCTGAGAATTTTACTTGCAAAACTCTTTGACATTTTCCATGACCAACTTCTTATAAATTGCAAATATTCACAGCATCTATGCGCGACCTACGACAATAATATGCTCACAGATTTCTCGAGTTCTCTTCACATTTTTATCATTTGCACATCACGTTTCAGTTAAACAATTAACTTGTTAATAACATACATAAAAAAAAAACTCAAGAAAGATCGGCTATCTTGGGCACGTCGAAGATTATTTACTCTTGCAGAACGAAGTCAACTTGCCGACATCAAAATTTCACAATTAACTTTAAAATAAAAACCCGACTGATTTATCCTATGAAAAGACGGATACATGTCAAATAAGATAGCTGGGACATTGCTATATGAAATCGACTGCTATCGAAGCTGATTAAGATTAGATTATATGGCTTAAGTATTGTGATACAAAAAAACAAGGGTATAAAAAAAACTACATAAATAAAAAAAAAAAAAAAATGTAAAACAAAAAAAAAAGAAACACATACAGCAATTGCTAAAATTACTCAATGAATTTGCATTTAATTTGCTGTTGATTGTAGCTAATTAGAGAGAGAAACTAGTCACAACAACAACAGCAACAACAACAACAACAGTAACAATGCACAATGAAGACCTCTTCGATGTCAACGGCGTCTCATATAATTAGTTTTTAAATTGGTCAACTACATAATTCTATTACATGAGCAAAACAATTAGCATACCCAAAAAAATAAAAAATCACAAAACTGAGAAAACCCCCAATGTTCGACACATATTATTCATTTCATAAAAACTTGTTTAGCATAGTTTGTTTACTCTATTTAATTGGCAACCCCAATGCAATTCTTAGTATGCGCTGATTATTCAGCGAAAATTCCCCAAGAGCAACAAATTTAACGTCATCTAGACTATTGAACCAGAAGAAAAACGATCAAAATAAATGAGATCGAGATGCTTGGAAAGGCAGATACGACAACGAGATACTCTTCAGTCGAGAACTCATAAATAGCATAATTTTATAATAATATATGAAAACTTATGAGCTCATATATATAATCTTGGCTAGTCTATAAAATTAATAAATTAATAAGAATTTTAAGCATCGTTTAGCTCTTTTAGAGACTTTGAGAATTATAATACATTTAGGTGTTTTCAAAAAGGAAATAACATAAACATATATGATGTAATACTCACCGAGCTTTATGTCTGCTTTTATTTGAAAATTAAATTTTCCCTTCTACACTTTCAAAAATATATAGTTTAAGTATATGTCTTTAGATATTGTGATCATGAGTCCACTTAAAACTAACTGTTTAAAATTCAGCAATACATAATAGGCATAATACATGGATTTTTTCCTAGCAAATCTACTTTAAACGAATTTTCCCTCAATTATAAAGTCATTTAAGATAACTATTAGATCAATTAGATGTGAATAGAATTTAAGATCAGTAATTGTAAGAGAAAGGTGCACATTAAATTAGCGAACGCAAATACGAGTTTAAATCAGGCTATAAAAAAGGAAGCTGGGCGCATGCCCCCTAATGAGTATTAATAAGTAATACAAGTTGAGATCATAAATGTCTCTCTCTCTCTTTATATATATATATATATATATATTTGTGCATAATTATAAAAATGGGATTGCTTTTGGGTTATGGATTGACTGCGATGCAGGTGTCAGTTTTTACTTTCCCATATCGTAACTAAAAGCAAAATTCACCGAGAACTGATCGGGTTTTAACGATCATATTGCTCTCGTCATTTGAGAGCGTTTGCTTTGCTTATGGGTGTGCGAGTGTGTGTGTGTGTGTCTGTGTGTGTGTGTGTGTGTGTTTAGCAGCTTTTATAAAAGCAGCAAGAATGCCGCCAATTCGTTCAGTTCGGCTGTGAACTTCAGAATCATTGTGAAGTGTGTGCGCGACAAATCGCTCAAGGATCAATCGGTTCAAAGCAAACCAGAGACACAGTGAGATAGAGAATAAGAGAGACCGCAGTCGGTTCTTTATTACTGAGTTCAAATCCCCTCAACCAGAGATCAGCCACACAGCGTAGCGCGGTGCCAAGAAAATGCTGGCCAGTAAAACTTTTCCCACCCATCACTTCAAGAAATCTATATATACGACATACAATGGGGCAAGCGCACCGACGAACGTTGAGGATTTGGCAAACGTGGCCAAGACATTGACAACAACCACGTCGTCATCGAGTGATTCGACTGTGGTCGAGGCAAACACCTCGCCAGTTGAATTTAGCACTCCCAGCAAAATGTTGAGCAGCACTTCCACCACCACCACCACCACCACAAACAACAATAATAATAATAATAGTAACAACAACAATAATATTGTTAATGGTTTGTCCAGTTTTGTGGCCAGTCATCCGGCTGCTGAGTTCGAGGGCTTTATACGCGCCTGCGTGGATGAGATAATTCATCTGGCCGTGTTCCAGGGCACTGATCGCGCCTCGAAGGTGGTCGAGTGGCATGAGCCCGCCGAGCTGCGTAAGCTGTTCGATTTTGAGCTGCGCGAGAAGGGTGAATCGCAGGAAAAGCTGCGTCAGCTGATGCGTGAAACGATACGCTACTCGGTGAAGACGGGCCACCCATATTTCATCAATCAGCTGTACTCGGGCGTGGATCCCTATGCCCTGGTGGGCCAATGGCTAACGGACGCACTCAATCCCAGTGTTTATACCTATGAGGTGGCTCCCGTTTTTACGCTGATGGAGGAGCAGGTTCTGGCCGAAATGCGACGCATTGTGGGCTTCCCAGACAATGGACATGGCGATGGCATCTTCTGCCCAGGTGGCTCGATAGCCAACGGTTATGCAATCAGCTGTGCCCGCTACAATTATGCACCCGAGTCCAAGGTAAGCACTGTGTTTAAGGCCAAGACCGCTTTTGTGTTTGCGTCAAAGTGAAGCGGAAGCGAAACAAACACGCGAACTAGTCCGAAACTTGGAAAATGCAACATACAACATTTGAGCACACTTCCGATCCCATATATTAGCAACAGGTGAAGTAGTAATATTCTTGCCATGACTGTATAAACAGTGTGCGATTTTACTTCCTTTGTCATTTCTCATTGTCGACGGAAAATCTTTTATTTATATATATACGATATAAAAAACACACAATTAATCTAGCGAATATTGAGTAAATTAAGTGCAGCTGATTTAATTTCCATAAACATTTTTTTATTACAAGTTTTTTAACTTTGGTTTTTCAAATTCAAGTAGACTCTTGCTCCAATATATTAGCCACAGACTGCTTTCAAGTGAAGTATTATCATTAAATATACGGATTATGTGGCGTCTACGTTACGTGCACTATAAAAATTATTTAATTCATATTTAAGTCTCATTAAACCTCATTTAATTATATATCAGTCACAACCTGAGACTCCAGAAGGAACCGAGTCTACTTGGAGAATATTACAAATTATTACTTTATTTTAAATTCAGAATGTTTTTTTTTGGAATATTTGGAAAAATTTATATTGTGGATTATGTGACGTGTACGTAATATTACTCATTGATTTCTTTCAGTGATTATAATTAAAATATTTAAGAAATATTTTATGATCTTCATTTGTTTATCTCACCCTCTAGAAAAATGGTCTCTTCAATGCAAAGCCATTGATCATCTTCACATCGGAGGATGCTCATTACTCGGTGGAGAAGTTGGCCATGTTTATGGGCTTTGGCAGCGAAAATGTGCGCAAGATTGCCACTAATGAGGTTGGCAAGATGCGCCTGAGCGATTTGGAGGAGCAGATCCAGTTGTGCCTGGACAACAACTGGCAACCGTTGATGGTATCGGCAACGGCAGGCACCACTGTGCTGGGCGCATTCGATGATTTGGTTGGCATCTCGGAGCTGTGTCGCAAGCACAACATGTGGATGCATGTGGATGCCGCCTGGGGCGGTGGTGCACTTATGTCTAAGAAATATCGCCATCTGCTCAATGGCATTGAACGGTGAGTTGAACACAATTCGGATGGGTTATTCAAGGATAAAATGCAAATCATCAACTTCCACAGCGCCGATTCGGTTACATGGAATCCACACAAGCTGTTATCAGCCTCACAGCAGTGCTCCACTTTCCTGACGCGCCATGCCCAAATCCTTGGCCAGTGCCACTCGACGAATGCCGCATATTTGTTCCAGAAGGACAAGTTCTACGATACATCCTTTGACACGGGCGACAAGCACATCCAGTGTGGCCGGCGTGCGGATGTTTTCAAGTTCTGGTTCATGTGGAAGGCCAAGGGCAGCAAGGGATTCGAGGCACATGTGGAGCAGGTATTTGAAATGTCCGAATTCTTTACCGCCAAGTTGCGCGAGCGTCCCGGCTTCGAGCTGGTCCTCGATCATCCGGAATGCACAAATATTACGTTCTGGTATGTGCCGCCCAGTCTGAGGCACATGGAGCACAATCAGGAGTTCTACGACAAGCTGCACAAGGTGGCGCCGAAGATAAAGGAGGCGATGATCAAGAAGGGCTCCATGATGATCACATATCAGCCGTTGCGCAAGCTACCCAACTTCTTCCGACTTGTGCTGCAGAACTCCTGTCTCGAAGAATCCGACATGCTCTACTTCATCAACGAGATCGAGTCCCTTGGGCAAAATTTGTAGTGACTCAGATGAACTGAGTGCATTCTGTTTAGGCATATGATGTATATATATATATATAGGTATGGTATTGTAACTGGTATTATCTCGCGATTATTATATCACATCGTATTGAAAATGTTTTAGGATTTTAAGTTGATACAAAATAAAGACATAGATCAAGTCAAGCACTTGGATAAAAGAAACCATCACAGTCGAATTAATCGATCGTTGATCAAGTTGCTGTAACAGAAAATTAAAATAGAGTTGATTAAGTTGCGAAGTAGTTGTGCAACTTGGTGGTCGATTTGAAGAACCCAGTTCAAAGATTAACAAAAGAAATTCCCGACACGAGAACCTAAACTTCACACAGTTTTAATGATAGTCACAATATGTTTAAGGTAAATGTCTTAAAGTCCTCATTTTTTCAGCTTCTGTTGATTTATCCTTAAAATACCAAAGGAACTTTAACTGCTGCTAGCTCAGTTGCTCATGCCGTTTGAGCCATGGCCATTGATTGAGATCATGGCCTTCTGCCTTTTGAATAGACTGTTCTATGCTCAAGCTTTGGCCGGGCGCAATGCCGTATCCGATTTGCAGGCCATGCGGATTGGAGGGCGTTTGGCAGTCCATGGTGCACTCCTTGCGCAGCACGGTGTCCACCTCAACAGAGGAGAAGAACGCAACCGACATGGGCAGATCGGTTAGACCAATCTTTGAGGCGCAAAATGAGCGAGTGAGCAAATTGGTCACATGCATCGCCAACGCCGCTTTGTAGGCCAGCTCATCCTTCACCAGGTAGCGCAGCTCGTCGTGGAAGCTCAGGCAGAAGCGAGCATGCGGTCCCAGAAGCCAACGCATGCTGACCAGCATCAAGTGCAGAAAGTCCACAGCACCACTCTGCACCACCCAATTGACGCGAGTGGGCAGAAAGCGCTGCTCCTGATCCGCATCGCCTCGTGTCTCCAGGGCGCGACTGAGGCGGCAGCCAAGAAACGGCGTCTCCGGCTGCTCACGTGTGGCAATCTCCTCCAGGCGGTTAAACATGGCACTCTCGGTGCCGCCTTGCCAGCTCGGACGATGGAAAACCTCACCAATGGAACGATTACGCTGCAGCGCCAAACGTTTAGCCTCGTAGCCGCTATAACTATTGGTTATAGCAAAGATTAGATTCGATTGCATGTGTTGCACGCTAAATTCGATGTTGACTTACGTTCTGTCCTCCAGTTCGTCGTGAAACTCTTCGCGCAGTCGATAAATCCGCTTGCCCTTGGTCGCCCCAAACATTTTCATGGCTTTCGCCTTGGCCTCCGTGGCGCTCAGCGATGGATTGAATTGCTGCAGCAGCGTCTCGGCAAATTGCTGGCCAGCACCGTAGATGCGGGCATAGTTGAGCACTTTGGCATGATCGCGTGAAATACCCACTACTTTGGCGGTTATGGAGTGCATGTCGCTGCCATTTGATTTGCTGCCGCTCAGCGTCATCCAGCCCAAGGGTGTGGCGCCATGCTCGCCGTGCGCATAAGCATCACCCAGCACGGAGGCTATCCACAGCTCCTGCGAGTCCACATCGGCGCCAACAAGCTTATAACCAGGTGGCGCCTGCACCATAGCACGCAGCTCCGATCCAATGCGATTGGCGCGCGAATTCGATGCCGTCATCCAGGTGGACTCCATGGCACGACGCGTTAGGGTGCCGGCAACAACAACCTGCGGACAAATGGCACCATAAGCCGTGCGCTCTGCATGCGATCTTAGGTCAGCGGGCAGCTGCTGCGCTGGCAGCCAGATGACCATCTGGCTTAGGATGCGATCGCGATTGTTGCGCCAATAGGACATCATGCGGGCGATTTCGATGACACGCGACGCCGCCTGACACGTGGGATCGCCACTGCTCAGCGCATTTTCCGAGAACTTGTTCAGGAAATCCTTCGACAGGGGATTGCCCACACGAAACGATGGTCCGTTCTTGTGCGGCAGCTTCAGAAAAAAGCAGCAATCCTCCAGCACCTGGTTACACCAGACGCCAGAACCTGTGAGCAAAAAATTATATATAAATATAAAATTGACTTCTAACAATCAACAATCAAAATTACCTTTGTACTTCTCTTCCAAGCGCTGTTGTCGCTGTGAGATCTTCTTGAAGAATTGGCGTTTAGCCAATTGCTCTTCGACTTGACCCGGCAGCATATCCATAGCCATATCCCCATTCTCAGCGGCAGCATAGAGACGCGCAAATTCTGGTATGGCACAGCGTTCGAGCAGCTGTTCAATGGGCAGATCAGTCTGCCGGCTGTTGTCGCCGCTGCGAAAGGGCACCAGGAAGCCCCAGCCATGCCCCTTCTGATAATGCAGTGGATAGCCCTCCCAGCAGAGGGAGAGTAGCTTGGGTGCAATCTGCATGCCTGTGCTGATGCCACTGGCGCCCGGCGTCCAAGGCTCATCCTGTTGCTGCAGCTCCTCCTCGCTGTAGTCTGGCGGTGGCTTTTGGCAAAGCTTGCGATACCACTGCGGATAGCCAGGGAGTAGTGGACGTCGCGCTGGGAGCAGCGCACGCTGATCATAAAGATGCTGAAACTTCTGCAGCAGACGACGTTGTTCAGCGTTTAGCTGCCGCTCATCCTGGAGCGGCACAGTGGGCAACTGCTTGCGCTTGGGCAATTGCTTAAGCTTCAACTGCTGCACGCTCCAATCTTCGTCCCACAGCCACAAGTGCTGGCGATACTGCTCATCGTGGAGCAGTGCACAAGCCTCCTCGGCACGTCGTCCCAAATGATATTTGGCCTCAATGTTGAGATCCTCATAGGCCAGCTGTGCATCGCGTATGTAACGTTCCCAATTCGAGTTAACTGGCAGATAGGCGGAGCCCATTTCCAGCATGCCCGCCAGCGTAACGGGATGTGGAAAACGTTCGGCATACAACGGATAAAGCACAGTTAGGATGCGATGTGTTGCCTCCACATCGCCGGCACAGTAATTGACAAGTGATTGGAACTGCTGACGCACCTGCTCCAGTGTGCCCTCAACGAAAATGTTGCGTGGCTCCTTGGACAGCGGTTCACCACCGCAGTACAATCGATGCACATCGACCAGGCTATTTAATGAGCTTTGCTCCAACCAGTCGAGGTCTTCAGCGGCGGGCTCCTTCTTCGACTTGAGCATAGCGCGCTGATAGCTGGTGACGCCGCTAACACACATGTGCAGCGACATGGTGTCTACAAAGCGTGTGCCTGTGTCCTCCAGCAGATACTGTTCCAGCAGACGTGCACGATCATAGGACACATTGTGGCCCACAACGAGACCAGGTGCGCCACTGCCCAGCGGTATAAGCTCGTCGAGCATGTAATGAGGTCGGTCACTTTGCGCCACATCGATGGGTTCCACGTGCGGCACACTGAGTCGATGCTTGGTCAGCTTTGGACTGACCCAGCAATACCAGCGCTCGGTGCTAACAGCTGTGGCCAAAACAGGTGTACTTCCTTCACGTACACACACCTCCACATCGAAGATGATGCCCTGCTCCAGTGGGTGAGCCACAGGTGTGGCTGTGCCATCCTCCGGATCATAGGCTGTCCAGCCGGCATAGAAAGCCCAACGCTTGGGCTTGGCGGGCAACTTCGAGCACTTGACCAGCGGATGCAGCAACGCTTCATATGGTGCCACCTGCTCCTTGGCTATGGCATGAAAGTGCTCCTCTATATTCGTGCCTCGCAGCGGCGGCAACTTAAGCTGCACATCCGGCACGGCTGTTGTACTCTTTACATCGATACCATGACGCAGCAATTCGGCATTATACAACTTAGCAGTGGCACGTTCCGATTCAGTATACTTGCGGTGGGCCTGGGGAAAGAGTTGGCCATGTAAATTCTGCGAGATCATCTGCACCTTTACCAAATTCTCAGCGTATTCATTGCTTGCTGGTTGCGGCACATGTTTTGGCTTTGGTTTTGGTTTGATTGTGCTGGGCTGCAATTTGCGGTAAATCTTAACGCTGCTGCTGGCGTAATGTTCTCGGCCCGCTTTGGTGGCATAACAACGTAACGGGTGCATCCTAAATGGGCAACATTATTTCAAATGTATCCAAAAAACTCAGCGCGCACAGCAAATAGCCAGCGTCTATCGAAACTGCATATCGAAATGGCGTTCAAAAGAATCGATTACATTTTGAGAGTGGAATGACACCTGCTAGTCAATTTAAAGTTATGGAAAATAGTATATACTTGATTAATTATTAAATTAACAAACAGTATTTTTCATAATGTAATGCTGCAAAATCAATTTGCAGGTCATTTTGACTATTTTTACATATGAAAATGAGCATGCATAAAATAGTTCACTTGCCAAAAAACGCAAATATCGATTCTACAAACAAGCATCGATAAGCGATAATAACTGCTTTTCAAAGCTCCAAATGGAATGGAAATTACTTACCAAAATGTAAAACCTCATCAAAAAAGACACAATTATATGTAATTAATTCATTATAGTTTCACTTGTTGCTATAGATTAGAAGAAACAATTTAAAATACATACACACATTGTTTTTGTGATGAAATGGAAGAAGGTAAAGAACATAATCTCTTTAGTTATTTGCATAAAAAATTAATATATATATAAAAAGCTTTCATACGATACACAATTGGGGAAAAGCGATTTTCGAAAACATTTTGGCAAATACTGTGCACCTAGCCTGCAAATTACAAATTTGTTTGTAACAAAAAATATACAAATGCAGGTCGCATTGGAACCCAAGGAGCGAGACACACGCACACACACAGAAAAACATACAAAAAAGGGGGGAAAACAATAATGCTCCAAGAATTTGTTTGGATCCTAGATTTGCATTTTGCTCATGCCGCCATTGATGCCATCCTGTTCGACATTCCAGATGACCAGCTGTCCATCGACGCCCGATGTGGAAACCTTGCTGGCACTGGCCTTATCGCCGGCATACAAACGTATGCTGGTGATGGCATTTTGATGTATGGAATCCACAACGACATCGGTGTTCTCCGTGCGCATATTGCAGTCCATGGACCTGAAGAAATGCATGGCAGTAACGCCACCAGCCTCACGCTTCTGTGACTTGTCCAGCTTGCCGCTCAGCACGAGCTTATTGTCCGCACTCAGGCTATACAGCAGAGGGACACAGCTGTAGCCGGCCACCACAATCGATGTGGGTGAAACCCACTCGCAGGAGAGGAACGGTAAGTAGCCGGTGCGGCAGCGTATCACCGTATTTCCATTGGTGGCATCCGCAATGCTCACACAGCTGTCGTGGCCTACCCAGCAAACCTTGTTGCCATCGCTGGAGAAGCTCACATTATTAATCCAACCACCGCCGGAGTTGAGAGAGTTGCGAAACTCTGCCATTAGTTGGCCGAGGATCTTACGATTGCCCCAAGGCGTTGGCGAGGGCGGCTCCTCAATGTCCTTGATGAAGGCAGAGAAAACGCGCACCTTGTAGTCCGTGGAGCCAGCCACCAAGAGCACATTGTTCGGATGCCAGTCCAGCGAGGTAACCGTGGAGCGTATGGGCTTCTTAATGTGCTTGGACACCCACCAGTCGTTCTCCGACTCAAAGTAACAGACCGATATCAGGCGGGCGCCGGAGCCCACTGCAAACTTATTCTCTGCAGGCGACCATTTAACGCATGTCGCCGCCCGATTGATGCGCAACAGCACCAATGTGGGCTTCCATTTGCCATCGTCGCCTTGCGTCCAAACGTAGGCATTCCTGTCTGCCGCACAGCTCACAATCCGATTGGTGTTCTTCGCCCAATCGATGCCCATGACGCGCAAATCGTGTTGATTAAGCACATCGGCCAATTTCCAGCCGCTGCCATCGCGGCTGTAGATATGAATCTCATGGTTATTCGGCGATAACGCGATTTCTGTGACAAATTTGTGAGTCATTAATTAATATGCGACAAAAACTGGTATTTTCAAAATGCGTCACTTACGCGTACGATCCTTGTTCCAGGCGTGGCACGTGATCGATGCAAGTGAATTGCCAAAAGTGTGTTTCTCGGCCATTGCAAAGCGAGTGTTTCAATTCAATTAAATGCAGCACAAAATTCGAACCACACACGTAGTAGTGTCCCTGATTCTTTGATGTTGGGCGTTGTTTGTGGAGTGTTTGTCGGCGTGCTCTGCTAATTCAGTTGATTCTAGTTTTAATCGCGGACTCTGGGCCGTCTACACGATTAAGCTAGCGTTGGAGCTAAGTAAGACTCTGCGTTGACCTGCGTCAATTTAAAAGAAAACACAATTTTCAAGCGATTACAAATTTGGGTAAAATGCTGAAATTAATCACCTCTCGGTGGCGAAGACAGCTAGTGTTGTGTAGCGTCAAACCGCTACTCTGGGTCAGCATTAAGCTATCGATAGGTACTATTGATAGTAGCGATGATTTTGTTGTTTTGCTTTGGGATATTCATAAATTTGTATTTGCTTGTAAAATAAAATTTAAGCTTATTGACTAGACCATCCTCTATAAAGTTTACATATTTATTGAAAATTAAAACTATCGATTACCGTACCTCTAGTCAACAGCACTTCGATATGTATTGATTCAGCCCTGGTATTTGGCGCGCAATTTTGCCAGCTGCTGTTGCAGTTGATAAAACACAAACAAATGGAACAGATTTGCGGTGCAGTCGAGCCGCTATTCCCTTGCCGCGAGGCGTCCATTCGAACGCTGTGCGAGCTCATTGGCCACTGCAATGAGGCCTATCCGCCAGCCATTTATATATTCGGGCATAGCGGCACGGGCAAAACATCGCTAACCAAAGCCATCCTCCAGCAATGCGAAAGGCAGCAAAAAGTGCGAACTGTGCAGCTAAACGCGATCGAATGCTATACGACCAAAATACTGCTGGAGAATGTGCTGGACGCGTTGGCGCCGGAAGAGCAGCAGCCGGCAGAGTCACTGGTCGCCGATAATATGCTGGAATTTGTAGAGCAACTGCGTCGTTGGCATGGAAAATCAGCACGTGGATTCCTCATTGCTGTGGACAATGCGGAACGGCTGCGTGATATGGATGCCAATGTGCTGCCCGTGCTGCTACGCTTGCAGCAGTTAACCGGCCTCAACATATGCGTGCTGCTGCTCTCCCAGCTGCCCTTCGAGAAGTACTACAACAAGACGGGTCTCAGTGAGATCATTCCAGTCCATCTGGCGCAGTATAACAAGACTGAGACGCTGCGCATCCTCAGCAGCGACTTTGACCAGCTGAAGCGACAGCTCCAGCTGCAACTTGATGGCGATCGTCTGGCAATTTGCGAGCAATCGCTGACGCCGGAATTCTACAGCAACTATCTCAACTTGTTTCTCAGCGTCTTCTATAAGGCTTGCCGGGATGTGCCCGAGCTGCGCCTGACGGCACGCAAATGCTTCGCCGTCTACATGGAGCCGGTGCTCGATGGCAGTGTCGAGTGCACAGATGTCTCACGGCTCTGGCGGCACATTGCCGGACCGTTGCGTTCTGCCCTCACGCAGATCTATCTGCGAGTGGAGAAGCCGCTCGGCGAACCGGACATTGAAGATCAGAGCGTACGCCGGCTGGCGCAATCTCTGGAGTTGCCGTACTATGGCAAATTCTTGCTCATTGCCGCCTTCCTGGCCAGTCACAACTCGGCCAAGCAGGACAAACGACTGTTTGTCAAGCATCATGGGAAGCAGCGTAAGCGCATGCAGACAGTCAATGCCAGAGCCAAGGTAATCCTCAACCAGTTAGTCAAATAGAACGCTTCCTTAATACTCGTTTCGTGTTGACAGAATGCGGAGAAGATGTCCACGACATTGGGACCCAAATCCTTTAGCATTGATCGCCTACTGGCCATTTTCTATGCCATACTAGACGAGAAGGTGGGCCTCACCTGCAATCTGCTCTCACAGATCTCCACGCTGGTGCATCTCAAGCTGCTCGCTTTCGTCTCCGGCGAACAGAATATTATGGATGGATCTGCCAAGCTGCAGTGCACCGTTGGACTTGAATTTGTGCTCTATATCGGCAAAGTTGTCGGCTTCAATGTGCGTCAGTATTTGTGCGATTTTATGTAACTTATAATTAATTATATTATCATATTATAACAATTAAGAGATATGCGTAAAAGTTTAATGCTTAAGAGGTGTTCGAATAAATGTTTAAATGTTCCGAAAAATATTTAAAACCAATGATTAAAGAGAGGTTTCCTTATGAGATTTTTACAGAAGTTTCATATTATTTTAATAGCAAACCCAAATTTCACACAGTGATTATAAAATTTACAATTATAGGAAGACCTTTTTATGTGTTTAAATACACTTTTTATAATACAAATTTCAATGAATTTAAATAAGAAAGTTTAAAAATTAAATCTAAAAAGGAAATCTTAATAGTTTCTAAATATATTTAACAGATAGTCGGGCAAGTCACTGATGTGTATAGTCTCTGCCAGCTGCGTATCGCGACTGCGCAGCTGGAGCAGTCCATTGCTGAGGGATTGCTGCTCGTTCAGGAGCAGGGCATATGGCACACCCAGGCAATCGTAAAGCTGGAGCTGTTGTACCAATTCAGCAGGTTGTCTGATCAGGTCAAACCCATTGGCCGGCAGACGCAATCGGGAGCGCTGCAATACGTCCATCAAATGCGCGCAAAGATCGAGCAGATCTGGTGAACTTTTCTCCGTCTTTTGGATGCCGGCAATGCTGCATTGATAGGGTGCCAGCATGCGATTTAGGAGCAGTGAATGCGTCTCCCTACCATGATCACAGCCGTCTAACAGAAGAGCACATGTCGCTGACTCCAGTTCGATGATGGAACGTATGACGACGGGCAGTTGTAGCTGTCCAGTGTGCCCATCGGGCAAGTGGAAATGCTTTTCATCGGGCAGAGGCACCAGGCTGAGCTGCTCCACAGTCACATCGCCGGCTTCCCCAAATCCTGCCTTAATGTCAATGGCTTGATAGCCTTGCATTTGCTCCAGTTCTGCTTGTGAAGTGTATGGCACAATGCTATAACGACTGGGATTGGAGGAGTAGCGCATCCACCAAATTTTACTCTCCCGCTGCACATTATAAAAGTGTTCCAGTCCGCGATGCGGCTCCACAAAGAAATCTGTAATTAGTCGGGTCACATTTGCATTTTGCTGCTGCTTGAAGATTGAGTTGGAGGAGGAGGCCGAGCTTGAGTTGGTGGCGCAGTTGAGCTGATATTTGAGCAGCGTGGGACACTTGGCTTTGCTGGGATAGGCTTGGCGCAACTGTTGCAAATGCTTTTGGAATTGCTGGGAATGCACAAAGGAGAAACGCTGCTGCTTCTGCTGATCAAGGAATTCCTTTGAGGAAACGCTGCCCAAGTTGGCAGCCAGCTGACGCATGTTGAGCCATTGCTCCCTAAGCCTTTGGGCATAGGCAGCACCATGTTCCAGTAGCTCTATGCTAGAAATACCTTCATTTTGTGTAGCACGCAGAAACCCAGAAGATTCCAAGGATTTGAGGCAACGACTCAGGCGAGTGGACATTTCGATTACTTGTCCAGCTGCTCCAGCGGTATATTGCCCGGTGGTGACACGTAGTAATCTTCGTCGGTGACCTTTGCAATCCGCAAAAGCTGCTCGCGGCAATCTCCTTCCGCCACGCGATCGTTGCGTAACTGCAACTGTTGATGCTCCAGAACCGTGTAGAGCGGACGCACGTTGTGCGTGTCAATGTGCTCGATCTTGTCCGCAAATTGTATGCTGCTCTTGAGCGTGGCCAGCGCCTGTTCGCTGTCCAAATCAACCAGAGACAGGCGCTCCAACAATTGAATTGTTTTCGCGTCGATCTCAATTTCGCTGTTGTTGGTGGCGTCTGGAAAAGCCGTTGGCACTGGTGTCTGTGGTACCTTAGTTGGATGGTGCAGCTGCTTAAAGTCTAGCAGTTTAGAGGGTTTACTAATTTTGGGCAATTCACTAATTTGTTGTTTTGCAATTTTGCAATAAAAACGAGCAGAAATTTGCAACATTGTCGCGCAATTAAAATTTACGGAGCAGTGCTGGAAAACGTTTGAAATGAAATATCAGTGCTATATATCGATATGGCTGAGAGAAGCAATGTTTACAAACATCGGTAGATAGCAAGCATGTTATCGCATAAGCCACTCACGCCGCATTACTGTTTTCCTTTCGCGCTGTTTTGTGTTTTTATATTTTTGTATCTTGACAAAAATGCCGTATGCCAATCAACCTTCTGTACAAATAACCGAATTGACGGACGACAATGTCAAGTTTGTGCTGGAGGACACCGAGTTAAGTGTGGCGAACAGTTTGCGTCGCGTTTTCATTGCCGAAACGCCGACGCTGGCCATCGACTGGGTGCAACTGGAGGCTAATTCCACGGTGCTCTCGGATGAGTTCCTCGCCCATCGCATCGGCCTGATTCCGCTGATCTCTGACGATGTTGTGGAACGTTTGCAGTACACACGCGATTGCATCTGCCTCGACTTTTGTCCCGAGTGCAGCGTCGAGTTTACTTTGGACGTCAAATGCAACGAGGAGCAGACGCGCCACGTGACCACAGCGGATCTGAAGTCTAGCAATGCCAAGGTGCTGCCCGTCACATCACGCAACCAGGGCGAGGAGGACAACGAGTATGGCGAGAGCACTGATGAGATACTGATCATTAAGCTGCGCAAAGGGCAAGAGTTGAAATTGCGCGCCTATGCAAAGAAAGGATTTGGCAAGGAGCACGCCAAATGGAATCCCACGGCAGGTGTGTGCTTCGAATACGATCCGGATAATTCGATGCGACACACGCTGTACCCCAAACCCGATGAGTGGCCAAAGAGCGAGCACACCGAACTGGAGGACGATCAATACGAAGCGCCCTACAACTGGGAGGCCAAACCCAACAAGTTCTTCTTCAATGTGGAATCCTCGGGTGCCCTCAAGCCCGAGAATATTGTGATTATGGGCGTGCAGGTGCTGAAAAACAAACTCTCCAATCTGCAGACACAACTCAGCCACGAGTCGCAAAACGATGCGCTCGCAGTTTAAAAAATGCAAATTTTTAATTTTAAGTTGATAATATTTAAAAAAAGAGAAGAAAACACAAATTTAATCCTTGAACAAGCTGTCTATGTTGATGCCCGCACTGGGCTCCTTTTTCGTTCTGGTGGGCGTCTTTTCCAGCTGCTGCTGCTGCACGCCTGCCTCCCGGAAATCACTGAGCAATGTGCTCTTCCCTGAAGCCTGATCCTCTTCCAGGTTTTCCTCGACGGGCTCTGCGCGTAATTGTTGACGCTGCTCGGCCAGTAAATCGAGAGCTGTCTCATAAATCCTCTGATCATCCAGCGCACCTTGGCTCTTCAGCTGCTCATAGATCTGGATAAACTGCTGGGATTGTGTGGCACGTTTCTGATCAAATAGCGATATTGTTTCTTGGGGTTTATTATGCTTGTGCAGCTTTCTTTTTGGAGAGGAAAGAAAAGCATATGGATTGGCTATATACTGCGATTGTTGGCTTAACTTACGCTCGCACTACGTCCTCGGCATAGAATATGTTGCGCACAGGCATATTTACGGCGGGTCTGTCAAAGCGGGGCTCCAGTTTAGGGGGAAAAGCCGCATAGATGTCATACCAAATGGGCTTATCCTCAGTTTTCATGGCGCCACCGCGTAGCAATCCCTGAACCCTTTAAGTAAACATTATATATTGCTGCTGTCACTCGGGCTGCTTCCTACGCTTACCTGCTGAAGATAGTACCAATCTTTTCCAGCCTGCTCTGCGCCATATTAATGCGCTTTTAATTAATATAATGTCCAATTTATTATTACGACATGCGCTTGCAGCAGTCGAAAAAATGTACTCGATACTTTTAGCGGTTGGTATTTATGTGTATATATTTGCTTGGGGATTTTGGTGTTTGCCTTGGACGGTCACACTGTTGCATACGCACAGGCCAGAGCCAAGTGCCAGTGGCAGAAGTGCGATTTTTCAAATTCCCTATTTATGTGTGAAACAGGTGTAAAATTTACATTTCTCGTGACAAATACGCGCAATTGTTCTTCTTCATCTAATTGCTGTTAAACGAAAATGTCGTTGTGCGCTGTCAACGCTCCAAACGAAAATTGTGCCATCGCGTGTGCGTGTACGTGTGTGTTTGCTGTGTGTACGTGTGTGTGTGTGAGCGTTTAGTTTACGTTTGTTGTTGTTTTTTTTATTTGGGCCTTTCTGCATCGGCATCCCATAGGCAAAAGCCAATTGAAGTTAATTAAAAACGCTAGCTAAATTTCGCTTTACAGCAATGAGCAATTATCAACCGCACGCGTCGCTGTCGCACTTACAGCAGCTGCAGCACCAGCTCCAGCTACAACAACAACAACAACAACAGAGTCATCATCACCATCATCATCATTTGGCGCCCCAACAACAACAACAACAACAACAGCAGCAGCAGCAGCAGCAGCATCGTCATAATCATACGCCCACAACCAACCAAACGCAGTTGACGTCGACGTCGGCTGCTACTGCTGCTGCGGCGGTTGGCGCTTCTTCGATTTTGTTGCCACAGCCACTGATAAGCAATTCGCTGGCCATACGCCAGGAGATACAGCGTTTTGAGAGCGTTCATCCATCGATTTATGCTATTTACGATTTAATCGATTTATTGCCCATGCCGGACGCACAGATTGCCCAACAGATACGCGATCACGTCGTTTGCATTGAAGGTAAGTGGGAGAGGGAAAGGCTTATTAACAGCCCAAAAATGTATATTGGAGAGAGAGGTGTGTTTGCTCTGCTCGCTTCTCTCTCTCTCTCTCGCTCTTTCTCTTTCTGTCTCGATTGTTATTGTTATTGTGCATTGTGGTTTGCTTTTGTTACCTTTTGTTTGTATATATGTGTATGTGTGTGTGTGTGTGTGCTTTATGCTAATCTATGACCGAAAATCTAACCCCTGCCTATTGAAAGTGTTCTTGTTGTTGTTGTTGCTTTTGCCATTTCATTGTTCCTGTCCCTAAATGAAAGAGCTTCATTTTTGTTAAAACAAGCTTTGCATCGCTGTACATTTTGTGTGTGTGTGCGTGTGTGTGTGCAGCATGAAATTTGATGCTCTCGAATCTGCCGCTGCCGCTGCTGCTTCTTCTTCTTCTTCTTGACAGTAGTGAGGCCAAAGCAAAACCAAAAGCCGAAACCGTTCACAAAAAAAAAGGAAAAAAATGAGAACCGGTTTTAAATGGTTTATTAGAAAATCTGTCGACAACAACAACTACAACAAATTGTAAACAAAATCATCAGTCGGCCTTTTCGCTTATTGTTGTTGCTCGCGTTGTTCAACATGATTTTGGTGCGCTTATCGGCAAACCAGATACCCAAAAAAAAAAAAAAAATCAGAAATACCCCAAGCAACAGATATTTGTAGCAACAACATGACAGGAATAATACAAAATAAAATACAATTCTCATAAATATGATATAAAGCGTTCTGCACGCGACTTTCTTATTGGCATTGAAAACGTTGCGTTTTCTGATGATGGATGGATGGCAATTTCGTGTTCCAATTGCCATTTTTGCTAATCAAAATTTGGTGGCGTATAACGGCTCAGTCAATAGGGTTAAATAACTGTGCATATTCGTATGCATAAAGTATCTGTGTGTGTGTGTGTGTGTATGCTTCGTGTATATGGCGCCAAAGTGGAATGGGAAATGTGTGTGTTGAAAAGCGGTGAAGCAATTTGAAATGGCCTGGAAAGGTCTGAAATGGAAACTGGAATGTTGAGCGTTTTGCATTTCGAAAAGGTCGCCACAAAATTGAACTTTTAATTCATGAGGTTCAAAAGGCAATTTCATTATTTAAAGTATCTAATCTATAATATATTTATTTGTTTGTCTGTCAAAATACAACATATGCTAATTGAAAATTTCAAAGTCTTCATCTCATGAAAAAAAGCCCAAAATAATTATATTTGTCGTGTTTATTAGAATAGAATTTATTAGGTTCTACGACCTTTAAATTCCCAAGCCGCTGACAATAGAAATCGATTCACATTATTTCAGATGATATCAGCATTTGAATGGCATCTTTGTTACATGTGTGTTGTGTGTGTTTTAATGAATGTTAAGCCTTCTCCACACACACATACACACGCACACACACCTGCAATGCTCGTTTGTTTATGTTTGTCTATTAGCTTTAATAGTAAAACTCTGCGCCCATAGCTCAACACAATAACAATAAAAAGTAAATGTCCCGAGGCGGTAGCCAGAAACAAATTTCCTCTCTCTTATCTCAGCACATCTGAAATGTTATTGCAATTAGCCCACATCAACTGTTTGCTCTACCCTAAACAATAAATGGGTATAATGATTTACACAATATACATAAATATCTAAAATACTCGGGTATATTTTGCAGTTAAATAGTATTAATAAAAATCACAAGGAACTAAGTTAAAGTGTTGCAGGCGTTACCATTTTAAATGTTTTCAATTTTTTAATCAACTAGGTGGCTCTTCTCCTCGCCTCCTCGTTAAATGTTTGTTTAGTCGCTGGCGACGCTCTAGTTGTAGAATTAGCCTACTCTGGACTAGTTAGTTCAGCTTTCTTACTAGCTGACATTGTAAGTCTACCAGTTGAACTAGTTTCACTTTTTATTGGCAGAAGATGTCGTAAAGTAGATTTCTTTACACGAAATATGCACAACAATACTGAAATTTCTCATTAGACCATTTTGAAAGTGTCTTCAGTTTGCATTTTTATGTCCTCAACATTAAAATGTTATAAAAAATTGTGCAAAAGTCTTGAAGCAGGCAGCTGGAAGCATTTACGATTTTATTAAGTATATAAATTCTTGATCGGTAACTCCAACTCACAGTGTAGAGAAGCTAGAGAAAGAAGTTCTTCTATACATCGAGTTAAATTCGTTTTGTCAATAAGTCAAGCCGTTGTGTATAATATAACATAAGCCACAATTTTAAAAATAAAGCATTCCAATGATTTTACTTTACTATATGCCGCGACTTATAAAAATGCCAACAAAATTGTATAAGAAACCCACAAGTTATAAAGCACAAAGTGTTTTTATATTCAACAAACTTCTATCAGCAGACGCAAGCATTTTCAGACAAGCATATATATATATGTATATATGTATAAATTATATGTATGTATTTATATGCAAAAGTGTCTTCAGCACGCGCTTGCCGCAAGCGGCCGATTTCAGTTTCTGTTTTGGTAAAAATTTAACAACTGGCTTGTGGGTATCTTCGAGTCGAGCTTTCTCGACATGAGCTTTTTAACGCATTTTTTATTTTATATATTTTCGAGTTCGCGCTTATCGCTTGTTTGTTGTCTTTGTTGTCGGCTTTATATATTTATTTTCAAAATGTACAATAATATTGATAAAGCAAAACAAAAAAAGAAAAACAGATTTTTAAACAAATTATTGCGCATATCTCTTTTTTGTTGTTGTTATGGCGCATTCGGAAGTGCCAATTGTTGTTATTCGATACGCTCGAATGCGCAACAGAAAGCCATGTGGCAGTGGAGGGGGCAGTGAAAGGGGAGGCGGATAGTCGGTGCGTTGATTTTGAATATCAGCGACACATGTGTGCAACAGCAGCAGCAGCAGCCACTGCAGCAGCACAATCGCCAGCTTCGACAGCGACGCCGGCAGCGGTTTAGGCATGCGTGTCTGCCGTCTGGCACCGCGCCACACACCCCTCCTCCCCCCGTGGCCAACCTTTCTTCTCTTTCGACTTGCTTTTATTTTTAAAACACAAAGTGCATTAAAAATGCATTACACTTTGCTTAGCTTAGCCATTCGCATTGAAATTGCACAACTTTGTAGTTAAAAAAAAGTGGAGAATTACAAAAAAAAAAAAAGAATTAAATATTTAAGAAATTATAACTGAGAATTCGCATTGTGTGCAATTAAGCCCGGAGCTGGTGTGTCCAAAAATTGTATTTGCTTTGCGCTCTTCTCGATGATTCATGCTATGGAAATTTGTCATATTTTAAAATTTATCACATTTGCTTTTTTTTCTCTTCAAGCAATTCCATAAATGGCAACAGTGCTAAAAGCGTCTGTGGGTGTATGTGGGGGATGTAGGGATGGAGATGGGGCGGAGGTAAATAGCGACATAAGCGTTATATTTTTGCACTCAATTATAAAAGCCTACTTACATATATATGAATATATATATATGTACATATATGTATTTATATATATATATATATATATATATATATATATCAGTTTGATCAAATGTTAACGTTTTGTTGCGGCTGCTGACTAGTTGTGCATCAGTTTGAATTGAGGTGTTAATGAAATTATCGCCATCGCCATTGTCATCGTCAATTGATGTTGCTTTCAATTTAGCGTAAGTCAATTATGTGATGTATAATTATAGTGTAATCAACAAATTTTAATTGTGTTGTTGTCTTCCTGCCATATATGGACTGATGATTGGGTACTGCAAACTCTACAACTATCAATTGTTACAATTTCATCTTGATAGACTTGTAACTGATTGCCTTTTGCGATTTGCAATTTTAAAAATTATTTTGTTTAGCTTAGGACATTTTGTGAGCTGTCAATTTGCCTGCCCAAATCGATTGATCAACTGAATTTTATGTAAATAATACCGGAATCATCGCATAAGAATATTATCGATAATTTTACTGGAAACCATAGTTTTTCCACTAAAAATTTACAAATTTGTAAAAGAAAGCATTTGAAACTATCAACATAATTTGGATAGTTAAGTAGCAAAACTTTCGATATATTTGGTTAAATTACAAACAAATAATGTCTATTTGGGGTTTGCCATATACTGATCGATGCTATTTTCGAGCACTTTTCCACTTAACTGGGCAATCTTCCAAAAATAGGTGGACACATCACGAACGAAGTTCTGTGTAATCTCCTGTAGCTTCTTATCCGTGAGCAGAGCCTGGTAGTCACTATCGTTGAGACCCGTCTCCTCCTGCTTGTTCAGCAGCAACGGGGATTTATTGAACTGAGATCATTCACAGATTTGTTGAGATCTAGTATGAAGTTGATTAGTTTTACCTGTTCTATTTACCTGTTCGAATATGCTCAGCCAGATGGCATCTTTTCTGTCCAGATCATTTTCGGCAATGGCCACGTTAAGTCGACTCACATACAGCTCAATGTCCTGGGCACGTTTGGTGGTCGGCTCCAGCTTCTCCCGCACCCCGCTGAAGTAGGCGATCTGTTCTCGGAAAAGGGCATTCAGCAGACTGATTGTCTCATTGTGTGCCTCCTCCTCCAGTTGCTTCTGGGTCCGAGCACGTGGCTGAGCATTTGCAACGCCAGCCGGCGCTGATGCCGCCAGCAAAGACTGCATTTGGTTTTGAATTGCTTAAGTCATTGTGAATCCATGGAAGCTCTGGCAACTCACCTGTGCCAGCAGCAATATTATTGGAAAGTATTTTAACAACATGCTCAAGTGAATTCGTATTGTGCGCCTTCAGCATACGATTGATAATTTGGTACTGAGTTAGCGTTAGAAATCGAATGACAGTGAGACGGGCTTATCAGCTCCGCTAAGTAGCTTTGAACAGCATAAAAAAAAAACATATAAACTTCCACCTTGACTGACTGCAAGGTACCACGTACAGTTCTCCATGATAATAATTATAAGGTTGCGAAGAAGGTATTGATCCGAACCGGATCAAGAATCCGAATTGAAGCAAATCTAATTGAATTGAACCCAAACATACTCTAAACAATTTTACTCTTTAAACTTAAGCAATTAATTATTAGACTTCAAATGGTGCTGTTTTATAATACTTTTTCGATACCATTGCATTAAAATAATTCTAAAATAATTTTTTTCTTCGGAATTTAACTGAATTTTAGTGCATGTAACTAAAAAAGTTGATACTGATTTTCGTTTCGATCTGTCGATAATTAATTATACTTGGGCATGGTGTTTTTCACGCTCTTGAAATTACGCAGCATCCACTGAAAGTTATTGACTAATTGATTCGAGTTTCGGCACGTTTTTTCTCAGCCGAGAGACTCCGTACAATCTTTGAAGGTCAGCCGCGTCGCCAGCCCCACACTTGGGTTGTCTGATTTGGCCTCTCTGATAAGGTAATGAAATGGAAGCAGAAAATAATAATTTGCTGATTTGAAGTGTACGATTGTTGCACTGAAAAAGACGGTGGATGGGGGGGGGGGTTATTTTTTGTGAACTTATTTCTTTATGTATATCTAATATATGTATTTATATTTCGACAATACTCAAGACATTCGTTCCCTAAATTGCACAGAACATACACTTCTTAGTACTGAAAATGCTGCAACTGCGGTTAAAAGCGTAGCATACTTTGGGGCTGTTAAAAAATACATAGGCACTCAGACTTATTCGCTTCTTAAAATTTGCAGCATGCTTTTAGGCTCTCACTTAAAATATTTTTGGCATTTCGCATGATTTTTGAATGAAACGTAATGGGAAATTTTTATGTACACGCCAACATTTCCGTATGTATTGATTATTATCCTTAACGTTAAAGTCCGTCATCTATATATATGCAATAGATAATATATATAAATAACCAAAAAATAACTACATTTCCGCCATGATTAATTATTTTGAGCTGGAGTTTATTGTCAAGTCAGTTTCAATTAGATACAGTTAAAAATTGACTGTAATTAAATATTGTTTCTCAATAATATAAAACAAACTCGCTTCTCCATTGAGAAATCATTAGAACACATTCAGATATCGTTTGGGAGTGCGATTAGAACCTCTTAAACAATCCTAATCAAGTCGATTAGATTAACGTTCCTTACCAGTTTTTTTTTGTCAAAGAAACATAAAACAAATTGATTTTACGGCTTAGATTAGCTAACTATATTTCAAAGTTGAATTTGCACAATTTATATTGGATCACAAGGTTAGAATCAAATCAAATTGCCACCGCCACCTCCGATAAGGTCAATAATATCCTTGAGTGTACGATCGCCAATCAGATTATTGCACGCGGGCGTCACTGTGGAGTCAATCCATTCAGTCACAAAGTCGACATTATCATTAATAGTGAGGTTTATAAACTCCTCGATAATTTCGTTAAGTTTGCGATTGACAATACGATACTTGGATAGATTCTCAATATTGGACACCACATTGCCGACGACAATTTGGAGTTGAATACCTTTAATGCGCAGATAGTTATTGCTGCCAACTAAACCAGTGGAGTACCTGATCTGTCCGGAAATGTTCAGATCTTCCAGAGCTAAGAAGGCGCCGCCATCGCGAGCCATTTGCCAACCGGCGCCCACATCTGCCTTATATTTGGTGGTCAAATTCAAGCTGGCAAAGTTGAACTCCATCGTTATACGGCTTAATGGCAAATTGACCGACATTTTAACAATCTCAAACTCGTTCAATCCACTCACGATGACATCATCGAGGGCGCCATTGGCGTGCATCTCTCCCGTTTCATAGTTGAAATCCTTATGATGTATTTCGAGTGGTGCAAGAGGTGGTATACCATATTGTGGCCAGCCTTCAACCATTTGCACCTTAATAGCCTCCAATGCATCCACAATGATGCTGCTCGCAGAACGCGACTGACCTGAAAAATCATTTGATTTATCGAAATTTCTAAAGAATATCCCATTTGACTTACCAGCATAAATTTCGGGCACTTTGTTGGCCTGCACGATGCCCAGGGCCAATAGAATTACAACCAGCGATAGAGACTTCATTTTGCAATATGTTTTAGCCACAAACTACAAATTCTAAATGCGCATTCGTCTGTCCCATTCATGCCACTTATATATCACTTGAAATTCCCTAATGAACTATATGTATATATATGTATTTGTTCAGTTGACTTTAATCATCGATTCGCAAATACTTTTGTATGCGATAATATGTACAAGCAGCTGATACGTGAAAAGTACTTAAGATTAGCAACTAGTAAAGATGGGGACCTCCGTTGGGACTTAGACCAAATATTAAAAAGCTGGCAAGCTTTGGAGTAAAAGCTTTTACTACAGTGAAGTCACTTTAAAACTGAATTATAACTTATTTGCAATAATGCTTTAACTGAAAATTAATCTAAAATTTCTTCTCTACTTTTTAAAAAAGTTTTTTATATTTATATGTATTTCAGATTTCGGTTATAAATTTTACTTGTTTGAACGGCCATTAATCTGAGAATATTACTTATATTGAAAATATTTGAAAGATTGTATATATGCTAAATACACAAAAGAATCTTTAAATTTCAAAAAATTTTGGTCAAATCTAAAAATGTATCTCAGAATCTCTAATTATATAACAACATATTTATTAAAACGTAATTAGCAAAATTAGAAGAAAATCTAAGTATATAAATATTTAATGGAATCTTCAATTACTCAATACAACATTTAAGTATTCTCAGTCTAACTAATGAAAATCAAAAAGGAAACACACCCGTTTTCCAAATCGAACAGAAAAATTCGTACATTAATTTTTCTGTTAAAAATAACATTTATTCAACAAAAGAAGCTTTCATTTTGATTGTGTTTACCAATCCAACTCTGGGGGAATGCAGACCTCCTTCTCGCCACCCTCACCATCACCACCAGCAATGATATCACCGATGCTGACTTCTTCCAAAACGCTGTTAACCGCGGGCAGAGCAATTTGCTCAATGGTCTCAGCAATCATATCTTCATTCTCGTTGATGGCCATCTCGACGGCCTCGGCAAGATACTCGTTCATCATCTCATTGACATTGCCATCGCCGAGCATACCCTCAATTTCGGAGTCAACCTCACCCAGATGTGTACGCACATCCAGAGACTTGAGCTTCAACTTGCCAGAGATAACGCCCAGGGAGTACTTGAGGGTGCCCCAGATGGTCATATCCTTGATGGCAAACTTGGCATGGCCGGCACCGATCATTTTGATGGTGAAACCGTATTTTTTGAGCAACATGTCCATGTCGTAGGTGGTGTCCACATTCACGTCACGGAAGTTGAACTTGTAGGTGACCTTGCTGGTAATGGCATTGACCTTCATCTCATCGATATCGAAGTCGTTCAAACCATTGAGACGGAAATGTTCGATGCTGCCCTTCATCTTAAGCGTCTCCGTATCGATATCGATGTTCTTGTGGTCAATTCTCAGCGGTGCAATTGGCGGAATGCCAAGGCCGGGGAAGCCACAAGGCATCTGCTCCTTCATGCCCTCAATCACATCCACAACCGTGCTGGAGATGGAATGCGAGTCTAGTTGCGTGCGCATTGGGGAACATAAGTCAAGATTCATTCATTCATTCCGCACTCTCTCTGCTCTCTACTCACCAATTGGCTCGCCCACAGCAGCGGCATTTGCGTAGGCAACGAGTGCCAGGAGTGCCACAAAGAGTTTCATCATATTTTCTATTTGCGTACTGTATAAAACTGGACGTGGTGCCAACGGTATTTATACTAATCGTCCGGCTGCTCCGCCAGCTGGCTTTTATAGATCCCCCCACTGGCCAGGTGGACGCGATAAGCGCTACCGGTCTTGATAATGTTCCTAGCATGGGACATTCGATTGGCTACTCTATTGTTTGTGTCTTATCATTAGGCTATGCGAAATATGAAATCAATTTTTAATTAACACCCTATCATGTCTAGATTCATGTTTGATTATACAATGCTTGGGGAAAAGGTGAAATGAGAGCATTTCTAAAATAAACGCATGCCGGATATTCTATAAATGTACACAACATGTTTATAAACAGATTGAATATTTGGTTACACAGACTTAGAAAGTACACTAAATTCACAAACAATCAATCCAAGAAGAAACACATAATGTATTAATTGTATAAGGGTTAAATGTAGTACTGCAAATTGTACTGATCCTTTAATCCCATCAACAAAAATAAGTCTAAAGTTCGAATTTTAGTGATCAACAATAATACGCTTATAAATAGATTTTAAGATGGATTAAACGTACGCTTTGATAATGATTGATAATCTTTTTTTGAGCACTTGCTTATGCATTTATAAATAGGTCTTTGAATGGAACAATAGGTGATTTAGTTGCCGCTAGAGCAACTATGTGATGAGCTTTATTTAAAAGGCGAAAAATTCAATATATCAGATTTGTGAAAATTAGAATTCCAGAGTCCTTTGATCAGCTGATATTTATCACATATATTTACTTATATATTAATTTTGCGATACTAAAGAAGCTCGAACTACAAATAATTTGGTGTCATTGATCCAGAGAATATAAGACTTCTTAAAGAATAATATTTAATTAAACCTAGAGAATAACAATTTCTATTGTTAAAAGAGAAATTAAATGGAAGCTGAACTCAAAAAGCAGCTTAATCAAAAGAGCTTAATATTGGGCGACTTTGTTTCTATATAAAAAAAAAAACTAACAAAATATAACTCAATCAATTTAACTCGATAGTGGACAGTAAAGTTACTATCTTTAATTTACTGAAAACATTTGTTGTAACATTTGCTCGACATTTGGTCAAGATAAACAACAGGCCATTGTCTATTGATTGCTGTCTACGGCCTGTGGGGTATCTGAAACACCTGGTAGCCTAAGAGGTAACTGGAACACCTGCAAAAAAATGCGTTGACGTAGAAGCATTGTGTGATGCCTTTTAAATTTGCCTACAGCTAAATAGAAAATGGAGTTTGTTATTTATTTGAAAATAAATCATCGCTGAAATTCAATTGGGCAATTGACTGTCAAGATTAGTTGAATGGCCACTTGGGTTTTACGACAAGTGTTTTGCACTCTTTATAACCCCTGTATATAACGATGAGGTGATTAGAGTCGATCCAAATAGGTATCTTGAGAGCATACTATAAATTATTATAGAAATTATCATTTTAAAGTCTCTGCAAATCACCCAGCTAATCTCACCGGATTGAGATTAAAGCTTGGGAGGTTTGGGTTCTTCTGGTATGTTAACAATGGGGTTATGGCCCAATTAAGTATGTGTAAGCCGTTACTATAAAAGGCATTGGCATTTGCCATCAACGACAGCTATTGAAGTGAAACAATGAAAGCTATCGTGTATGTCTTTGTTACCATTTTGGCCTGTGCAGCGGCCTATGAGGTGGACCTCTTGACTGAGGAGCAGTGGAATCGCCTTATCGAAGAGAATCGTAAGTTATTTTTGTAGCACCTAGGGGTTTTATAGATAGCTCTAATCGGATAATTTTTATTGTTTAGCTGCGAAGCCAGATGAATATGGACTGATATTGAATTCGCAGGCCAAGAAAGCGGTGAAGAATCTGGTGCAGCAGCTACCCTGCGGCTTTCCCGAATACGGTATTCCACCACTTGCACCCTACACCAATGCCGATTTGAATATTCATCTGGCCCAGTCATTTGTTGAGTGAGTTCTTTTCTGCTCCCAGTTTGATCAGGCTTTGATAGGATGTTCCGCTTATTTCTCTTATTTTTACCAGTTCATTGCTTCAGTTTTTGCGCTTCCGTTTTGATGGCTTGGAGCTCATGGAGATTAAGAAGCTGAAGGTCAGCTATACCTTCAACAAGAAGGTGCAGTTCCATTTCAAGTTCAAAGAGCTGAAGGCCACCGCCCACGTCCTGAACACAGACACCTTGATTGATTTGCTCCGCGAGTTGGGTCTCGAGGTGCGCTATGAGGGCACCGGTCCACTTGCCTTCTCGCTGGAGAATCTGTCGATTCAGGGCTCATTCAAATACAAGATGCCCTTCATATTTGGCTCCATTAAGATTTACAAATTCCAGTGTGTGGTTGCCCTTGGTGGTGTTACCTCCCACATTGGCGGCATCCTTGGCAACGGCAGGATCAATGAGATGATCAACGATATTGTTGATTATCAGGTGCCGGCCTTTGTGAATGGTCGTCAAAAAGAGATTAGCGATAGAATCGAGCAGTTCTTTGTGCCCTTGGTGAATGAGAAACTCAAGGGGCACAAGATTTGGTATCTGCTCTCGCAGCTGGGCAACTCCAACAAGAAATGCACGCCCATACCTCCTCCTTGGTAAATCAAATCCTAAACAGTAACCATTGTTGTTTTACATATTAAAACATCTTACACATTTAAAAAATGGAATAAAGCAAAATTAGACAAAATTATGGGTATGTTTTTATTTAAAAGAGTCCACAAAAGGGTGAGTTATATTTGGACTTTAAAAGTAAACCTAAACTGTGCTGAATTTAATTTAATTATATTTAAATATTTAAAAGTATTGATATGTCCATTTACTCTCAAACACTGACAAAGAAATTTATACATGTTTAAAACTATTTTGACAAATTCTTTAAAATGAATCGCACAGTTTAAAATTGAAAGCAAACCTTATAAAGCCAATAGGACAGGTGTAGCGATCGAAACTTAGCGACTTAATTAGCTTCATAGATTATACCTATCTTCGAGCATTATCTATCCAATGTCTTATCGTCCCGACTACTACGATAATGGGCCTATAAAAGGAGCTGGCTAGGCTATGGGCCATTCAGTAGCACGTTGAGGTTTACCACAAAATAAAAATATTCAACATGCGTTTTCTGTTAGTTCTGGCCAGTTTGGTGGCCATCTGCGCCGCGGGTACTTTGCCCAAGCAACAGCGCCATCCGCTCGAGCAGCGACTGATTGAGTTTGCCGACGCGAATGGCGACGTTGAGCTGTTCGCTGAGCCCGAGGAGAGTGTTGAGGGTGAGCCGACGAAAATTTGATGAAAGAAAGAAAGTTTATTGACATTCGCAATATTTGTTTTGATAATTTTGCATTGTAGTTGCACCCAGCTTTATTGTGTCGTGGCAGGTGCGTCGCATGATCCGCAAGTTGCAGAAGCAGATGCCATGCGGCTTCCCTGAAATGGGTATTCCCCCATTGGCTCCACTGCGCATCACCGATGCGAATCTGGACTTGAAGCGCGGCATCTTTGAGACCCTCAATCATGTGTTCCGTTTGAAGGTCGCCGGACTGGATGACTTCAAGATCGAGAAGTTTAAGCTCAATATCATTACATCGAAAATCACTTTTGATTTCCTCTTCAAGAACATCGATACAACTGCCCAGAAGTACGAGACTGATACCCTGATCGATGCACTGCGTCAATTGGGTCTATTTGTGGAATATGAGGGTGACGGCTCGTTGCTTTTCGATGTGATCAATCTGCGCGTCAAAGGTGTTCTGAAGTACAAACTGCCCGTGTTGTGGGGCTCTGCCAAAATCCTTTCACTGAAGACAACCATCACCATCGGTGAAGTTAAGTCTGATATTACCGGTTTCATGGGCAATGGCAATATCAATCATGCCATCAATCGTCAGCTGGAGAATATCTTGGTCAAGAGCGTCAATGAGAACCAGGAGGCCATCTCCGACACCATTGAGAATGCTGTTGTGCCACCCGTCAACAAGATGCTCAAGGGTAAGGACTTCTGGACCCTGGTCGATATGATTTTGTCCAGCAGCGATGGCGAGAACGAGGATGATCCAATTGTTGTTAAGTGTGTGCCACCAGCAGATCCCTGGGCATAAATTACTTATCCCTAGCATACCAAACTGCAATTGTTCAATAAAGCTTTTAGAGTACTTTCACTAGATTCGTGGATTGTGTTTATATATCAAAGATATATGTACTTCTATATATGAAATACTCGAAATATTATTATGTATTTGTTCTTCTTTAAACATTTTTACATTGGTTTATAGCTGAATATTCCACATTTGTATAGATATATTGTCTCAGAAAGGGTTGCATGTATGTCAATCCTTCAACTTAATACTCAAATTTCGATAATTCTTTTCAATTCAATGCTTTTTTTCCTCGACTTGAGGAATATAATAACACGCATATTTTTGTTTTCTCGACTGGATATGCTGTTAAATTTTTATTCTGCAATATGACAACCAATCTTTCGTATATAGTGGTACAAATATAGTTGTACAATCCGGCAGTCTTCGCCGTCATAAGTGACCGAAGCAAAAGGCGAATAATTAAAAAGTTTTAAAAATACTTGGAAGTTCTGCGCATATAAGACTGTAAAATATCGGAAACTCGGACAGAAGGACAGATGAACTGGCTATATACACTCAATACCTTAGAGCTTAGTAGTTGCTTGAGCTAGCCTACTTTCAGGCAGCTGTTGTGTACAAGAAGCTTTGGTATTAATACGCTTTACACCTTTCGGATCCAATCTAATCTTAAATAAGTACTTGAGTTCTGCTAATCGGCGTTCAATTGGCCAACACCTGCCAACTCCTAACTGATTTTGTTAGTTTCTTACCAATTGCCAAAATGCGCAGCTCGTGTTTTATTCTAATTGCTTTGATCGGCTGCACTTTGAGCTCGGCTCGTATTCTTTTCGATGATGAGCTGCGTGAGCTGACGGAATTCCTGCGTCTCCAGATGCATTGTGGCTATCCGGAACGTGGCATTCCCATTCTGGCACCCGCTCACTTGGCCTACAAGGAAGTAGATTTGCAAACCGATGATTTTAGGTGAGCTCTCAATCTATTCGTTGGAAATATATGCCAAAGGTCAATAGCGTTCTCGTTGCAGCTGCCGGGGCAACTTCACAGACTTGACCCTGGTGGGTCTCGATGGTTTCGAGTTCCGTAAACTGCAATGGAATAATGTGCTGCATACAATCAAGTTCGACCTGAACTTTCCCAGCATTCGGTTGAGTAGCGCCAATTATAAGCTAGACATATTGGGGCAATTCCTTGGCGCCGATGGCATCTTAGATTTGGAACTGATTGACTTTCATGCCAAAGGCAGTTTCATATTGCGACCATCGGGCATTGCGAATGGTGTGCACATTGTCCGTTGGAATGTTGACTGGGGTCTTGGCAAGTCCATTTCCCGAACTACGTTCTCTGGGAAAAGTAAAATGTTCACCAAGTTTATGAATTTAATCATCGATGACTTCATCGATTTGACCATTAACGATAATCCGGAGGAGGTTGCACAATTCATGGAAGAGCTGATTGTGCCGCCGATGAATTCAGTGCTGGCGAATGTTGCTTGGTACGAGATAGCCGCTATCATTATGGGACTGGTGGAAGGTCTGATACCCGTAGAGCCCATTTGTTAAATATATATGACTAACATTTAACAAAATGGATGTTCTCGTTATATTCAAATAGCTTTGTATACACAAAAATCTAGTTCCTTCAGTTTCCACTACTTTTGCAGACTAGTACATTTTGATATGAATATTTCATAATAAGCAATAAAAATGATAAGCTTTGATAAAATGAAGCATGATCTTAATATGTCTGTTATAAATACTATATAATCTTCAAAGTAGAGTGTTTTATGTTTAATTTCAAGGGACAACTTTTTCATAGGTGAAGAAACTTAATTCTTCGATTTTTTTGTTCGCTAACAAATTTAAAATTGAGAAAAACTGACTAGGAAACTGCCTCAAGTTGAGAAACGTTTAACAACTCTCTGGCGCAAGGAATTTCTCAATTAAAACAGTCAGTAGAGCATCAAATTGATTGATACCCCCATCAAATCCTATCAATGCAAACAGCTGCCTATCAAGAACTCAGCCAAACTGAGTAAGGACCAAAGACGCAAACTCCATGCTGAGAGTTGTATAGATATTTAAAATGCAAGTGCCGCGATACACACGTACACATAATACACATACACACTCAAGCCGATGAAAGTGTAATCCTGTTAGGCGAAAGTTGCGACTGGCGCAACTTGCAACCCCCTCACAAATGAAACCGATTTTTCTGATAGAGTTTCCCAAACCCAAACCATGTTGCTCAAATGCGCAATTTTCAGCTTGACTTGTCGCTTGAAACAAATTTCGAGAGGTCGGAGACGGTATGCGGCAAAGAAAATGGCAGGAGCAGACACATGTCAACCTTAATTGAAAAAAAACAAGAAACAACATCCTTTAGCATCCTTTGAGCGACTGCGGCTGTTGTTCATTTACAGGACAGCGCACCTAAAGCGCAGCATACGAGTAAATTGCGCTGCTCGATTACAACAAAGAGAAACGCGATTCCTGCGCCTACCAAATTGCCTTCATCGTTGACTTAACGTACACAAAAACCGAGTCTCAACTACGTTTCAAATTAAAACGCATTTATGGCGCAGCATGGAAAAAGAAAAACATCTTTAAATAAACAGGGACCAACACGAATGAAAGTGAAGCGCTGGAAATCTGCCAGGAGTCGCCTAGGAACCCTGGCTGTTGCCTCTGAACTCAATTACATTTTTTGGCTTCTTGTTTTTTTGCAAACTTTTGATTTATGTGCGAGAGATGCCATTGTTAAAGGCGCATTCTCTTCATTCCCAAACCCGTACCGTTAATGAATCTTAATTTCTGTGTTTAACAATTCCGCGCTCAAGTGGCGCTCTCATAAATTTTAAATACCATTCGCCACCCCTTTTTTATGGCAAACAGTTGCCTTTCAGAAACAAGAACAATCTGCATGCAAATATTTACGGCTTTTGTTCCAACAAAGCGGTAAACTGTAAGCTAAAAGTTGCCGCATAAAGTTTTCAATTAACTTGACGCTCTGCTTGAGCTTTGAAAAGAAACTTGGTTTGAGAACACAACCACGGGCAAATAAAGCCGTTGTCTTAGGCGGTTGACAGCGGTTTAAAAGATACATCTTAATGATGGAAATTACAAAAGTTGGTGTGTTCTTAAAGTAGGCATACAAATTCTATATAATAAATATATTTTAAATGTTCTTAACATCAGTTAGGTCTAACCTTTCTTTAATATTTCTAATAAAGTAATAAAAATAATAATATATCGTTCTTATAATGGAAAATACCCAAATCCAGGTGCTAAACTACCCGCAAAGATGGTTGTGGATAACAAATTCCAATCTGTCCATTCTGCTGACATACATATGTAAAACTATGCCACGAACCTAGGCTGTTTGCGGTCCAAACACAAATATCGAGGCTAATCAAACCAGGCCAAGCCAGGGGGCAGTGGACAAAACAGCGTCCATTGAAAAGCGAAAGTTTTGAATCAGGGCTATAATGATTTAAGGGCTTTCGGAAAATTGCATCGTAAATGTCAACAAAATTGAACAAAGAGATGAAACTTTGCAGCCAAGTAGTGCAAATGTTCAAGGATACCCAAGTGAATGGAGCAAGGACTACGGCAATCTCAGCCGTTAAGGACAATGGACAAAGCGCAGGCTGTTCGTTAGGTCGTAAAACTGCGATATGGACAATGCAAACACCGCAGGATAGTTGCGATGTGAGTGCGAGTGTCTTTTTTGTATGTGTGCTGAGCACGTACTCAAAGGAAAGGACATTTTTCCTGTCCGTTTCTTTCTGCATTATGACAGCCACAAGTCCGAGCCGTATGCAAGGTGTGTTTGCCACAAAGACTTATAAATTGCAAATGAAATGAGCCAAAACGAATGAGATATCTTAAAAGGATCCCAAAGTAAAGATGATAAACGGATCAGGAGTTTCGAGTTTCGATTTTGCACTAATTAACAACAAATAAAGTGAATACAAGTATTTCGAGTAAAATGATAAAAGAGACAAATAGACAAACAACCTCGGCTAAAGGAGAACATCTGCTGCAGTTTTTAACGGGTGTTTTAGAGCTAAACAGACAAACACACGCAATGCCAGTTGCATATTTGAGGTCAGAGAAGGAAGTGTTGAACCAATCCGACCACCCGTTGAACTCCCGCTGAGTGCCAGGGCTCGTGCATTGGTTTGAACTCTCTCTCTCTCTCTCTCTCTCCTCAATCGGTTGACAAAGCAACGGGCCAACAGAACCAGCCGACCAGGACCCGAATTGAGATGTCCCGCTGACGCTCTCGGTCGGCACTCACAAATCCGATTATGGATTTTCGCTTATGGTAGTATTTTATATGTGTATATATTTGAACGCATGTATATTCCTTTGCCTTTGGCATTGCTTTCGCATTATGGCTATAATTTATGGTAGAAGCGATTAGAGCGTATTAAAGCCGTATGCAATAAATTGATAATTTTGTTGTATTTAGTTGATGACAGGGTTTTGCGACTACTTTCTATATACTTGTAGTGCGTATTTGTTTGTGTTTAATCATGGAAATCTTATCGCACATGCCTAACACAGAAAGGAAATTAAATGTGATTAGTTTATGAAGAAAAGATGATTGAACTTAAAATTAGAATACATTTAATAGTCAATGTTTTTAAATAAGTTGAGATTTTTAAGATTAATAAATGTGATAAGCTTATGAGGAAAAGATGATTGAACTCAAAATTAGTCAAGGTTTTCTGTAGAAAGTATCAAGAGATACTTTGACGATGCAGGAAAACTCTTGAGAAATTCTTTAGAAATATTTGGGATTGCTTTCATCTTACTAGTTTATTCAGGTTCGCTTACTTAAAGTATGATAGCATCTATGTTTACTAGAAAACACAAAAAATACTCGTTTACAGCTCCTTTAACATAAGATATCTACTTCGTTCTAGAGTTCTTAAAGAGTTTCCTTAATAGTGCGAACCACACAAGTTGCTTCGGTTTGCCGTTAATCGAAAGGATAACGTTTCATCTATATGCTGGTAGCATTCAATGCTAACAAACCTCGGTCAAAGCAACCCACATGTGGCTGTCTCTGCAGCAGTTAATCAATCAATCCTTTCAATTACACTTCAAACGCAGTGGTTAATCCTTGCTCGACTTGCAGGAGGCGCTATAGCAAACATTGATATATGACTTATTGGACCTTTGACAGCTGTCAAACCAGAGTTGGAGACACACTTGCAATTATTCGTATGATACAAAGAGCACTCAGAGCGCTTGCTCCCATTAGCATTACAAAAAAGTCCAGTGCTGTGTTATCCTATAGCCACCACCAAGACCAAGACACACCATACCAGGACAGGATAGGCCAGGCCACGCCAGCTGTCTTAAGAAATCTGATGTGACACTTTTGTCAAATGTTTACACCTTTAACCCTTTGGGCGCCATTGTTTGAGCGGGCATCTGCATAGGGCCAAGGGTTACAATATCCGGATCAGGAGCACCAATTGTCAATGAATTGTTGGCAATGTTTTGTTAATTTTATGTTTAATTAGTGGCATTTGTTTGGATTTGTTGGGCTTAGCGTTCCATAACGGGGCTGCACAAATCGATAGACCAAAATAAAATGTACTATAGAAGATATTAAATTGCCGTAGATATTATATTGCCTTTTCTGTGTGCTTTTACTATTTATGTTATGTTTTTTTAATAAATAAAAATATTAAAAATTAGATCCATATTTTGAATAGTTGAATTTATTTAGAGGTATTAAACTTATAATTGAAGTCTATTTAAAAGAAAATTTATTTTAGTATTAATTCAAAATAACTAGAAAATTTAACAACACTTTATAAATAATACGAATACCATGTTAAAATAGTATCTCCAAAATCTTTATACCAATACCAAGAATTGCACTTACTTTTGAATATAGATATTATAAGGTCTTAAGGGAGCTTGATCTCATGTATCAACCATAGTGAAATAAAGTTATTGACGCCTGTCAGCGACTACAGCAACAAACCCAAGCAGAACTCCAAAACCCAACTCAAACCATTCATCAAAATTATGTCAAATCATGCAAGCGGCTGTGTAAAAAAAAAAACATAAAAATAAAAAAAACCATTATGGAAAATGCAACTGCCGTCAAAATGCTAATGAAAATCAATGCAAAAGTGCATAAAACCGCCAAGATTTCAGTCACAGTCGAGTTGTCCGAAGGTGCAGGAGCAGCTGCTGCTGTAGCTGCCACATGAAGCTGTCATGTTTTGGGCAAACAGACACGCAGGCGCACGGGACATGGACACAGACAGACAGACAGACAGACTGACAACAATTACAATTTTCCTGCAGCGTCATCTTGTCTCGGGCTCATCATATTTTCCTGCGGCTTCCTTTAGCTGATTTGCATTTTTAATCTCATAAGGATGCTGTCTTATGCTCAGGCATTGTCCTTACCATATTCTCTTCGGCTGCTTCTTGTGGTTTGCCCAAGCTGCAAACTGAAAAAAAATTGTTCATGTTGAAAAAAAAATTGAAAACCGAAAAAAAGTGAGTCCCCTGGTTTCTGATCTACATTTGTTTAATCCTGGATTTGTGACACGCCAGCGTGAGTTGCTCGCCTGTGTAATCCTGTGTCTCCTGCTCGTCTGGCTGTCTGTTACGCTTGAATAATTACTCTAATTAAAAGTCCTTTATGAAATACAAACAAGAAAACTGTTTCGGTCTTAGCTTTCATGT